TATTTACCTCACAGTCATGTCTCCACAGAACCACACCTGTCAGCCATCTTTACATTAAAAAAAACACCTCCATACCTCATGATCACTGTTTCAGCTGATCTCAACACATTGATAGAAAACTCCTTTATCACCTTCAGCCATTAATGTATTCAGTTTCTTCATGATTTTCAGACAGATTAGTGAGCAGCTTCTGTCTCCTTTAAATGGACGCTTCGTTGGGATAAATTAAGGAAAGTGCAGAGGGAGGTGAAAACCAATCCTGATGACCCGATTATCCGTGGTCACTTTATCTTTCAGGTCGTCAATACCAGCATTTTATCCCAACTTTATCGCTTTCTACAAGACAGCATGTTAGAGTGTTAAAGTGTTAAAGTGGTGTGTGCGTACACACACACCCACAGACACACTCCCTAACGCACAGTAACAGTCCCATCCCAACTCCAGCCATAATGGAAGCAGACCACACATCAGATTAAAGTCCCACATTAACTCCCAACAAATGATTCAGTTTACTAATGCTCCCAACCACAAATCCCCTGAGTCAGCATACGCACACAAACATGTTCATAACCCCTCCAAACACAAACAACCAAGAGCTCAGGGTTCAGGTAACATCGATAATATATTTTTTTTAATAAACTTCTGCTTATATCGTTAGATAAAATAGTCTAATGATGCTAAAGTTGAAAGAAAAGCAGACTAATAGTTCAATGTTTAATTCAACAGACTCATAGTGATACAGTTTTATGAAACTCTCTATCATTCATACACTCTGGCTGCTGCTGTTTCACTTCTCTACCTGCCCACACACCATGGGAGCAACCATGTCATTCAGCACAACATCCTGAGTTTTTGTTGGCCTCCTGTTTAACAACCACCTCTCAGGATGGCCGGGAAAAAAAAGCACACTGCAATGGATCAGCAGGTCCAGCAAGGCCTTGAGGCTGTCCTATTCCTCCACCCACATGGGCGATCGTAGCATTAGGGTTGCACAGTCATGAGTGCAGGGACTGAGCAGAGAGTTTTAGCCTGTTGGAGCAGGATGCTGTCAGCTACAGGGAACAATTACTGTACAACCCAGACTGGAGTCCTCCTCCCACATCAGGCAGTATCTACTCAGCAGGCTGTTCACAGTCTGCAGCCGATGCCGGTGGACAGGATGAGGAAAGCTAGTGTGCCAGCTCACATGCTATAAAAGCTGGTCTGTCTTCAGTGGTCCTGCAGATACAACCTCGAGGACAACCCCCTGGGGTCCCTAATGCACAGTAACAGCCCACACTGACCTCTGTCGTGAATGGACTCTACAGCAGTACATTAAAGCCAAAGACAGCAGTGCTGGGATGGACTGAAACAGGAACACAAGGCCCCATTGAGCTGATATGGCGGCATGTCTCTGTATGTTTGTCTGTACATAGCTGATTGATTGACGTGATTAACATCTGTTCTGCCTGTGCCAAGAAAGACTAATCACTTTAGAGCTGATTGACATCACTGCTTTTTCAACCCTGTTTTTGTATATCTAATACAACAGATGGATTTGATGATTATCCAGCTGGACTGACCTTTGTATCATCAGTGTTCAGTTTCCTTCCTTTGGTGGCTCCTGAAATGCTTATTTCCAGTCCAGTTATTTCCAGTCATGTGTGAAATAATTCCTCATGCCCTGTGGGTGATTTCTGAAGTTTGGTCAACTTTTTGCTGGGTGTCGAGAATGGAGAGCACTGTCTGGATGAATCATGACACTTGTTCAGCGAAAGTACACATAAACTGCTTGTTTCAGATTGATCCGATCTCCTCAACCTACAGGAAAGGGCTTTTCTCCGCCTCTCATTAGTGATGTTAAATTGTGCTGTGATTCAGCAACAGTATCTCTCTACGGGCTGGGTTACCTGTTCAGCCCAAATCTGATTTGCTGCTAACCTGGATTATATTTTTCATGCATGCCTTTGGTGGCCCAATGCACTTTCACTTTCCATTTTCACTGCTAATCACAGCATTATGGGGCAGAGCCATAGACTGTATATATTATGGACAACTAGGTTCCGCCTTCCGTCAGTATACGGATTTGAAGCCAAAAAGCTCTCGGTATTTCTGCGTTTTTCTTCACTTCCTGAAACCAACATTGCGCAGTAGCATTGTACACATTCGGCTGGGGAAGTCACTGGGAGACGCTGTGATGATTCTCAGCTCAAACAGTGTATCCCCCGGGTGAGATACATTAACTTTGTACGCCCATTGGCTGTGTCAAGTGCAGTGTTGTTTTCGTTGACGTCATCGTCAACGAAAACAACACTGCAGAATATATGTTTCGCGTTTGACTGATGAAATGCTCATGAATTTTGCAACTCTGTTCGTCGTCCACCACTAATGTTTTCGTCTAGTCTCGTCAACATAAACGCACATTCGTCTCGTCACATTTTAGTCATCTAAGACTTATGTTTAGCTTGTCAACGTCACGTTTTCATCGTGGAAAAAAAAGGGGCATTGACGAAATATTTTCATCAACGTCATCGTCAACGAAAACAGCACTGGTCAAGTGTCAATCATAGAAAACATGTTCTGCTCTGTGAAATATATTTTTACACCTCTATAGGGATTGCTGGAGGAGGCGGAATTTGTGATCTATACTGCAGCCCATCACCAGAGGGTGCTGTTCTGCAGTGGTTTTCACCCTGCGAGGAGGCAGACGGGGTCCATTCTATAAACAGTCTACGGGCAGAGCGCAAATCCACACTGATTTAGATTTTTTTTAAAAGCCTTATGTAAATATCGTCGTGTTACTCCTAACATACACACACTTATCAAACTGCAGAGTTTGTGCTGACATTTGTAATGAATGTGGGTTTGGTCATTTCCCTCAACATTGTGAATGGTGTCATGTTGCAGTAGTGTAGTTGGAAAACGGAGCACCAGAGTTGGGGTTTGATTCAGGACTGCCACTTAAAAACATCTACAATTTAGTTTGTTGATTCACTGATGGGAAAACAAAACAAAACATGGAAAACTGTCTGTCCTCACAGCGTTTACAGTGACGTTACACACGAACAGACTTGTGGTTTCATACTAAGATCCCTCATCTCAGGACCGATCAGACAGGAGCTCTGCAGTCAGTGTTATGCTGGGCTAACGCCAAAAGATTTTCACAGTCCCAGACCAAAAAAGTCTTAAGTAAATCTAAGAGTTTTAGATGAGTCACAGCAGAGTCACAGCGTGCTCCTGTCAAGTTTACGGTGTAATCTGCGCTGTTCCATATCAGTCTTTTCCTAATCTTGGGTTTGCAATAATATTAAACGTATTTGGCACAATAGCACCTATTTAAACAATGCACTCCATACAAACAATCATAATTTACATGGAAAAAAAAAAAGGCTTAACAGTGAGCCACGCCACAAAGATGATGGTCAAAACACTAAGAGCTTCCCCCTGGTTGGCTGCTCACCCGCCAGTGATTACCTTACCCTCTGTTTGTATTTGACCCTTACACCACAGCACACATGCCACCTGCTGGGCCAAGAAGGGCATTACAAAAGATTATAACACACCTGTACACACAGTTCACCAATCGATGTATGATACTAGACTATATAACTTATTATTTTGATAGTTTGAATCTGAGGTGAAAAAAAATCTGATCGTCAATTACTGACCGTCCAAAAACCTACATGTTGTTTAAGATCTGTTTCAAGGCTCCCCATGGTGACTATTTAATGTCATTCTCTTTCTCATTGCTTTATACACTCACCGGCCACTTTATTAGGTACACCATGCTAGTAACGGGTTGGACCCCCTTTTGCCTTCAGAACTGCCTCAATTCTTCGTGGCATAGATTCAACAAGGTGCTGGAAGCATTCCTCAGAGAGCTTGGTCCATATTGACATGATGGCATCACACAGTTGCCGCAGATTTGTCGGCTGCACATCCATGATGCGAATCTCCCGTTCCACCACATCCCAAAGATGCTCTATTGGATTGAGATCTGGTGACTGTGGAGGCCATTTGAGTACAGTGAACTCATTGTCATGTTCAAGAAACCAGTCTGAGATGATTCCAACTTTATGACATGGCACATTATCCTGCTGAAAGTAGCCATCAGAAGTTGGGTACATTGTGGTCATAAAGGGATGGACATGGTCAGCAACAATACTCAGGTAGGCTGTGGCGTTGCAACGATGCTCAATTGGTACCAAGGGGCCCAAAGAGTGCCAAGAAAATATTCCCCACACCATGACACCACCACCACCAGCCTGAACCGTTGATACAAGGCAGGATGGATCCATGCTTTCATGTTGTTGACGCCAAATTCTGACCCTACCATCCGAATGTCGCAGCAGAAATCGAGACTCATCAGACCAGGCAACGTTTTTCCAATCTTCTATTGTCCAATTTCGATGAGCTTGTGCAAATTGTAGCCTCAGTTTCCTGTTCTTAGCTGAAAGGAGTGGCACCCGGCGTGGTCTTCTGCTGCTGTAGCCCATCTACCTCAAAGTTCGACGTACTGTGCGTTCAGAGATGCTCTTCTGCCTACCTTGGTTGTAACGGGTGGTTATTTGAGTCACTGTTGCCTTTCTATCAGCTCGAACCAGTCTGGCCATTCTCCTCTGACCTCTGGCATCAACAAGGCATTTCCGCCCACAGAACTGCCGCTCACTGGATATTTTTTCTTTTTCGGACCATTCTCTGTAAACCCTAGAGATGGTTGTGCGTGAAAATCCCAGTAGATCAGCAGTTTCTGAAATACTCAGACCAGCCCTTCTGGCACCAACAACCATGCCACGTTCAAAGTCACTCAAATCACCTTTCTTCCCCATACTGATGCTCGGTTTGAACTGCAGGAGATTGTCTTGACCATGTCTACATGCCTAAATGCACTAAGTTGCCGCCATGTGATTGGCTGATTAGAAATTAAGTGTTAACGAGCAGTTGGACAGGTGTACCTAATAAAGTGGCCGGTGAGTGTATGTACCTATTATTGTAATTTAACTTGAGCAATCAGACAGTTATTTTAACATAGGTTGGTTATTCCTTGAACAGCCAATCAAAAGTAAGACTTTTAATTATACATTAAACATACAAATATTTAGATTTCTACAAAATCTACTGTGCTAAACATAATGAAATTCTACAAAATACCCCTTTACAAAACAGTGAGGGTCTTTTTATTGTACACACTATTATGGCCTTTTTGGTTCAAGAAAAACACTGCAACAGAAAATGCAAGCTTAAGTCCCAGCCGGATAACTAACTGTGGGTAAATTAACCGAAGTGAAAAAGAAAAGTCATGTTGCAGAGAGCGGCTAGACTCTCATTTAGTAACAGTGCAAGTGCACCAGGTTTCGTGCCAACATCCACATATTTAAGAGAGTAATACTCTAGTGAAGTCACATCCAGTGACAGAGATGGAGTGGTCCAAGCTGAAGCAGTATAACCCGGGGACAGGAGTAGGCCAGGAGTTCAGAGAGATCCTTTCCTCAATCATCCTGAGAGAGAACAAAGTGAGAGAGGTGAGACTTCTCTTGTTTCAATTTGTCTACACAGCACCCCGTTGTGTTTGTATTCTGAACTACACATTCAGACAAAATTTATGATTTATGATGACTTTGCAGAACTGTGTACAAACTGGATCAAGATTTGGGAGGTGTCCTCACCCATTCATCCTCTCCTGCTCCGTCTCCTTCTCCCCTAAGCTGATCGCTCTCTGCACCCGTTTTGTTGGCCATGATCTTGTCTGTCCACGATGCTCCAGCCTTTTCATCTCCAGCAAAGTTGCACTTGGTCACTGTACCACCGTCTACTTTTGACAGAGAGACTGGCAGCACCGAAGTAAAAGAAAAGAAAGTTTATATTTAAAGGCTTCGTAAAACAAAATTAGTAGCTGCACACATTAAATTTAATTTCCTAAAGTACTTAATTATTGGTATGATCTGGCACAGAGAGACAGCACACCACTCCACCACTAGACGGTTAGGAATATGCTTCACAGCTTATCATTCTGTTTGCAAAACTGAACACAGTTTAATGTGGGAGCAGCAGAAAATTAAAAGCATCATCTAAGTATAACCTAAGTAACCTCACATATGAAGGGACTGTCCCCTCTGGTCTTCAGTCGGACATCCTGACCCATTTCCAGATCCGTCTTGTCCATCTCTGACTCTGGATACCAAAAGGCCACAGTCCCACTGGGTCGGTGCTTGTCAGTTATTTTCACCAGTTCTGCTTTGTTCACCATGGCTGACAGCTGCTCCTCAGACAGACGGTCTGACTCCCCTTTGGCCTCCACCTCTATGTGAACCAAAATGTACATATTAGCCAAGGAAATAAGAGTTACAGGGAGCCTGAAATCTCAGGACTCCCAAACAAACAAACAAAAAAACATTTTAAAAATTATTGAAAAGTCTGTGTCTGTTTCTTGTCATTAATGAATTCTGTCTTATCTTTGACTAACACAAAGTTAAAACCAACATGCTGTACCTTCACTCTGTCTCCTCCCAGAGTGGATTATGATTTTTTTCTGATAACTGACTGACAGAACTAGACCAGGATGTTACCCTTTGTAGCGGGCACAGAAGCAATTTCATGATGTCTTACAGACTTACAAAAGTTTTACCAAACTGGTTGTTCTAAAATTGATCATCATGATGAAAAACGAAACTGAAATGGCCTGTTTTACATTTAAACTGATTTAATTATGTCCTACAACAAAAAACCTTTCCGGTTGAATCTTTCTCTCGGACAAAAAAAAGTATCTCATTGCATATTCTTTTGAAAATGTCAGATTTGGCTTCTGGAAAACATATACTATAATATCCCCGTCCTTTTCAACCGGCTTTTAAATATCACACTGATACAGGACTCAAAGTGTGGGTTGCAGATGGCAGACATATTGATAAGGAGTCAGTTTTGCAAGGAGATTAAAAATACAGACATAATGTTTCTAGCTCTTGACTCACTGTAGGAGGACATGAGGAAGCCAGTGTTGACCTTTTTTGTATCACTGAAGTTTGGCTCAATCTCTTTCCCGCTTGCATCAAACTTCCTCTTGTGGATGCGGCTGGGTTTGATGTACAGCACAAAGACACGGACCTGATCGGAGCAGAAAAAAGTAAGAGGATAAACACAGTGGTTGTATTGAGTCCTTCTAAAATGTAAACTCTTAAAAGAATTTGGTAAAAGCGTATCTCTTTGGAGTCTCCTGTTTTTGCTTTGAATTTCTAATATCAAAAAAATGTCAATACATAAAATCACTAAGACTCCTGAAGGATTTCCACTATATAAACCCACCTCTTACGATGCGCTATATGTGCATTTATAAAGCCACATTAATACATCTATATAACAACCCTTATAAGTAATTATATGCATTCATACCAGCTTACAGCAATGTTTATGAAGTGTTATGAGCAGTGAACATAATTCCTTACATAGGTTTGGTTTAAAATGCAGCATACCTTCATGCTAAAGAACAAAAGTGTCTTTTAAATTCTGGGTAAAATAAACATAATAACTCTCACAACTTTACTTGGTTAAAGTGGTTCATAAAGAACTCATTTTATGTATCATTACATACATTTATAAATAACACATCTACTATAACACATTTATAAGAACTTATAAACATAATTTCAAGGCTTTGTGTGAAGTATCAGATAAAAATAATTCATCGCAAGATACAGTTTTAGAATTGCACTTTTTTTTAATGCATGAAAGTATAGTGCACCATAAGCATACCTTGATAAAGCATTCTGCTCACTGCTTGGAACACTTCTCAAGTCATAAGCTGTTTTGAATGCGGATAGTCACTAAAAAGGGTTGTTATAAAGCTTTTACAACAAACCTTTTTAAAAGTGTTTTTGATGCATGATAAGAGGCGAGTCCATATAAAGTGTTAGCACAGTTGCACAGATCAACACAGTCTTTTTTTCGAAAGAGGAAAAATCCCTCACAAGAATTTTTAAAGCTCCTGGCTGAACTTTGCTCCCTGTACCTTCTGATTGCTGGCATCACTGATGGTGTGTCTGGAAATATCCATCAGCTTTCCCTCCAACAGCACCCCCTGTCCACTGTGCAAAAGACAAACATCAAATATTAGAGTAATTCTACTTTTGAATGAGCAGTTTCTTGCTAATGTTGCTTAAATTGATATTCCCCCTTTTACATGTATTATGATTAAAATTTCAGCAGAGTAAAACAGACTGCTTTGCTGATTTTATGACATTATTTCGCTTTGTTGAAACATTTTTAAAGAAAAGACTGAAAAGTAAAAATGTTATCATTAATGGGTGTAAGTACAAATGCATCTCAACAAACAAGAATAATGTAGAAAAACACATTTTTATAATTTAATACAAAAGATTGACTTTTATACATAAATTATTCATTCATTACACGATGTAAATTATTTCAAGCCCTTTTTATTTTATTTTTAATGATTATAGTTGACAGTTCATGAAATAAAACGTATATTTCTGTGAGTGTTCATACACTTAATCCTTGATTATAGTTCCTTTATCATTGCTGAAATGCATGGACGTCGATCAACCTGTGCCGCTGCTGAGGTGTTCCTAAGGCCCATTTTGCTCTGATAGTGACCGTCAGCTCATCTGTATATTTTGAATCTGGTGTTTCTAATCTTCCACAGGACAACAGCCCCTCAGTTTCTCTAGACGTCAAATTCCAGGTAAAATGGCTGGCCAGTCAGGCACAGTGATATTGTGGTGAACAAAACAATTTGGTATTAGTTTTGGCACTGTGGGCAGGTGCATAGTCCTATTGGGATGGGTGTAAGAACCTCCATGAAGCTTGTCCATGAGTGAAAGCATGCCCTCCTAGCTATGGCAGCTGTGTTGAATTTGGGTTTGATAAAACATAGTAGAATATATGAACTGAACTGGGTTAAGACGTCAGACTGCTTGCAGGCGAAGCACCTCTTCAAAGAAAAGAAAGAAAATCCCAAAACCCATGACAGTCAGCCCAGGCTCCATGAACTCATGCTATTTACTCACTCAAACCTGCACCTTTAAACTATACATTACTCTTTAGAAAAGAACTGATCCGCTATGCTCCCACAATCAAAAACATTAGAAATAAGAGAGCTGCCAAAACATTTGGCATCATGGAGAAATTAGATAAGACAAGATATTTCATTATTCCTCCTACAAGGGGAAATTACAAATTTACAGCAGTGATAAATACAAAAGAGAAATTAAAGAATGAAGAAACTTAGTATGTATGCAAGGTTGCACAGTAAAAAAAATAAAAATAAAAACTGTTGCACTCTGCGGCTTTCCTTCAAGTCAGTTGCAATGCGGGCCTGAGGGCAGAAAGACCGTCCGAAATGCACAAAAGTCAAGTACACTGCCCCAATGCAGGGTGCATAATGGGCAGTGTACTGGGCAGTATGCAGACCCTGAATTGAGACACAGCCATTTGACTTTACATGTAATGAGTCTGGAATTTTTTTTATTTTTATTTTTTGTAAATGACTAATTTAAAATGTTAAACTTTTAAATTATATTCTCATTTTCAAAGATGCACTTTTAGGCCTTAAGACAAATCATACAATCACCACACTTCAATAAAGTGAACATGCGTTAGAGGGCGTCAGCCAGCAGTCTGCATCAACACATCTCTAAAGTTTTAGGAAGATTTTGTACTTTTCGGGACCACAGGAGAGTAGAACACAAAACCTATTAAAACCTGTAACAAGAACGTTCTCGGTTATCTGTATGATGTAAAATTCGTGTGATATAATAAAAAAGACGACATTTCTCTGTTTGTTTTGGTGCTGTCACACAACAGTTTGAGCAGTAGCTACTGAAACTTGTTAACTGTCACAGTCCACGAACAAGTGTTGAAGCCCCTACCTTTCGTACACGGAGGGGGACCACACGCCGTCAAATTTTTCATTGTGTACCGGTTTGTTCTGGAGTGTCGTGTTGTGATAGATTCGGCTCATTTTTTCATTGAAGTGCTCTTCTCTCCCTTATCCGAGGATTTTTTCCTGCTCCCTGACTTCCTGTTTCGACGTGCAGCTGCGTGACAGAGGTGCGCTCGATTCGGAGACAGAACGTGCCGGCGGAACTGTGTAATGATATCCTTCGACTATATAAAACATTGTATTTGAAGTCAGCTGACACCTTTGACACAAACACTTGTGGACCATTGGTTCCACGAGGATCTGCAACTATCCGGACTATACGATATTTCTGTAAATTGAATAGGATAAATCTCAGGGTTTCACTGTATTAGGTAGGGGAGAGTAGGGCAAGTTGAGCCACCCCCTGTTGCTTGGAAATGGTAAGAGAAAATTAATAATGTGAACAAATATTTAGGAGATGGACATCAATTCATGGAGTCTGTGAAGGTTAGAAGCACATGGGTGAAGAGGTTAGACATTTATTTACACAAAAAAGTGAATTTAATCTGTCATAAGTTTTATAAGAATTGTGTTCAGACCAAAAAAGATAATTTGAAATTTGTGTTATCCATCAATTGTGGTATCTATGAGTGACAACATGAGGTCAAAAACCTAAGATAAAAGTCCACCATTTTAGCTTAGAGGGCTGATAAAGTCATAATAGTAGTTCTGAGGTAAGTTGAGCCAGTGGTTCAACTGAGGAAGTAAAGAAGTCTGATGAGAGGATCAGAGTTTCAGTTCAGATTGTTGAAATGTGTTACTTTTGCTTTCCAAAAATACAGCTGTGAATGTTCTGAATCACTTAAAGACATTCTCATGTTAAAATGGCTTTTTACAAAGCAGCTTTTTAGCAGTTAAATGCAATAATAAGCGGGCTCAACTTACCCCATACACGGGGTAAGTTGACCATAGGAGACCACTTTTTTTGGCATGCTATATTATCAAGACAGTAATGTTTACACTCCTTCTGTTGGTTTGCAGGGATACACAACATCTTGAAATATATGCAGATACTCTAGTTACTATGATTGTCTTGATGTAGTGATCCGAAATATGAAAAATGGCTCATCTTAGCCTACTCTCCCCTACTTGACGATCATTATAACACGTAAACCAATATGTATGGCATACTGCTAATTGGCCATAGCTCTATCATTACTGGAAATGCCAACCCACCAAACACCCGACATCATTTAGACGTCTCTTTAAGGCTAAATCACGACTTAATCATGGCCGTAATGAATTTCAGCCTTCAAATCACATTGGTGTAGACTTCCATTTGAATGATCAGGTGGCAACACAAGCAAAATGGTGCATGTTGTTTGCTATAAAAACTGTATTAAACTTCTTATATCCTGATATACTAACTGCTCCATAAATCAGCCTCAACATGACTACTCTTTTACCTTTATTCCACATATACAGTGTAAAGCCTCAAAAGATGTAGCCCCATTTCTCTGCATTAACGGCTCTGTCAGAGAGTTTCACAATCCCGTGTCAGTATCCATGTTATAATTCATGTTATTCTAATTCGTTTGACTCCTCTTCGTGTCTCCTCCACCTCAGGCTCTTCTCTGTGAGATTTTGTGGATAAGGAGGGTTTGGATATCAAGGTTTGTTTTGAGTTAAGGGACTTGGATCCTCTGGGGGAAGTTCCAAAGTCCTGATCATCTGCTTGGGCTGCAGGGTTGCATTCAGTTTCAGAGGTCTTGCTGCTCAGGGAGGTACCCTCTTGGCTTTGATCACAAGCATCAAATGAGGTTTTTTGTTCCACAGAGCTTGTCACCAGTGGATCGTTCACATCTGTGAGGCTTGTTGAGGTCGGGTCTGGTCCACAATTGTGGGTCTGCATCCAAAACACAAAAACTGTGAGATGTATAGGAATAAAATGGGTGTTTCCGCAGATAAAGCTACCATTTTTGCACATGTACTCTATGTAAGAAACAAAGCTGAGAGAAATTAATCTCAATTATTATATCAATATCTTTATTATATATTAAGAATGTGCATCAGGCACACCATACTCTGTTGGTAACCGGATGAAAGGCACCACTGACAAATAAATCCAACTTTTTAAGTGGCCACAGAGAGACTCCTCATATTGAGCTCCTCATAATTAATCCTTCATTTCCCTTCATCACATTACAAAGCTAACCTATTAGCCTCACCTGGGCCTGTTTTCAACATAAACACATTATACAAAGATTATATTGACAGAGGTAGTCACCTTCTGACTGGGGTGATCTCCTTCAGTCCTCTGTGCTGGTTCCAAAATTGGTTGCCTATCTTCATTTTTACCTATGGGACAAGAGTTCAAATGAAATTAAGGGACGCCTTTGTGGGGTGTATAAACACAACAGAATAATTTTAAAATGTGAAACTCTTTTAGATGTGCAAACCAATTAAAGTTAGTTATCTCTGACTGAGGGAGTAGCGGCCGAGATGGATGTTGAGCCAGATGTTTCTTCGTTGATTCCAGTCCCCTGGGGCCTCCACCTCATACAGACGCTCCCGATCTTCCTCATGCTGCAACAGGAACCTCTTACAAACTGAAAACAGCGTGCACACAGGGGACACATAAAACCTGTTTAGTATAAGCCACTTTAGCCACAAAGTTGACTCATTAAAAAACTAGGAGAGGCTGAACAACAATGACATTGTTTTCAGAAAGTTTGGAGTTCTCAGAAAGTCTGTGGGGGTGTTGTGAATGTCAATGAAAGGAAACTGAAATCCATTAGCTGGACAAGACCACACCACTTTTCTATGTTGAAACTTTTGGCTGTTGATCTGTTTCCTAAGAAAAATGTATAATCATCGATGGATGATTATTTCAACCTGTATTGAAAGTTCTTCCCAAATTGCAGGAATGTTATTGAATGCTTCTACTAATTGCAGAAAATATCTAATCCCTTGCAGAACGTAATTGGACAGAACTTGCTTGTAAAAAAAAAAAAAGGAAGAACCAATGTGTGATCCTTTTCTGGAGGGTTAGGGTTAAAGAAGGATAAAACAGAAACTTAGCTAACCTGCCACCATGCTAGGAGATAATGGAGAGCTGATTCCTAAAAACTTCTCGGAGAAGAATGAGGAGCAGAAATTCTCCAGCATCTGAAGGCCGAAGCCTCTCCTCCTGCAGCTCCTCCTCACCAGCACTGTGTCCAGAACAGGCAACATGTAGCAGAGACTGCTCCAGCTGTTACACAGACTTCCTATAACATGAGCAGTTGAAGAGTTTCTGTGTTAATGTATTACCCTGCTACGGTGCTCAGTCTGATTTATACTGCATTTAGAAGATCAATGTAGCAAGTAGCTGAAATATTTCACAATGACACATTATAGATTCAACTAAAAGAACCTTTTAAATTATTATTTTTTTTTATCTAGTGGTTGAACAGACTACAAACCTGATTCCAAAAAAGTTGGGAGGTTGTGTAACAAGTAGGTTTACATGTGCTTATCAAAAAGAAAGCCAATTTTTGATTCATGAGACCACAGATACATTTTCCATGTCCCCTCAGTCCATCTTACATGCGCTTGGGCCCAAAGACGTTACCAGCATTTCAGGATCATAGTTTCCTTTTTGCATGGTACAGTTTTAACTGGCTGTGTTTCCCGACAGTACTTTTTTTATGTGATTGTGAGCCCATGCTGTCATTTCCACTGGAGTCATTGCTGTTTTGATGCTCTGCTGCAGGTCAAAATGACTGTTTCTGAGAAGTAGAAAAGACTCATACACCTTTTGATTTCTATTATTTCCTTGCTCTGGCTCACTCTCCTCCATCCTACCTTTGTGTTTGATGGTGTAGAAGCCAACTGCCCTGCCATCTATCCACAGCAGTTTGCAAGTCTCTGTGCAGGGGTGCAGGGAGAACAACACCTCCTCCTGCAAGGTCCTCTCCACGACCTGACTGAGCAAGAACACAATAACCCTCTCCATGATCGACTGCACCTGTGGAAAACATGCCACCGTAAGTCACTCTCCAGCTTTAATGAAAACACTAAAAAGATGTAAAAAGATGCACAGGGCTGTAATAAAGTTTGCTTTAAAGTGTGCTTTTCTTCATTCCTCTTTCTGGTTATTTTTAGCTGAATAATTACGAGTATAAACATATGCCTTCCTAAACCGTTCAGACCAATGTATGGTTCTGTTGGCTGCTACTCGGTTTATACTGAAAGAGAGATAATTACCAACATCAAGCCTCTTCTGGATTCGCTGGATGTGCGTAAAATGTCATCCACATGCCACCACTTCTCATGTAGATATACAGCCACCACTGGAGAGTAAAAGAATGAGTATTAGTCTTAGTCTGACACACAGTATGTTCATGTGTTTAATGTTTCCAAACCTTGCGTTGGATCCTCAGGAGGGTGGAGTACCAACAGTCTACAGTTGGGTTGGTCATCTTCAAAAATGTTCAACCACTTCACATTTTTTGCGGTTATCTCTACCTGAGAAGACAGGATGAAAATGTGTGCTTGTAAAATACATTCTGACTGGGCCATGTCAGTGTGATGACAAATATCCACAGTTTTTAAAAAAACACACCTTTCTTCATGTGACATCAACCAAAATGTCACATGAAGAAAGGTGTAACAGACCAGCACACATCACAGTCTCTCTTTATTTTTTACATCAAGCCTGTGCATGATTGTCTCCACCATACTCTCATTAGAGATAGTTACTGCAGAGTTTCCGTACCTTAAGCTTCTCTGATGGCTGAAACCACTCATTCTTATGCAGTCCTGACTCCAGAGAAGCTAGGTACTGTTCAGATGCTGATGTCAAGTCTGTGGCATCCACAGCTGGCAGGTCTACTGGGTGCATGGCCTATAAAACTGGAAAAGTCAAAGGTCATTTGTAACAATAAGCAAATCATGTCAAGCCAATATTTGGAAACAAAAGTGCATATACAACGTTTTAAGCCAAAATAATACTGTTTCTGAAAAAAGTTGCTTCTTCTTTTTGCAGACTTGTTTTGAAACGATACCACGTGACATGGGAGGGTAATTAACCAACCTGACAGACAGCACTAACTTAGCAAAACACTTCATATCAGATTCCTCTGGGGCGTATACACTTACTTTGAGTCGAAGTTGGCAGTAGCCCAGTTGATTGACAATTTAAGCTTCACCTGTAATCCTCGGAGCTGCACACTGAACACACTTCAACCATAACAGCTTTTCTCTCTGATTTACAGCGCCATCCTCTGACAATACAGAGGAATTACTCTGCCTTTTCTGCTGGTCTGGACTACATAGACATACCCAAAACATACAGAAGCTGTTCCGTCAGTGTCGTATGTCACGCAGCAAACAGGTTGCCATTCTAATCAATGCAGTATCGCGTAAAGGACGCGTCGCAGCTCCGTCTCTGCTAAAGATACGCGCCGAATGTACTTTCTCTGCTCTACACTTCCAGCACCCGTCAATCTACATAGGAAACATTGTTCTAGACAAGTTGTCAAGCACAAAAACCGCGCATGTCATCCGGAAAATTTCAAAATAAAACACCATATGCGGACTCACGACTGTGTATCGAGAAATACTTCCTGGTTATGGATTTATCAGTTACACAGAGCAATCCGATGGTCAGTCCCTCATCCATGTGGACCCAAACAGGACTTTGAACTGCCAACTCTGTCTGAAGGTAACAGCACAGCATAAAGCAACATAGTTTACTTTATTTAACACGAGTAAACCTGCAAAAACCGAAGCTTTAAAATCACGTTGCTTTTTCACATACAGTAGAATCTCAATAGTCAGTGAATTCGATCAAATAAGCAAGAAATAGATCACAGAAAGAGAAAACTACCTGCTGTGAGACTGTTATTTCTCCTATACTGAGTCCAGCTGACCGGGGCTGCACTACGATGCTGCAACACCCCAAATTTCGGAAGTGGACTTCAAGCTAAAATCTCAATACTGTTAATTTGTAAATTTCCACATTCATGAACTGTATGGCAATACCAATTCAAGATAAAATACAGGTGCGAAAAGGGATGTTGCATTGGCCGGGAATCGAACCCGGGCCTCCCGCGTGGCAGGCGAGAATTCTACCACTGAACCACCAATGCGAATCTAGGTGATAAATATCTAGGATAGTGCCAGATTCTAGTGCTCAAAAGTGTTTTATATCTATGTTCATTTGGCACTACCATAGAGAATGACTGGGGGGCCGTTTAGCTAAACGACTCTAAACCGTTTCCCATTCATTCTCTATGGTAGTGCTAAACCACTACGGATGTAATATACTTTTGGCCACAAGTAAGATTTTGGTAGCGCTGTTGCATAGTTTTAGTCAAGACAAGGAAAACCCGTGTCTTCATCAGGTTTTGAGTGTGACCGGGAACAAGAGTCCGTGTTTTTAACCTCAACAATTACTGTTTTTTTATCTGATTTACAGCTCCATACTCTGATAATAGAGAGGAATTTCTCCGTCTCGACTAGATTACATAGAACCAACGTTCACAAACAGGAGCTGATACAACACCAGAAACTTATGGAGTAGACTTAAAACTAAAGTTTTAATAGTGTTCATTTGTAAAGTTCCACCTTCATGAACTGCATGGCTTAACAAATTTGGGATAACATACAGAATACTGGGGGTGGAAAAAAGGAATTCTAAAAACATAAATCTCAATAAAATTTTTGCTCTAATTCTCTTCTGTGTCATGTTCGTGTTTCTCTAAAACATTTCCTTTTATATACAGTATCTCAACTGTATGTACAGACACAAAATGGAAACTAAATTTAAAATGCTATTTTGTCAGGTTAAGGTTTTTATTTTCTGTAATGAATCGACCGAATATAGCAGAGCCTTGTTGTAATTTCGAGGTCTTTGGACATTGACATTGTTCAGGGTGTTGACAGTCAGTTGAAGTTTTTAATGTATGAAAACTTTAGATACTGCCCCAACATAGCATTGTTTAGAGATGATATTCTTGGTCCGTGGTTGGTTAAAAAGATTTAATTAAAAAAAAATCAAAAAGATAAATAGTATGACTTTTATACAGAGAATCAGACAAAGTTCAGGGGAGAAAAGGGATGTTGCATTGGCCGGGAATCGAACCCGGGCCTCCCGCGTGGCAGGCGAGAATTCTACCACTGAACCACCAATGCGAATCTAGGTGATAAATATCTAGGATAGTGCCAGATTCTAGTGCTCAAAAGTGTTTTATATCTATGTTCATTTGGCACTACCATAGAGAATGACTGGGGGGCCGTTTAGCTAAACGACTCTAAACCGTTTCCCATTCATTCTCTATGGTAGTGCTAAACCACTACGGATGTAATATACTTTTGGCCACAAGTAAGATTTTGGTAGCGCTGTTGCATAGTTTTAGTCAAGACAAGGAAAACCCGTGTCTTCATCAGGTTTTGAGTGTGACCGGGAACAAGAGTCCGTGTTTTTAACCTCAACAATTACTGTTTTTTTATCTGATTTACAGCTCCATACTCTGATAATAGAGAGGAATTTCTCCGTCTCGACTAGATTACATAGAACCAACGTTCACAAACAGGAGCTGATACAACACCAGAAACTTATGGAGTAGACTTAAAACTAAAGTTTTAATAGTGTTCATTCGTAAAGTTCCACCTTCATGAACTGCATGGCTTAACAAATTTGGGATAACATACAGAATACTGGGGGTGGAAAAAAGGAATTCTAAAAACAAAAACCTCATTATAATTTTTGCTCTAATTCTCTTCTGTGTCATGTTCGTGTTTCTCTAAAACATTTCCTTTTATATACAGTATCTCAACTGTATGTAAAGACATAAAATGGAAACTAAATTTAAAATGCTATTTTGTAAGGTTAAGATTTTTATTTTCTGTAATGAATCGACCGAATATAGCAAAGCCTTGTTGTAATTTCGAGGTCTTTGGACATTGACATTGTTCAGGGTGTTGACAGTCAGTTGAAGTTTTTAATGTATGAACACTTTAGATACTGCCCCACAACATAGCATTGTTTACAGATGATATTCTTGGTCCGTGGTTGGTTAAAAAGATTTAATTAAAAAAAAATCAAAAAGATAAATAGTATGACTTTTATACAGAGAATCAGACAAAGTTCAGGGGAGAAAAGGGACGTTGCATTGGCCGGGAATCGAACCCGGGCCTCCCGCGTGGCAGGCGAGAATTCTACCACTGAACCACCAATGCGAATCTAGGTGATAAATATCTAGGATAGTGCCAGATTCTAGTGCGCAATAGTGTTTTATATCTATGTTCATTTGGTACTACCATAGAGAATGACTGCGGGGGCGTTTAGCTAAACGACCCTAAACCGTTTCCCATTTATTCTCTATGGTAGTGCTAAACCACTACGGATGTAATATACTTTTGGCCACAAGTAAGATTTTGGTAGCGCTGTTGCATAGTTTTAGTCAAGACAAGGAGGACCCGTGTCTTCATCAGGTTTTGAGTGTGACCGGCACAACACCGGGAACAAGAGTCCGTGTACTACTCCAACCTCCAGTCTGTAACGAACTGACCGAATATCGCAGAGCCTTGTTGTAACTTGGATGTCATTGGACATTGACATTGTTGAAGGTGTTGACAGTAAATTGAAAGTCTCTTGTATGAAAAATTTGAACAATACGCCAACATATCATTGTTTATAGATGATATTCTGGGTTTGAAAAATGAAAAATTTGAACAATACGTCAATAGTCAATAAAACAATAGTCCGAGATTCGTGCGCTCAATAGTGTTTTATAGCTATGTTCATTTGGTACTACCATAGTGAATAACCGCGGGTTCGATTCTCGGCCAATGCAATGTCACTTTTCTCCCCTGATTCTCGGTATAAAAGTCATACCTTTCATATATTTTGTTAGTATTTTTTAATCTATTTAGCCAACTATAAACCCAGAATATCATCTGTAAACAATGATATGTTGGCATTTTTCATACAAGAGACTTTCAATTTACTGTCAACACCTTCGACAATGTCAATGTCCAATGACATCCAAGTTACAACAAGGCTCTGCGATATTCGGTCAGTTCGTTACAGACTGGAGGTTGGAGTAGTACACGGACTCTTGTTCCCGGTGTTGTGCCGGTCACACTCAAACTCACGAAGACACGGGTCCTCCTTGTCTTGACTAAAACTATGCAACAGCGCTACCAAAAACTTACTTGTGGCCAAAAGTGTATTACATCCGTAGTGGTTTAGCACTACCATAGAGAATGAATGGGAAACGGTTTAGGGTCGTTTAGCTAAACGGCCCCCCAGTCATTCCCTATGGTAGTGCCAAATGAACATAGATATAAACACTTTTGAGCACTAGAATCTGGCACTATCCTAGATATTTATCACCTAGATTCGCATTGGTGGTTCAGTGGTAGAATTCTCGCCTGCCACGCGGGAGGCCCGGGTTCGATTCCCGGCCAATGCATCATAACTTTTCTCACCTGAACTTTGTCTGATTCTCTGTATAAAAGTCATACTATTTATCTTTTGATTTTTTTTTTTAAAATTAAATCTTTTTAACCAACCACGAACCCAGAATATCATCTGTAAACAATGCAATGTTGGGGCAGTATCTAAAGTTTTCATACATTAAAAACTTCAACTGACTGTCAACACCCTGAACAATGTCAATGTCCAATGACCTCGAAATTACAACAAGGCTCTGCTATATTCGGTCGATTCATTACAGAAAATAAAAACCTTAACCCTACAAAATAGCATTTTAAATTTAGTTTCCATTTTATGTCTGTACATACAGTTGAGATACTGTATATAAAAGGAAATGTTTTAGAGAAACACGAACATGACACAGAAGAGAATTAGAGCAAAAATTTTATTGAGATTTATGTTTTTAGAATTCCTTTTTTCCACCCCCAGTATTCTGTATGTTATCCCAAACTTGTTAAGCCATGCAGTTCATGAAGGTGGAACTTTACAAATGAACACTATTAAAACTTTAGTTTTAAGTCTACTCCACATGTTTCTTGGTGTTGTATCAGCTCCTGTTTGTGAACGTTGGTTCTATGTAATCTAGACGAGACAGAGAAATTCCTCTCTATTATCAGAGTATGGAGCTGTAAATCAGATAAAAAAGCTGTAATTGTTGAGGTTAAAAACACGGACTCTTGTTACACTCAAAACCTGATGAAGACACGGGTTTTCCTTGTCTTGACTAAAACTATGCAACAGCGCTACCAAAATCTTACTTGTGGCCAAAAGTATATTACATCCGTAGTGGTTTAGCACTACCATAGAGAATGAATGGGAAACGGTTTAGAGTCGTTTAGCTAAACGGCCCCCCAGTCATTCTCTATGGTAGTGCCAAATGAACATAGATATAAAACACTTTTGAGCACTAGAATCTGGCACTATCCTAGATATTTATCACCTAGATTCGCATTGGTGGTTCAGTGGTAGAATTCTCGCCTGCCACGCGGGAGGCCCGGGTTCGATTCCCGGCCAATGCAACGTCCCTTTTCTCCCCTGAACTTTGTCTGATTCTCTGTATAAAAGTCATACTATTTATCTTTTTGATTTTTTTCAATTTAATCTTTTTAACCAACTACGAACCCAGAATATCATCTGTAAACAATGCTATGTTGTGGGGCAGTATCTAAAGTGTTCATACATTAAAAACTTCAACTGACTGTCAACACCCTGAACAATGTCAATGTCCAAAGACCTCGAAATTACAACAAGGCTTTGCTATATTCGGTCGATTCATTACAGAATATAAAATCCTTAACCTTACAAAATAGCATTTTAAATTTAGTTTCCATTTTATGTCTTTACATACAGTTGAGATACTGTATATAAAAGGAAATGTTTTAGAGAAACACGAACATGACACAGAAGAGAATTAGAGCAAAAATTATGAGGTTTTTGTTTTTAGAATTCCTTTTTTCCACCCCCAGTATTCTGTATGTTATCCCAAATTTGTTAAGCCATGCAGTTCATGAAGGTGGAACTTTACGAATGAACACTATTAAAACTTTAGTTTTAAGTCTACTCCATAAGTTTCTGGTGTTGTATCAGCTCCTGTTTGTGAACGTTGGTTCTGTGTAATCTAGACGAGACGGAGAAATTCCTCTCTATTATCAGAGTATGGAGCTGTACATCAGATAAAAAAACTGTAATTGTTGAGGTTAAAAACACGGACTCTTGTTCCCGGTCACACTCAAAACCTGATGAAGACACGGGTTTTCCTTGTCTTGACTAAAACTATGCAACAGCGCTACCAAAATCTTACTTGTGGCCAAAAGTATATTACATCCGTAGTGGTTTAGCACTACCATAGAGAATGAATGGGAAACGGTTTAGAGTCGTTTAGCTAAACGGCCCCCCAGTCATTCTCTATGGTAGTGCCAAATGAACATAGATATAAAACACTTTTGAGCACTAGAATCTGGCACTATCCTAGATATTTATCACCTAGATTCGCATTGGTGGTTCAGTGGTAGAATTCTCGCCTGCCACGCGGGAGGCCCGGGTTCGATTCCCGGCCAATGCAACATCCCTTTTCTCTCCTGAACTTTTCTAGTGCTCAAACGTGTATTATCTCTATGGCGGTTTAGCACTACCACAGAGAACGAATAGGAAACAGTTTAGGGGCCCAAAGTTTACAAACAGTAGCTGATACAAAACCGGAAACTTCTAAAGTGGACTTCAAGCTAAAATCTTAGTACTGTTCATTAAATAGTGCCAGATTTGTTATGCATGGCATGCATGGCATAACAAATCTAGGATAACATATATACTCTCTATATTTCTGAACACAGAATACTAAGGAAAATGTTGGAATTAATTCATCAAATTTTATTTATATAACGCCAATTTACAACAGTAGTCATCCCAAGACGCTTTTCAAAGAAAAAGAGCAGGTCTAGACCACATTCATTGTTTGATGAACAATCAAGACCCAACCTAAAATGGGATTTACACAGAGACAGGGGATAGCAGCGACAATATGTTTGATACAACAGATAGGTCAGAGCTCTGCAACATTTCAACAACTGATCGAAAAATAATTTACTAATACATAAAGTGCTATTTGTTAGGTAACTCTAGCTCTACAAAAACACCAAAGGTTTTTGTCTAGGTGTGTTTAAAAAGGCCATTTTCAAAAATTTTGTGTTTTCACTTTACTCTGAAAGTAATTGACCGGAAATGGAGTGTTGCTGTGGTTTGGAGTTGTTAAAAGTGTGACATTGGCCTGGTGCAGTCAACGAAAACAATGTTGCATGGTCTGATATCCAGCCGGCGTGTTGTGTCTCACTGGCATTGCTTACAGCAGTGTCGAAACGTTGCATCGATAACCACTGTCAAGGTTAGTTCCGCATTTTTGTCATATTCATACTATTTTGGGTTCAGTGTCAATATAATAGCTCACATGATTAGCAGCGGTATAATCTATGAGTGGCAGCATTACTCTCAGGTCGAAGGCTTGTCTTACTTGTGAGGTGTTGCTGGACTTTAGGCAATGACATGGTAACGACCGTGCTCGGTTGTATCAACCCTGTAGATGTATGCCATTTACCAGGCGCTCATAACATTGTATAAATAAGATAACCAGTGCAAACGGGGATATTTGTGTCGAGCTTTACAAACTTATGTTTATCCTGTTTATGACTACACATTAAAACGAACTCTATATGCAGTAAAATCCCGAAAATATCGAGAGCTTTTTGGCTTCAAATCCATATACAGGTGGTAGGCGGAACCAAGTTGTCCGTAGTATATACAGTCTATGGTATTACCACAGAAAGTTCAGAGGAGAAAAGGGATGTTGCATTGGCCGGGAATCGAACCCTGGCCTCAGGCGAGAATTCTACCACTGAACCACCAATGCGAATCTATGTGATATATATCTAGGACAATGGCAGATTATAGTGGTTAAAAGTGCATTACATCTATGTTCATTTGGCACTACCATAGAGAATGTCTGCGGGGCCGTTTAGCTAAACGACCCTAAACCGTTTCCAATTCATTCTCTATGGTAGTGCGAAATCACTACGGTTGCAATATACTTTTGGCCTCTATCTATACTGGTTTTGTATTACAACAGAGAATAAATGGGAATCGGTTTAGGGCCAACGAGAAAAACAATTCGGAGTCGACTGTTGTTTAGGCCCTTTATTGCATCGTCATTTTCTCCGAAATTCCTGGCAGATGTATTTGACAACCCTCTATTAGCATAAAAGTCATTTTCGTTGTAAAAATAGCACATTTTATAAACAATACACGAGGACACCAGAAAGCTGAATTTAAAGAGAAGTCCAAATGAGTGAATACTAAAATGATAATGAAAGTATCCGTTAACATTATAGATATCTACATTAAATTGCTTTGAATGATCATTTTGTCATTATCTGCAATCATACAAAATGTATTTTTTTATTTCATGTATCATATCTATTCTTTTTGTCCTAATAGTCATCTACCAAAGTTCTGAAATGATTTTCCCCAGAAATGATCCTGCCACTTTTAACCAAGATTGGGCTTCTCTCTTAGGATAACTTAAGATAAAGGCTAAGGAATCGGTGTAGAGTTCAATTCAAGAGTACAGGGTTATATTTTACCACTTACTCCTACTCTCCGGGGATGACTCATTCTCCTTCATCACTGTGTGTGTGTGTGTGTGTGTGTGTGTGTGTGTGTGTGTGTGTGTGTGTGTGTGTGTGTGTAATTGCATAGAGTGGTGCTTTGGACGATGTGATTTCTGCATTCAGGTCTATATGTGGTGAGGACTACGTCTCGTTGAGTGATGCTGTCAGGGAGCAACATGGCAAAGATGAGTCTATGCACAGGTCAGTTTCTCCTGATGTTACACAGACATGTAATTCAAACTGCAGTGAGGGTAAATCTAGAGGCAGTGCATCTGTCTTTGAATAAAGCAGCTGGAAGTTGGAGTGGACGCCTTGTTTTAGAGGGCATGGGTATGGCTTATTTCATTGCAAGTAAACACAAAATAATATTAGGATTTTGGTGACTACAATGAACTTAGTAAAATGTGGTATTTCGTATAAACAAGGAATAGCTCGCATGAATATCCTGCTGTTAAGTTGTTTCTACTCGAAAGCTTGTCCATGAATCAAAGTACAGCACATGAATCTTTGAATACACATTCAGTCTGTGGAGAACTTGTGAGACAGCTGTCTCTGTTAGTCTCTGTTGACAAAGACTCCATGCTGGAGAGGATTTCAAACTCTTCAAAAAAGATGCAATCAGACCGGGATGCTAAGGCAGAAGAACTACCGCGTCTGCAGTGCAAAATGATTATTGTGATAATTATTATTTCATGGAAATGATCGCATTTCCATGAAATAATAATCATACATTTTCTTCCTTGAGCTGCAGAACTCCACTGCACTCAGTGATCGACTCATCAGGGCTCCCCCACAAACAAGTGGCAGCTGGAAGAGAGTGGGTGAGTTGTGTTTGGTCTCTTAGCCAAAGAAATCAGGCAGTTAAAAAGATGTTTGATGGCTACTATGTGTTGGGACCCTATATGTACTGTTGAAGTAAGGTGCTGTTCTGAGCATTATTTGTGGCTATAGAGTGGCTTTTTGGTTGAGGTTTGCGCATGGAGACATGGGCCATTGTGTATTGCTATCGTGCGGTCTTAGCTGAAGTTGGTGTAACTAGAGAAGCAAGCGGCAATTCATTTCTCGAGGGGGTTTCTTTTTTGTCCATGACTTAAACTTACGCTGGAATTTCCCTTTAATCAAACTTAGATATTGATAGTCATAACTCTTTTATACCAGCAGAAGGCACCAGAAGAGCGAGCAACCCCATGTTACAGTGTCAGTTAAATGTAGTGGCAGAGTCAGCCTTTTTTGACTGGAGTGGCCAGACCGGGGCTCATGGCTCAAGGACTTTGGGAGGCAGGGCCTGATGATTTTATTTATATTTTCTTAAAAAGGGCTGTCAATCTCTATAGAATACTGGCAGAACACACACATGCACACACACACACACACACTCAAGGGAAAAAGGGACATCCTGGATTGTATCCTTTTAGCTTGGAGGCGTATATGAATGATGCTCCAGTGGAAATGTATAGATGAAAAAGGAGTGTTGCTTTACTGCTTTTCAGATGTCGACCCCCAAATGTGGTGGTGTTTCCACATTGTGTGGAGGAGGTAAGCGCCTTGGCCAAACTCTGTTACAGCCATAACCTTCCCATCATCCCATTTGGCACTGGAACTGGCTTGGAAGGAGGGGTTGGAGCAGTCAAGGTAGATGGAGGACAATTTTACATTTTTTTTACAACTGAATCGCAGTCCAACTCTCTACATTTCTTATCTCTATCTGTGCTACATTATTCTGAGAAAAATCATGTTGATCATGTCTAAAAGTACAAATAAATTAACTGTAAGTATGAAACATGAATGTCACTATTTACCAGAAACACTGGAACTGTCTGTATAGAGGTGGTATGTATCATAAGTCCAAAAATGTCTGCCCTGTGTCCTCAGGGGGGTGTTTGCTTCAGTCTAAGAAACATGGACCAGGTTCTTGATCTCCACCAGGAAGATTTTGATGTAACAGTGGAGCCTGGGGTGACACGGAAAGCCCTGAATGCCTACCTGCGTGAGACTGGCCTTTGGTTTCCTGTGGGTATGTGAAATTCATTTTCAGTTGCATCTTTAGAAAGTAATCTGCTAATTACAGTGGAAACACTGGATTTGTGTAGCGCAAGGGGACTCCTTTATTTTGCATCTTGTCAGCCTGGCTGATCTTGTACTGACCATCAACAAGCCACTTTGCACATTCACATGGTTATTGTTTGAGAGTAAAAAACAATATATTGAAATATCTTTCAATATTGCCTTTGAATTGATGTGGGAGTCTACGTCATCAATATCTATACATTTTCAGTGTCTCTGAATGTGCTCTAAAGATGTGTCCTAACCCCATTTTAGTCATGCCAAAGAGAAAAGATGCATGTCATAATGGAGCCAAAATGATGTATTTTGGGTGTGTTGTGAGTTCAGTCATTTTGTGGTGGGTACATTTTGTTGTAGATACAGTACTTAAAAAACTAAGTGTGGATTAAGGACTAAGGTAAAGTCCAGGGTGATACATTCTCAAATCATTATTGGAAAGGTTAAGAAGAGTGCATTGTAGACAACACAAAGGTGTGAAAATACATTTTCATTTGGTGTGTTTTGCTTTCTTAGATCCTGGGGCTGATGCATCGCTGTGCGGCATGGCTGCCACCAGTGCATCTGGTACCAACGCAGTGCGTTATGGCACAATGAGGGAAAATGTATTAAACCTGGAGGTTGTGATGGCTGACGGGACCGTCATACACACAGCAGGAAAGGGCAGACGTCCTAGGTACATATCAACAATGTGCACCCACAAATGCGCAATCTGACCTTCTCAGCTTGAATGCATTTCTTTTCTATCTTTATCAATGTCTAGGAAAACATCAGCAGGATACAATCTAACCAACTTGTTTGTTGGGTCAGAAGGCACACTGGGGATCATTACCAAGACTACTTTACGCCTGTATGGTGTCCCAGAGGCCATGGTGTCTGCCGTCTGCTCTTTTCCCTCTGTCCAGGCCGCTGTAGACAGCACGGTGCAGATCCTACAGGCTGGAGTTCCCATAGCTCGCATTGGTAAGGAGGCACACTTGAAAGAGATGACTGTGCAGCTCTGAGTCTATAGCTAGTTTCTGGCTGTTTTATGTTAATAATTTGGAGTGGTTGTAAAACTTTGAATAACACCCAAGTGCAGCTTTGACCAGAAAGAAATGACAACCAGAAAACACTGCTAATATGTCTACACCGGCAGAGTTTGCAGATTAGGAAGTTCAGTCAAGCTTCAATGTAAACAATATAAAGTATGTGTCAATGCAAATGGGGAAAATGATCATGTAAAGGGATAAAATTCACCAATGGTTGCTCTGGTTGAAGATATGAATTCATGAGCTCTTAGTTACAGCAGTTAATTCCTCCAGTTCATGTTTGTTTTGGTGTTTTTCCGCCTCTGCATCTGACTTTGCTGGTCTGCACACTCTCACCTCAGACAGCTTTGAGGCAGCCAATCAGCATGAAACCACCCAAATCCCAGCACAGATATCAGTCTGTTAAAAAACTGAGAGGCCAGAGGCTTTTTTAAGCTGAATTTAATAAATGCTTAAAAGAAGAACCAGTGCACGCTTTAAACAGCCAAAATAAGACCATTTGAGAACTTTTTCAGTGTTGATGTGCATCAGCTACAAATAAAGCATCTTTCTGACACAGCTTACTTTAACATAGGAGATTATCATTTTATCTGTAACCAATACTCCTTTACAGCTAAACTCTTGAATCTTTAGTGGTCACATGTTGATGTTTGACTTTGCTAAAGGAAGTATGTTACAATAAAGACATGCAGTTGGATCCTATCCCCTTCCCTCAGAGACGTATGAACAGAACATGGACCATAATTTGAGCTAATGAAGTCAAACTGTGTACTGGTGAACATGTTCAAAGTTGCAGACATCTCTCCAGATTATATCTTTGATAGTTTGCCTCTTTCCTCACAGTATGTTGTCGAGTGAAGAGGCAATTAAATATAAACCAACTGTTGTCTTATCTTTAGGCTGCTGAGAATAGTCTGACCCACATATCGAGCTCAACACCGTGAAATCACGAGAGAAATGAGACTTCATTGATCCCTTAGAAAAAACTGAGCAGGAGGGTTGGAGAAATCTGAAAATTAAAAATGAGAAAATGTATCATGAATTCAAGCTTTGAAAAAAGAATCTGTGTTAATTATTCATAGTTAGAAAGCATCTGCTGATCTTCAAGCAAAAAGTTCACAGACTGATGTATTTGGATGTATTGCCCATTAGTCTTTGTTTTGTGTTATCCAGAGTTCCTGGATGATGTGATGATTGATGCTTGTAACAGATTCAGCTCCCTGTCCTACCCTGTGACCCCAACTCTGTTCCTGGAGTTCCACGGCTCAGAGAAAAGCCTCGAGGAGCAAGTCAGCACAACAGGTGAGTGAGGTTGCAAAACAAAAACAAAAGAAAGTCCCTATTACTGAAGTTTCATATTGTCCTCCATGTTTTGGATGTTTCCCTGCTCCAACACACCTAATTCAAATGATCAGCTCGTTATTAAGCCATTACAGAGCTTGATAACGAGCTAATCATTTGAATCAGGTGTGTTGGAGCAGGGAAACATCCAAAACATGCAGGACAGTGGGCCTTGAGGACTGGACTTGAGGACCACTGATCTAGATGAAGGGGACCGTCACACCTGAAAAAAGGTTTGTTCAGGGATATTCTGCGTTGCCAGGCTGATTTAGCTGAAGCCTCGCTTGTTGCTACCAAGTAAGCAGCTGATCTAATATTTGTCTAAAGCTGTCTCAGATGCCTTTGTCATCACTTTATTTACATTTTTGAAACAGTGACGGTGAAATTTAGTGTAAAAGCCTTACGAGACCCAATGGACCTGCAATCCTCTATAACTCAGAAGAATTCAGAGTATTCTTCTGAATTATCTGGGTACATTCCAGATATATTCTCCTGTAAGAGGCAAAATTACTTAATATTATTAAAAACTAGTGTTAACCTTAACATGACAAGAATTTTTCCATCTGTGTGATTCTGCAGAGGAAATCACTCAAAGTAATGGTGGTGCAGATTTTAAGTGGGCCACAGATACTGAAGAAAGGAACCGATTGTGGAAAGCTCGTCACGACGCCTGGTATGCCGCCCTGGCTCTGCAACCTGGCTGCAAGGTAAAGACTATCGTTGACACTAAAAACTGTGGTAAAATTAACATACAACGTACAAGCTAAAACAAAACAAAATTAGGAGCCAAGAATCAAGATGATGTTAGGTTACACAAGAACAATCATATTATAGCACTTACGTAGGAGGCTCTGTCTTACAAAGATATATACACTCACCGGCCACTTTATTAGGTACACCTGTCCAACTGCTCGTTAACACTTAATTTCTAATCAGCCAATCACATGGCGGCAACTTAGTGCATTTAGGCATGTAGACATGGTCAAGACAATCTCCTGCAGTTCAAACCGAGCATCAGTATGGGGAAGAAAGGTGATTTGAGTGACTTTGAACGTGGCATGGTTGTTGGTGCCAGAAGGGCTGGTCTGAGTATTTCAGAAACTGCTGATCTACTGGGATTTTCACGCACAACCATGTCTAGGGTTTACAGAGAATGGTCCGAAAAAGAAAAAATATCCAGTGAGCGGCAGTTCTGTGGGCGGAAATGCCTTGTTGATGCCAGAGGTCAGAGGAGAATGGCCAGACTGGTTCGAGCTGATAGAAAGGCAACAGTGACTCAAATAACCACCCGTTACAACCAAGGTAGGCAGAAGAGCATCTCTGAATGCACAGTACGTCGAACTTTGAGGCAGATGGGCTATAGCAGCAGAAGACCACGCCGGGTGCCACTCCTTTCAGCTAAGAACAGGAAACTGAGGCTACAATTTGCACAAGCTCATCGAAATTGGACAATAGAAGATTGGAAAAACGTTGCCTGGTCTGATGAGTCTCGATTTCTGCTGCGACATTCGGATGGTAGGGTCAGAATTTGGCGTCAACAACATGAAAGCATGGATCCATCCTGCCTTGTATCAACGGTTCAGGCTGGTGGTGGTGGTGTCATGGTGTGGGGAATATTTTCTTGGCACTCTTTGGGCCCCTTGGTACCAATTGAGCATCGTTGCAACGCCACAGCCTACCTGAGTATTGTTGCTGACCATGTCCATCCCTTTATGACCACAATGTACCCAACTTCTGATGGCTACTTTCAGCAGGATAATGTGCCATGTCATAAAGCTGGAATCATCTCAGACTGGTTTCTTGAACATGACAATGAGTTCACTGTACTCAAATGGCCTCCACAGTCACCAGATCTCAAGCCAATAGAGCATCTTTGGGATGTGGTGGAACGGGAGATTCGCATCATGGATGTGCAGCCGACAAATCTGCGGCAACTGTGTGATGCCATCATGTCAATATGGACCAAGCTTTCTGAGGAATGCTTCCAGCACCTTGTTGAATCTATGCCACGAAGAATTGAGGCAGTTCTGACGGCAAAAGGGGGTCCAACCCGTTACTAGCATGGTGTACCTAATAAAGTGGCCGGTGAGTGTATATGCATATATATTAAATATCACAGAAATTTACATTCACTTCATGGACAAACGCCATGCAGGAGTCTCATGGCCCGTCTTTCAAGAGTTTTATGCTCTGGTGTGAAAAGAAAAAAAGAAAAACACACTTGGTCTGCCTATGTGTGCTATGTAGCCACCTGTAACTCCAACTCAGGACAGCAGGATGTAAAGGCTGTTGTGTGGGTATGCTCAGTCTTTGATGACCCGCAAGAACTGCTGAAGGACTGCTCAAGCAGAAACCTCTGGTCTTAAGAAAAGAAGCAGAAGTGGTAAAAACTGCACTCAGAGCTGGCAGCTAAAGTACCAGAGGCCACACACTCATTCAAAAAAGAAAAAAAAAAACATCCTTAAAAGAGAGAAAATACACTCGTAGAACAGGGAGAAGAGGGATTGGCTTCACCTCTTTGCCGCTTGCTTAGTTGGTTCAAAGCTAAATTGAGTCAGCATTTGCAAAATGGCAGCTGCTGTCAATAGGCTTCAAACTCTACTCCAGAGATGAATGAGTGACGACACCCGGACTGCACTTATTTTTAATGCAGGCTAGCTTCTGCTGTCTTAGCAGCTCATATCATCCTCTTCAGTCAAAAAAGGTTTAGTGCACACACATCCAAAAGTTTCAACATGTGCCAGATCAAGAATCAAAGGCAAGAATCTTAAAAGGATCTACAAATAGTACAAACAGCTCACATTTGATTGAGAATACACATTTTTGATCTTATGGATCTTATTCAGGAAATGGGTGATGATGTCTCCAAACCATTAGATAAGACAACTCCAGGTCAACATTCCTAAAAGGTTCCATAGCTGAACCTAAAGTGGAAGAAATTAGATCCAAAAGAGAGTCACTGCTGTTGCAAACTTCAAATTCTGTAGCTCAAATGTGTTTCATCCACAAATATTTCATTTTAGTGAATGAAAACATAACTCAACCCAAAAAACATAATCCAGATGTTTTTACTCAGCACTGGCATGAGTTACATCCACATATATAGTTTATGTGTGATTGAATTAGCCACCCTGCCATCCGAGGAGGGTAGTGTGGCATTGATACAGCAAGAAGAAACAGAAAATCTGCATTTAACAAAATCTTTATTACATTTAAGGACAGTCTGAGCTTGTTTACTGGGCCACACATAATCTTAAATTGATATGAGGTAGTCGTGAAAAAGGATCCTTGACTAAGATAGATGTTAGTCCGTTCAGCAGAACACCCCTTTGTTCAGCTTTGACTCAATACCTCTGGAGGTCAGGGTTCAGGGTCACTGGTTGCTGCTGTTAAATTATGTTGCCTTTTTAACAGTGAACAACACTGTGGTTTAACACTCCTCTGGCTTTGTTTTATGTCTCACTTTATTCATGTTTTAAATCTTACTGATGCTCCAAAACAAACACTTGAAGCTCTTCCAACATTGTGACCTTATCTTCTCCTCTGTGTGTGTGTGTGTGTGTGCGTGCGTGTGCTGCATGTGTGTGTTCCCCTGGTAGGCCTATGCTACAGATGTGTGTGTTCCTCTGTCTCGGCTGCCTCAAATCATTGTGGAGACAAAGGAGGACCTGATCCAGAACAAACTTACAGGTGAGACAGTGGAGTAGTGTCGTACAGACGACTCGCTTGATATCTCAGTTAAGTTTTCTCCACATTCATATTGAGTTTCTTATTGGAAGAAGGCAGAATTCAAGATTTCATTTTCCTGTCCGTAGCAGATAGTCATGTTTTTGACAGAATTTAGTTCAGAACAGAGTCGAGTATGATGTTTGATCATTTGATTTTAAAGAAAAGGGCTTCACATTACATCCTGAAACTTTAATCATTGTTTCTTCAGGTCCCATAGCAGGCCATGTGGGTGATGGTAACTTCCACTGCCTGGTAGTGTTGGACCCCAATGACCAGGAGGAGCAGCACAGGGTCCACCTGTTCACTGAGAGACTGGCCAGGTATCGTGTCTTAGAACCTCTCACCTTTCTTTCTCTTTGACACTTTGACACAGTGCAACTCAGAAAGTTGTCAGGCTGTGTTTTTTGGGTCCAGTATTTAAATTTAGGCCCTGACATTACACATTTTGGGCTCTCAGTTAGTAACAGACACAAACGTATGAAACCAGTACAGTAGATCACTCAATCCGAGCGGTAACAGGCTGCATTATCATCTCTATGGGCGCAGGCTCCTAAACAACTACATCTAGAAGTTTTGCCATTGACAAGCTCAGGTGGTACATGTACCACACAGAACCAGGATTTGGTGGTCTACAGTTGCTGTTAGGCATGTTTGTGTTTTAAAGTAACATTGCTGTTGATTGGAGTGGTTGGTCTAACCGCATCTTCAGCATTGCACACTTATCCCTCCTCTCAGTCAGCTGATAATCATGTGATTGCGTTGAATATTAAACTACAAATGGTGCGCAAATTCTCCAAATTCTCATCAAAGCTTGTAAAGACAGTGGTCAGTACCAGGGTTAGTCACAGGTCTCGGGGGTGTTGCACAGGGGGCGTGCTGGAAAAAGTCACATATAGGCCACGTTCACACTGAAGGTTATGATTTTTTGTTAAATCCGATCTTTTTGGAAAATGAATGCAGCATCTAATGTGAACGGAATGCGTCTGTGAAGTGACCCGCATGCGCACAAAGCACAAATTGCTTTCCGCGCCTGTTTGTGTCGTCAAACAATGGTGATGTTTGTCGCATATTGGTGACGAATAGGTCGGATGAACGCGACCTGAGCGTCCACACTGCAGTCACATCTGATCCATATCCGATTTATATCCACATACAAAAGAGGCCTGGGTTGGATTTGAAAAAATCAAAATTTCACTGTTCACATTTTCATGAAAAAATCTGATGTGTCACATATGGTTAAAAAATCGGAATGTACCTGCAGTGTGAACATAGCCATAGAGAGAAGGTGACAATAGCTAGTCGGTGAGAGTGTTAAACCACATAAAAACATTATTTAGTATGGGTTTTGATTTAAGCTTGAAATGGCACATGTTCAAGTTTACAAGCCTCATGAGAGTGCAAGAGTGGGAATCTATTAAATGATAATGGGCTTTGCATGTGGCCACCATTAGTGCAGGAATAAGTGTCTGTTACATGGTTAATGTGGCGTGTGTTGTAAAAATCCCCCCGAGTGGTTGGAAAACTAGTTCTGCAAAAACATATTCCATTCACTGTTTTACCATTCACCTCTCTAAAAGTGTCTAACTTCATACCGTTGTTTCATTGTAACAGAAGGAAATCAAAAAACTAGTTGGAAAGACAGAATCCACTACTAGCTTGACCTCAGATTTGTAGAGGTAATCATACTGTATCAGTTACATGTTATGAAATAAAGTCACTTTCTTCTCTTTAGGCGAGCTCTGGCCATGGATGGAACGTGTACAGGGGAGCACGGCGTGGGATTAGGGAAGAGAGCGCTGCTTTGTGAGGAGATGGGCCCCATGGCTATCCAGGTCATGCAAGGACTGAAGGATACCCTCGACCCAAAAAACCTGATGAATCCTGGGAAAATTCTGCTGCCCGCAGAACTATAAAAAGTCTTAATGTTCGAGGTGAAAGTCAATGAACACAGTAAGCCTTCTATCATGATCTGCTGCGTCTTTATCACTCGATCAGACACAGATGTCAGGAGGAAATCTCGAAATAGCACACTTCCCACAGTGTTTCTATTTAAACAGGCCTTCCAGTGCAGCTCTAACAGGCAACAGTAATTCAAACATTAGTACAAGCCAATAGCTTCTCAATAGGAGGACAAACAAGGTTATTTAATGTGAAATGTATTGTGGCAGAAAATCATTGCCATGCTGCAAAACACTGCACAGTACATGCAGTTCATGCTTGAGTTTGAGGACTGTTTTTCTTGTTTGACCTGCTCCAAAGCCTGTTCCATGTCAAAGTGCGGTAAAAACAAACAAAAATCACTATCACTACGCACTGTTGCAGTTTTTGTTTTTTTGTACAGGAAATGTAAAAATGAGGCATTGTGTTGAATCAAAACCCCTTTTTTGTCTCTGCATACACTGATGGCTGATTATTTATTTTACTAATAAAATAAAAAAATATCAAAACTGTCATCTTTGAACCACTTTTTTTTTTTTAATTCATTTTAATTTAAATCTATTGGATAAAACTTGCCAGTAGTCACCAGCTTTGCTAAGGTTCACAACATAATTTATACAAAACAAGTATCTCTGCACAACATCTTGAATACTTGGTATGGGGGTGGATCTCAGACCTCTTCAGTAAGGTTAAAGTGGGCTGGTAGAGAGCTGATTAGATCCTCCTAGTCCTTTAAAGAAGTTTGCGAAGCTGAGCTGAGTTAACTACAGAAGGAGGGAGTAATGCTCAGCTCCACCACAGCGCGTCAGCAGTACTCACATCCCCCCAGCCCTGTGAGACAAACATGCAGTGTCTTTGTCATGTAAATAATTAAACTGCTGTTAGCGTATTTCTGCTTCAATAAATCATGATATGTATTCTTGCTGCTGTCTTCTGTAATTATCCCAACGTAAAGAAAGACAAACCCCTGCACAGCAACCAGGAGGATGAAAATCTCAGTCCAGTATGAACTAATATTTGACTCATTTGTATCCAAGTCTTGGTTTATTGACTTGTTCATGGTCTAATGAAGCTGTCAGTACTGTATTTAAACAGTTGATAATCTCTCTTGACTAAAGTACACCAGAAATACATACCAAAAGAAAAAGGACACTGTGTAAAATTATGATAAAGTTAGATTTTAATGGTTTACAAATCATTTAAACTCTATATTTCATCATAAATAAAACCAAGACAACTTATTAAAACTGGAAAAAAATATTTTTTTGTAAAAGATTTTCTTTAATTTTGAAGCTAAAAAACACATTACCATTCGGTTGCATCACCTCTTCTTTTAACAACACTGTTTATGTTCAAGAGCTGAGGAGACCAGTTTTTGGAGATGTGAAAGAGTCCCATGTCCCATTCTTACTGAACATTAGATTTCAGCTGAGTCCAGGGTCCCCTTTACTGTATTTTTCATTTGATGCTGTTTTCAGAAGCTGACAAGTCGGGACCACAGGCAGACCAGTTAAGCTTTTCAACTTTCTCTGTGCTATAATAATACATGCAGAATGAGGTTTGGCGTTGTCTTGTTGAATTATGCAAAGTACTTCCACTTAGATGCATGATCTGTATGACAGCATATGTTGCTGTATTATTCAGCATTCCCTGATGTTTAAGATACTCAGACCACGAGCACTTCTTCATACCCATCCCATCACAGATGCTGGCTTTGGGACAGTGAGGTGATAACAAGCTGGGTGGTTTCTACTAGAGAGTCTTTTTTTATGCTGTGCTGCATGAGGACTCAGAGATCATGAACATCCACTGTTGGTGTTTGGTCATGTCTCCTCTTTTTTAGAATATTCTTTTAAAATTAGTGAATTACAGTATTAGCTTACACAGTCCCTTACAGACCCCTAGACATATCCCCACCTCTACTTGTGATAGACAGCCTCTGAGGGAGCCCCTTTTTATACCAGGCCATGGTACTAAGCTGCTGAAAATGAATTTGGGGGTGGTCTCCAGGGTATTGTTTTTTTTCCAGTATTGGCTAACTTTTTCAATGCTTTGTTGTCCCTGCACTTTTTTGAAAGCTGTTGGCATCAAATTTAAAATGAGAGTATACTTTTAACATAACAAGGACATTTTCAGTTTCAACATTTGGTAAATGGACAGTTTCTAGGTAGCCCTCTTTCTAGTCTCCTGACTGCTCAAGGTGCTTTTATGTCATATTACCTTCATAAACTGCAGAGGCTACTATAAGGAGCAAACGTCTCTATAATCAAATCCCATCCACAGTTTGGGTGAAGTGCCGGAGAGCACTTTGGAATGTGGACAGCAGGACCTGGGATCAAAACCCTGACCTTTTGTTGAGTGACGGCCGGCTCTATCACAGTTACACAGCTGTATCAACACTATGGCTAATCGACATAAGGTTGAAATCATTCGCAAATCATCAAATTATGTTTTTATCATCATTTTGCATAGAGTCCTCATATTTTGGAACTGCGTTTGGAGACTAAAACATGGTGTGTGTGTAGAGTCAGAAAGAAGTACTGAGTGCTTTCTAACTCCGACCTGTAAATTCAACATAATTAGTGTCTTGATTTTAGGGGTCAAATGAAACATCAGGATCACGTTGTTTTTATCTTTGTGAACTTTAGAACTTTCAGTGTGAGGTGCTGTTTTCATCACACACTTATTACACTTTATTTTAGTCTAGAAGAGTGACTGTGAGGAACAAAGAGCCAGACGGTGTAAAAACAGCCTAATCACGCTCTCATAGACACTCACATGAACACGCACACACACACACACACACACACACACACACACACACACACACACACACACACACACACACACACACATAGGATTAGACCAAGTAATCCCAAACCAAACATGTGAGCCTGTAATCCAAATAATTTAGCATATGGTGGGAAAAGCTGAGCATAACACAGTAATGACAACAATATGCTGGCTGATGGCCCGATAGTGTGGGGGCCGCACAGCAGCATCATGGGTAATACGGTTCCTTTGTTGCTTAAAATTCAACAACCTACTCCACCAAATGGTAGATGCAAGACATACTGTGACATTCTGAGGCAAATTGTGCATGAGTGCAATATTTACTACCACAGCCATGCAGCTGATACTCAGATATTGGCTCTCCCACCAGATGATTGTCAGTCTCATATGGAGCATTAAACCAAGAGTAAATCATCTATTGGAATAACTGAAATTTTCTTCAGAGATCATTTTATTAATCAAGAAAAAAGGACAAGTAGCCTATTGTGTCTTAAACTTAAAGATCCTATGAGAGACTTTTAAGTTTGTGCCAACTTTGGCACCCCCTTGTGGACAAATCAGTCTTTGCTTGTCATGCCCTGTAAATGCTAATGTGGTGTCTTCTGTCAGGAAAATTGAAAATATAAATAACATTATCATCCCAAGGACTTTTGATAGGCAAATGGAGAATGTAAAAAGAGGGTTTCTTCCTCAGTGTATGTCAAATAAATTAAAAAAAAAAATCCACAGCCCACTGAGCAACAGACGGCTATTAGACGTCTAGTTTTTTTAAACCTCATTTCAACCGTCTAGATTCTGTATATTTTTAGACGGAATTTAGACGTTGCACTTCAACCTATTATTTGATAACTATTTATTTCAAAAAGGAACTGTGAGTTACATAACTGATCTCTAAGTACGTCACCAAAAATAATTATGATAGCTGTTGAGCAATATACAGTATTGTATAGATATAACCCAGATTAAGATTTAGTCTAAACTTGGTCTAAATTTAGACTTAAAAAAGCTTTTATTTTTAGACTTGTGGTAACCTGATTTTAGACCAGTCGTCTAGGCTACAGTTAGACGTCTATTAGACCTCTTTTAGACCAAAAATGCTGAGTGGGACAGGCACTTTACCGAATGTCTCCCCTGAAGATAAAGTATTATTGTGATTCTGGTGATTAAAGACTTTTATAACTGGACATTATCTAGCCAGTAGCCACAGTCATTAAAACTGCCTTTAGGGATAAGTTTCTCCAATGTGAACATTTTTAAAACTATCCTTTTGTGCCTTTCGTGAACTCTAAAACCTACATCCTTTGAGGTGCTGTAGGCTCATTCATTTTTTGTTCTTTTTGAAAATCACGGTAATAATCATGTATTTGAATCTTATTTCAGCGTTTGAATTTTGCTTTTATAGTTATTTGATCAAATTATGATGATTTTACACACTCTGCATTTGATCATATCATGTTGTCATTTCATTTTTCAGTTTTGTTTTTGTTTAAGATCTCCAGTTGGATGTTCTTTTAGTTTGTGTGGATCATTTTGATTTGTTTTTCTGTATGGAATTTGATAATTGAATAAATCTGCCTTGCCTCGCCTGGTGTTTAGTGCATTGGCCAGAGACAATGTTGAAGCCCATTCCCAGTGATTTGGATTTATATCGAAGTCTGCTCGCCTCCTATCAGCAGCATCCCTTGTTCTGTCTGTATTTATTATCCGAGCTTGCGCACTGAGCGCCTCCATTGTCTGGCCAGTAGCGGCAGCAGCAGCAGCAGCAGCAGCAGCGGCGGCGGTGGTGGCGGTGGCGGCAGCGGAGCGGAGAGCAACGGAGCGCCGATCAGAGCGCAGGGGAGCGGCTTTACCGTGACCCCGATCTGCGGGGAGAAAAGCGACCGCTGGTTGGAGAGCACCACGGACGGCGACGTCATATTTCGATGTGAGACAGACCGTCGTTTTGCGGCGGTCAGACAGACAGCAACAGTTGTCACGATGTCTGAGATCAGATGAGAAGAGAGCAGCGGAGTGAACATTGCGGCGCTGCTCTGCTGTGATTCGGGCCGGGTGGGATAAACGTGTTGCTGCCGTGTCCTGTCTGCGATGATACAGCCGTCTTAACCAGCTGGTACAGCCAGGGGAGTGTGGTGTGCATCTGTGTGTCATTCGGGGCTTCGGCGTCATTCGGCTCGTCAGCCATCCCCCCCGGTTTGTGTTGAGGTTTGTCTGCGGGTGAGGTGAATCCAGACGTCAGGGTGGGCTCATGTTCCGCTCAGCAGGGAAACGGGCTGTTGCGTCTGCAGAGAGTCAGAGCTGACGAGCCTGCTGAGACACACGGACAGACAGGCAGGCACGCAGGCAGGCCAAGAGACAGACAGGGGCGAGGGGAGGGGGCGACAGCCTGTTTCGGCTCTCTCGACCCTCTGCGGATCGAGCCGAGCCCCCTCCTGGTATCCACCCAGAACCCCCACCCACTTGTCTCCCGCTTTGGATGGGGGGAAAGCAGAGCACGGCGGGGCGGCCCCGGGGTGCTTTTCCCGGTGTCTCTACGGATGACAGCGCGGTGCCACCCTCGGCCCACTTTGGCCACTACCGGCCGAGCGGCACCATGGGCCTGCGGAGCCGCTCGGTGAGCTCTGTGGCCGGGATGGGCATTGAGCACAGTCCCGCCGTGCCCTTCGGCTTCTACACCCCCAGAGGGTCGGACTCGGATCGAGCCGGAGGGGGGTCAGGGGGCACTACCGCTGCCCCTCATGGTACCGGCTACCAAGACAGTGGGGGCGGAGGGCACCACACGGACGGAGTGCTCTATCTGGGGTCCCGGGGGTCGCTGGCTGACACCTTGCCCCTGCACATCGCACCCCGCTGGTTCAGCGCGCACAGCGGTAAGAGCGGCCTTTTCTGCACACACATCGACATATTCGTGCACAACATTATGCATTTAACCACATGAACCAATATTTGTAAACAGGGGGAACAACATACACATGCATACAGACATCAGCTCTCCCTGTACACACCTTGTTTACCTGGAGGGTGACACTATTGCAAGGTGCCATTAAATGTCAGTGTCAGGCCCACCACTGGACACCCTGGAGAAGAAGAGCACTAGATGTAATTCAAGGCTTAAAATATATGTTTATGTGCATTCTCAATTGTGTGTCCCCTCGTTTGGTAAACTGCATCATACCATCAACAATGAGAACCTACACAGGCATAGTATCAGCATTAGGGCATCATGTAGAAGTGCCTGACATTTACCACTTCAATTTAAAAACAACTTCAACAGTTTGAGCTAATTGAAATGAAGTTATAAGAAATCTAGTCGTGCAATGAAACACAAGTTTAGTCAAGCAGTCACATGAAAATGCTCTTAATAGGTCATTTGATCAAATCAGGGGATCGCTGAACTCTGTGTGCAGAGGGAATTAGATTTAGACAGCAAAACATTGCAAGGTGTGCTCTGTCTTGACTGTCTTCTCTGCACTGTCTGTATAGGTCATACCTTGTTGTGTAAAATGACACTCATAAGCCTGTTGCCAAATCTGGCTGAGTCAATTAGCCCAGCGATTAGAGGGAAGGGGCAGAGGGGGGGTTGAGGCAGGGGATGCAAAGGGAAGGGCTGGAAAGGACAGAGAAAAAGGCTGAAAAGGGGGCTTGTGGATGATCATTGGCTTACTGCTCCACAACACACTCCTGGATGTGACCGGCAATCTACACACACCTGCATCTGTGCATTCACCAATACATATATCCACATATACAAAAAATCCTGGACCACATGGCCTCAGCAGGTTTCTTTACAGATGCACAAAGGTACACAAACACTCAGCACAAAGTCCTAAAGGGAAATTACACACTGCTTCTCATGTGCACACCCAAATACACACACGCACACACACAGCAGGCACACTCAGGTCCCCAGGCTCTTGTTACTGAAGCCCTGACCAGCTCACAGCAGGGAAATAGCAAGTCGTACGTCAACATCTCGGCTGTTTTTTCCTTGCCCCCATTGCCTTGTGACTCTGATGTTCTCCTAGATCAGTCATAGGATGCAACAGAGCGTATTATTGGGGAAAAAATGACAAAGGTGCACATGTCATAAAGAGTGTCCTTCAAGAGTACTATAAAGGAAACACCAGTACATGAAGGACTGGAACACCTTATTTGAACCAGAGTAGCACAGCAGCAAAGAGAAGGAGAGTATTTGTCTTAAGGGTGTGGTCAGCAGCTAGCCTGTTGCTACTGACATAGGAAGGCTGGGTCCAGTCAGACTGCGAGGAGTCAGCAACAGAGCCAAACACCTCATATGTTGATATGGAGGTAACAAGGGTAAAGAACTGAAGGAATATCATTCAATTTTTACTGCAAATAACAGTAAATATTTCAACAAATACTCTGGGGTACTTTTGAAAGTTGCATCCATACAATTTTAACTGCTAAACAGGCCCCCCTGAGAGAAAAGAGAGTAGTTAGCTATACAAGAATTACTTACAGGAACTCATGGTGCATTTCATTTTCCACTGAAGTCAGTTGCCTGAGTGGAAACAATACAACATTTGAGTAAATTGTGTTCCAGTTAAGAGCTGGAAGTTTTTTTAACCATGGTTCCTGTTGTTGTAAGTGTTAGCCAATCCCTGACTACAGGGAACATGAAAACATAACAGATTGTACTGATACTTTCAATGTGGTTGATTTCATTCCACAGAACAAGACTAAGTTCCTAAGAAACACATTTAAAAGATTTTTTTTTTTTTAGTTGAAGCATAGTGCAGCCATCTTGGATTTCAAGCTCAGGATAAACTCAAGTCCCTCTGACTTTCCGACTCAGATTTATGACTTAAGGGGGAAGTTCCTGGGTGACGTACCTGATTGACATCTTGAGATTTTTCACTGCTAAGGTCAAAGGGAATAGACTATGATGCCAACCAGACAGTCAGCACGTTTTCAAGGATTTAAGAAATGATTTAATGTGAGCACACTACTCTGACTGAAATTGCACTGAAATCAAACTACTCGTAGACTAACACACCTGGATAATGCAGTTGGCCAGCTATTTTTTGTGCATGTATACCGCTCAGTCGAGCTGAAACTGACCTGAGTGTTCATCTGCCAGGCTATGAGCTGAACAAAACCTCTCTGACAGTTTTGTTTCAGGATGTAAAAGGGATGAAAATTTCCTAACAAATGACTCAGAGCTGTAAAAGTGACATCTTGTTAGCCTGTTACTAATGCCTTTTGCACGTAAACTGGGATAAGGACAGTAGTTGAATTAAGTCGCCTAATGGAGCGATGACCGTAGCTTGACTTCACTGTGCATGTAAATATACTGAATATTTTGTTTTTGAAAAGAAGAAACAGAAACACAGTTTTGTTCATTATTACTGATTTAAAAGTACAATAGCTGGTTAGGTAGACTTTGAAGGACGCACAGCGTTTAAAAACTGAAATATTTAGCAATACATAGCTGACAGATTCTGGATTGAAATGCACCCCTGCTCCAAACTGTGAAGCGATGGTGGCCCTTTAGGACAAAAAGCACCTGTGATGCATGATAATTATAATCCTACATTTGTCAAGTTTTTACCATCAAACACATCTATCTATTCATCTTTAAGCACACAACTGTGCTCTTCTTTGTCCTCATAGTTTGCTCATTCTGTGCTTACAGCAAAAACACAGCAGGTCCCTTTGTTAAAAAGGACCTGCCCTTTGTGTACATATGAAAGGCTCGTTCAAAGTCAACAAAACCAGTTGTTTATTTATACTCAGGTGATCCAACTCTATTTTAAAAATACTTGTGAATACTATATTCCATTTCTACTGTGTCTGTTCTGCTGAATGGAGCTATTCTTCACACTGTATCCTTGCGCTTTGACATGTTTGAAATTAGTATGACCATTGGCAAGATGTTGCTGTTGGGTGTAGAAGTTATAACAAAGCCATATGGTACATTATAAGTCCTAGACATTGGAACAATGGATGAGTGGGACCACAAATTCTCTTATAAGCTGTGCCAGTAGGTGGAGTAAATGTCAATGTCAAATGTCAGGAGTAAATGTTTTTGTCAGTCTTTGTGAGCAGGCAGATAGAAAAAGATCTAAGATGAACACATGTTAACAATTGGAATCAGGGTTAGTACCTTCTGGAAGCTGTAAATCTGGAGCTGAGAGATGGTGGACTGCGCAAGATCAGACGGCAAGATAATATACAAAAAGATTGACAGGCTTAAGACATAAGTGACAAGTGTAGAGGCAAGAACTGGACCAACTGTGTGAGAACAGGTCAGGACCGACAATAATTTTTCTGCCTCTGCAAGTAAAGTTGCAGGTTTGAACTGTCATTCTTCCTTTCATTGGAGTCAATGTGCTGTCAAGGATGGTAAAGAGTTGGCTATATGGATAGTCTAAGAAATCTGATGAGAGAGGCTCTTGTATTTAGTGCTGAAGTAAAAATTGGCTGCTCTTTTGGTGAGTTCTATCACTCCTGACTGCTTGCATGCTCCTTTATATTTCACTTGTAACTGTAGAAGAAATCCTCTCCTCTCACTGGGGTTTTCTGGTGGTGACGGAGAATATAAGAGAAATTTTGCTGCCTTCGGCTGCTTTCAGGACATGTCTAAAAGCCACTGTCCTCATTTATCTAAGTGAGACCATGGTACTGGCACAGCTGGGTGCCACTGCAAAAAGTGCTCCTGCAAATGTATCTAAGTAGTGTAAAGAAAAGTTCATCCCAGTTTAATTTTAGCTGCAGCACTGACCAATGCCATGGGACGTACTATATTGGTTTAAACTACACATTAATCACCATGTAAGATAGAAAAACTAGAGGCAAAGAGCTTGAGTTGCTCAGTAGGCCTGGAGTTTGAGTTCTCCTCCATGTTGCCTCCACGTCTCAGACCAGGCGAGGCAGACTCACATGACTACACACAGGTGATGTATTAAAGGGGACATCATGTCACTACACATAATTAGGAAAATAAAAACTGAATTTCTAGAATGTGTTTAGAGGATTACAATTTAAAAAAAAAAACAATAGCTGATGTGGGCAAAATCACACGAGTTAGAGGTTCTGTATGTCAGCTTGGATTTATTTTGGAGTAATTGCCCAGACCTTGGTGGATGATTTTAATCACTTTTTAACAGTTTGTCTGATCTGACCACATTAAGGTCAAGAGAAATGAATAATTAGACATAATTTGGGTCATGGTTAATTTGACTGACAGGTGAGTGCATCGTAACTGTCAGGCTATGGTCTCATCTCCACCTCCTCACTGGTTTCAAGACTTAGCTGGAGGCAGTGTTTTTATTATAGCAGCTGCTGTCTTTGGACTCCTCTATCTAAAAGAGAGTGGGTAAAATCTTGGTCACTTTGTCCGGCTCTTATACAGTCTTAAGACAAACCAAGACATCTATGCTGAATTTCAAACAGGGCACAAATGGCAGCTATCTTTACTCCTAAGTGTGAAATAGATTCCAAGCCAAAAGCACTGAAGACAATCTTTCAGGTAGTGTGTAATCAAGTCACAGCTCAGGTGTTTTTGGGAATCACAGCACAGCGAGGTGGTAGAAGACTTTTCTCTATAGGGAAAAAAATATGGCATCCCGTATTGTGTTCTACACAATGAACTTTTCGCTCTGAAACTATCTGAGGTTTGACATACTATCAACCAAATTGTCTCTAGCAGCATATGATTTGAACCTGTAAAGCTACATATTGGTAAGATGTGTTCTGCAATGTACAGACTGTTTAGTAAAGGACAGAGAGAAACCAGAGTCATTTTAAGGCGTTAAGCAGGGGTGAATGTAGGATATGGTTCTTGCAGGTACTGTACCTGTAGGCTTTGTACAAGAGGAGCACACCTAAGTTTAACGAGGTGCCGACTCTGATGCCACTGTATCATAATCTGCTTTATCTCTCTTTCTCTTGAACATAAAATCAAATTTTCTCTGCATTTTGTTTTATTTCTGCATTAAAGGGATATTCTGGCGTAAAATTAAGTTAGGGTCAAACACACTGTAACACTGAGTTAGACACCCCGTTGAGAGATGCTTGCTTCTCTAGTTTACATGCTCAACAATAACCCCACTCTATAGCCACAAATAATGCTCAGAACAGCACCTAACTTCATCAACAGTACATATAGGGTCCCAGCCACAGCACTAGCCACCAAACATCTTTTTAGCTTTGCCTAATTTCTTTAGCAAAGAGACTAAACACAACTCACCGTCTCTCTTCCAGCAGCCGCTTGTTTGTGTGGAGACCTCCGGGTGAGTCCATTGATTGCAGCGGGGTGACGCAGCTCAAGGAAGAACATTTATGATCATTTCTTCATTGAAATGCAGTCAGACCGAGACGCTAAGGCAGAAAAACTACACTGTCTGCAGTGCAAAATGATTAATGTGATGATTATTACTTCAAGGAAATGATAAAGTAAGGAAGCAAGGAAATGACACTCGATAGGGTGTCTGACTCGGTGTTACGGTGTGTTTGACCCTAACTTGATTTTACGCCAGAATATCCCTGCAAGATTTAACTAGCTATCCCTTTCAAAGTTCCCTCCTTCCGCAAAAGGCGGGATGCGACCGCCTGGGCAACCAGCGTCCAATCAAAAGTGCGCACTGAGCGCTTATTTTAGAGCTTGCCTTGTTATTAATTATATTCGGACAAGGCAAGCGCTAAAATAACATTTGTAGATGGAGCCATCTTGTTTCCGCCTCTGATTTTTCTTTTTTCCGACCTGATAACTGAAACGCTGGTAACTCGGGTGTGACGTCATTCCCAGCTCGGATTTCAGACTTCCGGTGTAACTCGACCGCTGCGACACTTCTAGAGTTTGTTTGTTTGTTTGTGGAAGCAAATACGACTCACTCAAAAGCAGCATGGTCCTATTGGATTATATTGGATTGGTTATAATGCGGAGTGCAGGCCGACGTGCGGCAACATGGTAAGCAAATGTAGCCGACATATATCACAGGGGTGAAAGTTTGTGTACCGCTGCGTACAGGTGTTATGCCATAAAATGCACCCCTGCCGTAGAATGCACCCCCTGACGGGAGCGCGGTTCCAAGTATTTAACAAGGCGAAATAATCCAAGTTTTCCTTACCATTGGATGGATTCAAACGTGTGTGGCTTTAATGATCTCATTCAGGCTATTCAAGATAAGCCGAAAACAATAGCCATCTGATTCGGAATATTTGCTGTCCCGAAAATATAATGTTCTCTACCTTAACAGCTTACTGTACAGTTGATATACTCAAGTACACCTCTATGTGTGCATTTTTGGGACACATACAAACAGAACGAAAGTTTTCTGCTCCATTTGACGTGCTATCATGATCTAATACTCGTGTTTTGCTTTAAAATAAGATATTCTCCTCCACTTTAAGAAACTAGTGAGTGGATGGGATGCAGGGGTGCATTCAACAGCACAACACCGGCTGTAAACTGCTGTTTATGTTTTCCCGGTACGGTGTACCGCTGTGTAGTGCCACCGGTAGTAAGTGTCGTAATCTGAACAAGATCAGAGTTTCATAAAGTTACGGTGCTGTCAGGAAAGAGATACTATTATGCATAACAAATCATCTTGCTAAGAATGCATCTGGCCTTATAATAATCACTTAAGACCAGTGGTGCCGGTGTTTGAGTAAACCAGACAGGAAAATAATGATCTGATATCAGTCGTTTCAAACAACAGTGGAGCGTCAGGGCTCACATGTTCATTTTAGTGAAGAACTATTAGTTTAAGACCTGTCTGTGAGGTAGGTTTGTTGATGTACCCCCTTTCTAAATGTGTTGGTAGCCTACTGATGCAGCTCTACCAGGTATAAGAACAGTCTTATACATGATAAGCCTGTGATGATTTCACATAAGACAACCGATCCGTTTTTTAAAATTCAACCAAAAATTATTAAATGTATAGTTCCAGTGTGATAGGCATTTTGTAGCTCATGGGTGGCATGTGCCATATTAGAAATATTAACATGAACCACGCTTTAAACAAACAGGCAAAGAGGAGAAGGTGAGGCAGACTCTCAGCTACAATACTAACCTGTTCATTAACTCAGCCGTGCCATGAGTTATGCATATTTATGTAGAACCCTAAGCCTTTATATTATCTAAATCAGTCCATGCACAGTTTGTATGAATAAATAGATAAGCCATATACCCCTCCAAAGTTTTTTTTTCACTGGGCTGTAAACAATTTTAAGGCAAAGTTCCCCAGGGTAGAATTTGAGGGTTTCATCATTTACATAATATCAACAAAAGATGCAAAGTACCTGAAGAAATGTCTGTACAATCGGTACAAAGTCCAAAAACAATACTGCCGTCCTCCTCTGTGAAATGGCTGTTAATGAGACAGGTCACAGGTGCCTCTCCCTGTTTGCCCTTGGTATGTGTGTGTGTGTCTGTATTTATGAATGAGAGACAACAAGGGAGAACAGATTTTCAATTTATAATTTGAGATAAAGGCCTCTGTGTGTATGTTTGTGTGTTCAAGTGTGTGTGTCCATTCTGATGTTATATGTGGCTACAATGCAAATGATAATCAGGGCAGAGACCAAAAGAGCCTTACAGTCGCATCTGTAGAGTAGCCTTATGCTGCCTCTCTCAGCCATTGCATCATCTTATACACAAACAGTCTGTGACACACACACACACACACTCAGTGACCGAGCGCACACACACACAGTCATACAGGGAGCAGGAGCAGTCGAGTTGCCTCTCTCCTCCATCCATCTTTGGCTGGGTGCAGGTAGAGGTCAAACAAACCTCGTCAGGCGCATTAAATGGCTGCTGCCAGATCCCTGCACATGAATGGGCCGGAGGATGTAGCATTCATTCATGTTTTCACAGCAGCCTCATTCTAGGCCTGTCTGGACTTCACTGCTGACAAAACATATGGCAGCTCACATCTTTGTCAAATCTCATCTCACAGAGAGGAGTTGTGCCCAGATTCAGTCGAGTTTGTTGGGTTGACTCTGGAAAAATTATATTTATTAGCTCAGTTAATTAGATCTGCTGGACTCCTGCTGTCTTTGTCCTTGTCCACCTCAGGTATACTAAAAGTTGAGTTGAGTCAGCATTTTTTATATGACCAAACTTCGCTTCAGAAACCAATGGGTAATGATGTTTGCGGGGGCTACTATACTGCACATGTATGATACAGTTGTTGGATTTAACCTGTTGAAATAACAAAACAAAGCATCTTAAAACACTCAGTGTGTTTACATGCACAGCTTGATCGGACTAAGCTCATAATTCGTTTTTTTTTGCGCCGAATCGGACTTCTCTCCTTGTGTGTGTATACATGCAGCTGTGAATATCGAATTATGAACGTGTCCTCCTCCCCAAAACTAGGGGGCAATATGGGTATTTTCAGTGGCGCTGTTTCTGTTTGACCCCATACAACTGCTGCTGGGCATTTTCGAGCAAGACAATGGAGCATCGTACAGCGTTGTTTTTGTTGTACATAATGTACAAGCTACTTTTTCTGCAGATGAGGTGCACACCACTCTGGTGTTTTTGTTACACAGTTGTGGCGCACATGCACATGCATTGTCCAATCATACTCTGACTATGCTGGTTACATGGTAGAGAAAATCGAATTCCAATCGCATTATTTGGGTGTCTTAATCGGAGTTCTCTGACTCGAATCGGAGTTCTTAAACTCTGATTATAGTTGGGCTCAGGTGTTGATATGCACTTTGATTTCCGGTCTTACTCAGAGTAAGGCAATAATCCGTTTTTCTTGGGTGTCATGTAAATGTACTGACCGGCTCATCTATATTTCTACTTGCTAGCTCCAACCGGGGGTATTAAAAGAGACCCTAGATAGCCCTGATGTGGGGTGTAAACTGATGAAAAGTGAGAACTTAAAAAGGAAGAGACTTCTCATAAAAACACATGGCTCAGCAAGCTCACTTGAATACTGGTATATCTGTCCATCAGGCTACCAGCCTGTTTCTCCGTACAGTACTGTGGTGAGCAACAGGCCCAGACTTTAAGAGTTCAGTTTTTTTATTTGGTTGGTCTCACCAAAAGCTTTTGTTTCTTTAAAAGTCCCTGGGAGTGGGTCAACTCTCTACAAGTCAGCCCCCTCTTAACTCTCATCTTCTCAACTGCAGCCATTCACCTGTGTCTTGTGATACCATTGACAGGAGAGAAAGCATGCACTTTGTGTGCACTTCATGAATGATACATTTAAGTCAATCAGATAACTCAATGACATTTCAACACAACTAAAACCCTAAAGTCTTAGTTTAGTGTAGAAACAAGAGGAGCCTTAAACTTGTATATCACTCTTCACTGTATTGTTGTCATGGCTGTGGCTGTTTTAACAAGTAGAAAATCATATTTAATGCAAAGTTCCATTGTCGCTACTTTGGAGTGAAAATTCAGATGGGAAATAGCAATTCATGCTGATTTCCATTAGTTCTTATCGGCAATCAACTGAGTAAATTAAAGATGCTGATGATAACAAAATAAAGAGATTAGATCAACTAAACATGATAAAAACATGAATTGCTGAGCGTCAAACTTACTCAAGCTCTATGTAAGAAGTTACAAAAGTTACTGTGAAAATGGCCCAAAGGGATTGCATTAGATTAACCTTCCAGAAAGTTAAAAGTTAGCTTCTAGTTTAAAATCCATTTGTGTCTAAATTATTTGTAGTTAGGGAGTTGTTAATGAAAGAGTACCAGAATTCTCCTTGCATCTTGGGGCTCTGGAGGTTGATTGTTTTTCTCTGACCTGTATCCTGACTGACTGAGAGTCACCTTTTAGAAAGACATATTTCTAGAGGTAGAAAAGCTGAGAGACAGGCAGCCCTGCAGAGACTCAGACAGTGAGAGCCTATAGCCTGGACACAACACACAGAAGTGACTATACTGTACAACACAGAGCTTTAGCAACCCTTTAAACTTTATATCCATCAGTCAAGCACTCCCCTCCACCCGCCTGCCTCTCTATTGACACATCCTGTCAATACAGCATCAGTGCTTAATCAATACAGCATTTGCACTCTTTTCCATCCCAAAAAAGTTTAATCCCTGCCAACCTTGGCTGCCAAATCCCTAGCGGCAGCTTGTAAGTGGAAAAGCATTTTTAACGCCTAATTAAATTGAGTGTTTGTAAAGAATAAAACAGAAAAGAAGAGAAAGCCACACTGTTCAATACAGGCCTATGCAGATCAGTCACAGTTCTCCCAGCAGCTACAACAGTAACCATCTGTGGTTGAACAGTAGTGATGGGTCAGTTCACAGATCAATTATTCATTTGAACAATACTTTTATAAGCAGGCAAGTTTGAATCAGTTCATTGCTGGAACAGTCAGACCTCTTTGGTGCTGGAGAGGCCTGATATCAAACTTATATTACACAGTGGCGTAAACAGTGAAGAGCTAAAATAGTCATCTTATTTTAGTTTACAAAGTTTCAACCTCTGTTTGTTGATTTTTGACAGCCGGCACTCATGCACTAAAAGTGTGATGAATCAGTGAACATTTCACACAAGTTATTCATTTGCATTTGCATGACTTTTCACAGACTGATCACTTACTTTGATTTCTGTAAATCACAGTAAATACCAAAAGAAAACTATGTTATTTAGGTCACAATCACATCAAAGCTGTTTGGTCCACTCTAAACCAAGGGGCAACCTCTACCCTTGAGAAAGGAAACCGGTCAAAACCACAATTCACTGGAGAGCATGTACACACTGAGCCAAACAAACCTGTTGTTGGAGTAAAAAATAAACGCGTTTACAGCCTGGTTAAGAAAAAAAAGACTTTCATCTGATTAGCTCGGGGCTCCCATAGCACCCACGGTAGGGGGAGTGCTTTTTTATTCTTTTGTAACACATTTGTCACAAAGGTATTTGGGATACAAGATCATTGAATTATAATACGGCTGACTTGACTGACAGGCAGGCGCGGTGTAATTATTTGTGAGGAGGCTAAAGGCCTGCTTCTGGTAGGTTAATCAAATATTCAGTTGAGACGGCATTCCCAGTATGGTGACCATCAATTGGCTTCAAATATCTGCTCCAGAAACAGATGACGTCACTGACGCTGATCCATTTCCTTGGATAGTTCCATATGTGAATGCCTATTTGGACTCTGGTGCAGACCAAACAAGTAAACTTGAAAACGGGGATCATGGTTCATGTCCAAGTGAACCCTGGTGTGGTTTGTTAGAGATGTGAAAGCAAATTGAAACCGCTTATAAACCAAAGGGAGGAAGTGGCATCAAGTACATGATGTCAATACTTGACATCAAGTATTGTCGGTCAGTATCTGTGTCAGGATACCTCACTAAGCGTCTGTGTAAGCACACTATATTCTTCTGCTCTCAGTTCTTCAGTTCTGATTCATTCAACTCATGTAAATAACAAAAAGATTGACAGCTCGTTGCTCCATCTGCTGCTGGGCGCCTTAAGGATACAAAAGCAAAGGCAGGAGCCCCAAAATTGTGTAAACTTCATGTTGATTCATTAGCTAAGACGTGGAAAGGTCATGCCCTCTGCCCTCTTTCCTCTGGTCATAAACCTATAGGCAGGAACTGAGAGTCGGATACTCTCATGAAAAAAACAGACGTAACTCAGCGTTATATTGATTTATTGATTTATTTTAATCTGTCATAAATCCCCATATATTTTGGCAATCACCATAAAAATAGCTATTTAGACTTCGCAGCTCATTAGGACATACTTTAAAATCATTATTCAGTGTCCCTGGAAGCAGTGATTTAATTTTCACTGTAAGTATAATCTGCTAAAATTTATAGTGTGAATTTCACTTACAGCAAATAGGTACGAATGAGGAGGGGAGACAGGTGTTTGTGTATGTGTGTGTGGGTTTGGTGGGGGGCCAGATTATATTCATTGCTAACTAAATGCAGTAGCTCTGCTTTGTGATGTGAATTCTATTGTGGATTTATTTACACAAATTACAGTTTCAAATGCTTTTATAAATTTATTATTTTAGCTGAGGACCTTAACTGCCCATGGGGAACATCATGCAATATAATCTCTGAAAAAGACAGCACTTCTGTTGGCCCAATGACACTGAAATGACCAGGCTTGTTTTAAGTAAATCATCATGGTGACCTTCCAATGATCATCAAAAGAGAGCCAGCTTTGTGTTGCTGAAAAACTCAGAATTTATTCACTGTTAGAATCAAATTCAGCTTACTCAGAATTTCACTCAAGTTCACCTCTCACTACCAGCAATCAACATTTAAAAAATCCACTAACATGCCCAATCCAGCAACAGACATTCAAGTTCAATGTTCAAGATTGTCAATGAAAAAGATAATAGTGACTGCGACCAACGATGAGGTGAAGTGTATACCCTCTATAATTGCAATTTGCATGATCAGGTTAGTGTTTCTTTTGAGATCTTTTGAGATGGAGAAAAAAAAGTCACATTTCATTCGTAGTCAGTTGTTTTTGGCATTTCTGGAGTCTGCTGTGACTTTTTGTATCAAATGGCATAAAAGAAAATAGTCCAATTTATATGTCGCACAAAGCCTTTTATAGAGGACTTCTGATGGAGGATGTCTTGCTCACCCTGTTGGGGTTCCTATTTGCATGACCACTCATTCAGTAGTCATGATCACTTACCTAATTGATGTAAAGCTGGGATTCCTGGAACATCAGTTATATAATATTCAAAAAGTGTTTCACTCTCATGTTTGTCCTTGATGCTTTGATTGTGAAAGCCCAGTAATCACTCCTTCTAACTCTGTTTGTCCCACTGGCTATAATCACTAACTTTGGTGAAAATGAACTAACCCGATAAAGCTTTGTGCTGTTCAACTCGAATAAGAAGCCAAAAGATGCTTAAAACCTCGAGAGGGTCCAACAGGAGCTGAGGTAGTTGAGGAGTTTTCATTATGAGTGTCCCTTTAACCTTGAACAAACATTTGAACCTTGATTAATAAAAAAAAGTATATAGATTAGTGCTGATCAATTTAGCATTTGTGCACACACTTGTATAATCATTGACTAAAGCTTACTGTTAAGGAAATGTTGCACACATGATAACCATATAAAGACACATCCACACTCAGTTGTAGCCCGTCAAACGCACACGTGTTCACTGTTAGTTTAAACCAGGTTAAAGGTTGAAGTGGCTCTTTTGGAAAAGCACCGTGTAATCTGCAGCCTGGGAGTTCACTCACCCATCTGAGGTGCAAACCAATTACTCAACAGCCCCATTACTTCCTCTGTCCCGCTCTCTCTGTCTCGCTGAGCTGATGTGCGTGTGCCATTGTTCTCAGATTACAGACACATAAGTAAATCTTCTGCCTCTCTACACAGGTGCTTTTTAATTTATATGCAAATAGTGATTACTGTGTGATAAACCATGCACATGGACACAACACATGTTTGTCTTGTACTTCACCAGCAACAGGCTTTGTATGGTCGCCTCCACACCAACTATAAATCAAGTATTAGAGTATGTCAGTTTCTGTATGCATAGCAGAAACTGAAAACAAGCTTCTGTCCAAGGCGCGGCCACACTTTGATGAAGTCAAGCTACAAATGACTGATGTATGACTTCAGTTGCTCAACAGTCCAGGGTCTCCGTTGTCGTATTTTTTAATTCACCATACATTTTCAGTGGTAGACAGGTCTGGACTGCAGTTGGGTCAGTCTAGTACCTGTACCCTTCTACTACAAAGATATGCTGTTGTAAGGTGTGCAGAATGGGTCTTAGAGTTGTAGTGATTTGAAATGAGCCTCACACGGTCGCACCAAAATATATTTAGTGATTTGAAATGAGCCTCACAAGGCCGTACCAAAATAGTACTGTAGCGATTGGAATTTATAATAAATGTCTGAAGATTAATAATCTCAAATTATGACATTTATGCACTCGTTGAAAGGGGCACCACCCACCCTTAATGGTGGGAAAATAAAGAAAACAAAAGTTTAATTCAGAAATCAAACATCAAGTCAGTTTTAATTAATCAGTCTTAATTAATCAGTCTTAATTAATCAGTCTCATATCTTAAGTCGAAATTCTAATTTCAGGGACTCCACTTCTGGAAGAACACTAACAGACAGGAACTTAGAAAAATAATGATCTGTTTATTACAGGATAAATGATGGTACAACACATATGCAATAAATGATGATAAGATAATGAGGATAAAATAATAATAGGTGAATAAATAAAGATTCTGAGTCAGGCTAGGAGCACTAAAGTTAATGATAGTGAGTGAATATGCGCTAACATATTAACCTACACTAACTTTGGTGTCGAGATAAACTCGGATGTGGATTTGGAGGAATCTAAGATCACCAGAAATAGGTGGATATCTGAGTTACGAACGCATGAGACAGCACCAGCCCTCTTTGGAGCTCTGGAGGTTTGCATACTTAAGTGAGACTGGTCCTTGGAGAAGATGGAGCAGGTTCCGAAGGTCCGGGCTACTGGCGGTTCGAGCGGTTCAGCTCAGAAGACGACTGAAGTCAGCCGAAGGATGAGCCAGGAGTTGCAGCACTCGGGCCCGAAGCAAAGCCAGCGCCTGTGGATCCTGTGGATGCTCGTTTGGGTACTTCTTTGGTCTCACTCAAAAACTCTGGCACAGAGGATGACCTGGGCCTGTTGGGTTGCGTTCGGAGGTGACTTTGAAATCACGCAGAAAACTCAGAAAAACGAGGCTCGAAGAGCAGAGAAAACTTTCAAAAATGGCTTCGCGAAATTAAAGAAAAATCAATCAAAGGCTTAATCTTGAATTGCTATGTGCACAAAAAGTTGAAGTTTCAAAACTTGAACTAAGACGATGTTAAAGAAAAATCAACGTGAATCAACACGTGGCGTAAAACTTAGTAGACCAAGAAAAAGTTCTAAGAGAAAACAAAGAAACGCACCACAGAAGGGTGTGGGCAGAAGAGAAGGGGCATAAGAGCCGGGGACAAGAGAGTCAGCAGAAGAGCAGAAGCATAAGAGGAATAAGAGAGAGCATAAGAGAGTGAGCAACCCCACTCCACTGGTTTTATCTTCTCACACTGGGAGTGTCTGAGGAGAAAGAGGAGGGTTCATGGGGTCTCTGATTATTTGATCTAACTTATTCTTTTGGCTGGTAAAAGAGTCAGATCTGATACTCACTCACTATGATTAATATCATTGAATGCTTGGTTTCATGATAAATAATTTGATACTAAACACATATGAATGAAGTGTAGGATCACATCAAACATTCTCATTATGCTTTAAGTATCACATTGAACATGCTAAATTACTCTGAAATGGAAACAGATAGTAACACATGGAAACTGTGAACAACAAAAGAGTAAACACATGTGAATGAACTTCATCATGATTAATAATGGATTCTAAATACTCACATTCAGATTATTCAATGACATTATAACCACCTAATGGTTAAAAATACTAAATAAACAACTAAAATATAAACCAAACATTTCTAAACTATTTCTGTTACTTAGAGTAAACTTAGGATTCATAGTCAATAAATTTAACTCTTAAAAGTTCATGAAACAGTCTGAAAAGCTGTTGGTCTAAAGAACTAAAGAATAAGGATTTATTCTGTCAGATAAGATAACTTGGCTTCTGAAGCACATAGAAAAACGGGAAACATCTCATTTTAACACAAATTTCATGATTAGACAGATTAGTACATTGCTGAATGCATAAGATGTCATGATCAGTCATTTGTATTCTTTCACCAAAGGAATGCAGTCTTTATCAGTGTATGGTCGAGCAGGGTTTTACGACCGAGGTCTGGAGGTCAGTGTCCCCCCTTATCCTGGGGTCCGTATGTTCACACACTTTAAGACGCTAAATCTCAAATGGGAGATCTGGGTTGAGACGTTAATGTTTATTTAGATGGTCAGTAATGGAGTCAGTTTGAAAGGTAATAAAAACTCTGTCTCTGTTCGCCGAACTGACCAATCCTGAAGAGTCAGAGGTTTAGTCAACCTATGGTAGGGTCACTTATTTAACCTGAAAGTGCAAACACGTCTGGAAAGATTTATATCCTGTTTCCTGGGACCAGATAAGGAAACTTTCCTGTAAGGAATGTGTGGGTTTCACATCCAGGGTTGTCTTGATTGCTACAGTCCCCCCTTCGTCACGGTGGTCCTGTCCATGGAGCATCGGGACGACGAGTAGACAACCATGAAGCAGCAGCAGGTGTATGCAAATAGGACTGATGCGTCTCGTCATCACTATGTGAATCACTAGTACTGCTTTGAGATAAAATTAAGCATGCATTAAGCTATCAAATAAAATCGTCTAGGTGTTAGACTTTTCTCAGTTAACTATTGGTAGACTAATGTGAAAGAAAATCTCCTAATTTTCAGTATTAATGAGATTTAGAAAAGCACTCTAGTCTGAATGCTAACTGGATCTAAAGCTATAGCTGTTTTTCATGCTTGCTGGAGAAGTCTGAAAGTTCAATTTCAGTTTCAAAAATGGTTAAGACTTAGGTGGAAAAGAAATGTCTGCTATAGACATATTAACCATCTGTGTATGAGCATAGTCAACCTGAATCACAAACATCAAAAGTTTACTGCACAGAGTTTCTCTTAAACTTTGTCTGTTAAACTTGGGGATGATGCTCTTATCGGTTTGACTAATTATCTGCTGTTGAGTCTGAAATTTGTCAATCTGAGTCTTAGTGACAGAAATTTCAGCTTTTAATCTGTTCATGGGATATTTGACAGCTGACAAGCTGACTATATTGACAGAGGAGAGACAAATGCTAACAAAGAAAGCAGCAACTGGTATTGCGGTCATCAATGTATCACCACAGCATTTGGATATCTTATTGGAGTCATTTAGCTTTGGCTAGGTGACTTCTGCTTTCGCAGGACTCACACCTTCATGACTCCACAGTGTTAATCTCAGTGGTTAGCTGAGTAGTCATGTTTATTCACCTTCAAAGTGGATGAAACCGATTGAGGTGGATAATAAGATCGTCGTTTCTGAGAGTGTGATTTACTCTGATTCTGCCAGTCATTCACCCCACTTTGGCGGTGTTGATGGTTTTTCCTTTGTCTGGGATAAAACCCACCGTGACGGGAGTCTGAATAACAACAGTTGGTCTCAAAGTTTACCTGGCATTGGTCTGGGTCAGACCTGGGCCTTGGTGTGTAACTTTGACCTTTGTGAGTTTGTTGAGGTCGAAAAGGTTTTGGAGGCCTGGTTAACCACTCATTTGGAGGCTTATCGGAGCCTGAAAAAACACAGTCTGAAGCTTCGTTCAGCTCCATGGGCAGTGATTTTGTCTCCATAGCCAAGAGAGTAATGGGCTCTGCTTTCTTAGCCAAAGTTTGTCGTTGTTTGGCAAAACCTTTTACAGCAAGTTCACGAAGCTGTCGGCTAGTCGAAGTGTTTGGACAAGCTAAGACGCCAAGATGATGACTGGTGGTAGGGTGGAGGTTCTGGACGAACAGCGTTTTGAAGTTCAAGTCCTCCTCCATTTCTGGTTCATTTCGGAAACCAAAGTAAGCTTCGCGTAAGCGGTTGTAATAATGTTGGGGAGATTCTGATCTCCCTTGTTTAATAGACAGAGCAGCAGAAAGGCCTGTCTGGGTCAAATGATCAGAAAACTCTTCAATTAAGGCTTGGCAGAGCAAGTCATAATTATTTCTGACATGATAAGGCTGTCGTTCAAGGAAACTGCTAACCTCTCGACTTGACGTCGCCTTAATAAGGTAGATTTTGTCATCAGTGGTTGCACCTGGAAATTTCCGCAGGTAAAAGTCAATGTCTTTCAAGTAGGTGCAGGTGTCAGTAGCACCTTGGTGCTCAGGTTCAAAGCGTGCTATGTTGCGAGCAATTTTGTCAAGATCCCTATCTGAGGGAAATGGTAAGAAGCCATCATGGGGAGGAGAGTAGGACTCTTGGTTTAAGGATGACCTCTCAGGGTCAAGCAGGGTCCTGTCATGATGCTGAGAGAGATACTTAAGAGTTGGTTTGGAAGGAAGTGATGGCGCTCTCTCAGGAGGCTGATCACCTATCATTTCTTCAAGAAAAGTTTGCTCCATGCGTTCTCTTTGGGCTCGACCCGACTGGAGGGAGCATTGTAACTCTCTTTGGGCATCTTCAAGTTCTTTGTCTGTCTTTTCTTGCCGTTCTTGACAAAGAATTAACTGTCTTTGAGCTATCTGGAGCTGGTGCTGTAAGGTAGAAGTTTGCTTCTCCTTAACTTCAAGAGCTTCAGCACGCACTTTGACCAGTGCTTTCAAAGCTTTTACATCTTCTGTTGCTTGCTCTAGTAGGGATTCTGACTGTATCAGATCCTCTGTGGTCTTAGCAAGCTGCTTATTCGTGTCATCAAGTTCTTTCTCCTTTTTGTAAAGGTTTTCATTAAGTCTTTCAATCTTGTCTTTGAGATCAAGATTTTCTTCATGACTTATCAGTGAGGGAAGCTTTGACGCTTCACATCTGGCACTGTGTTTTTCTAAAACACTTAAAGACTTCTTAGTCTCCTCTAGCGTCTTTTTCAGAGCGCTGTTTTCATCTTTTTGCGCCTTTATCTTTGCTAAAGCGCATTCCAGCAAGTAGTCTTTATACTCAAGCTGAGAAGACATCATGACAGACATGCATCTAGTGAGCTCTTTGTCACGAAGTGTCGTGGTTAAGGCTGTTTCCAGTAAGTCAGCCATTTCATCCTCCGGATTGGAGGGTTTGGCCTTATGAATCTTAGTCATGTACTGAGGTATCAGCTGACTAGTTAAGTTTGCTAACACTGTGTGTATGTCCCTCAGGGGGTCTCCCTGGCTGGACTCTTTTGTGTTAGGCATGTTTGGTTTTGGTAAAGAGGAGCAGGTGGTTGGTTGATGAGTTTGAGTTGGCTTAAAATGAAAAGAAGAAGCAAAATATCAAATTAAGTGAGTTAATCGACTTAATTTATCAGTGCTTGATAAAGAGGAAGAGCCTATCTGAGTAGATCTCTAATGGAGAGAAAAAATAACATAAAGTTAAATTCATTTCAATGAAAATTGAAATAAAACAAGGTGAAATAATGTTAAATTAAATTTAACATCAGATACAGAACCATTGAATAAAGGGTTCAAATTGTCTCCGTGTTGCAGAGATCAGCAAAGCTTAAATAAACTGCCTGATGCAGTTGGATGAATCTGAAACCAATGAAATTGTCAATTTAAGGAATTAACTCTGAAGTTAATTCACAAATCGCAATAAAGCCAAAGATTCAACTACCCAATTCATCTGAAATGGTAAAATAGATTTCAAATATTAATTAATTTGTTCATTAATTAATTAATCTTATGAGGAGGGTTAATACATTCATGTATTATAGGGAACAGTAAAACTGCTCAATGGTGTGATAAGTAACAACAGATCAGGTGATTGATTCAAGGAGTTACTTTATCAATACATTATGTAGGCTCTTATAACAAAGATAAAAATCAAAAATCAATGATCAATGATTTAGAATAAGCACATCAAACTTCATCAACCAAGTCAATCACTTGAGTTATGTCTGTAGAGTGTTACACACTGACTACAGAGAGGCAGTACAGCTGGCTGATACTGCAGGCAGATAACAGTGTTAGCTCAATACCAAAAGCAACCATGTGGGGCAGTATGGAGTTGGGAGAACTGCACAAGCTCAACACAAGTGGAGAAGAAGAAGAAAAGAGGAAACAGTCATCCAACTAGCCTCTTGTGGCTGTGTGAAGTTGGGAAGTATGAAGGAAGGGCCTTTAGGCTCTGCCTCCTTGAAGGGCCTTATCTGCTTAAGGCCAAATGGTCAGTCTCTCCACTGACAACAAAGGGTTAACATTTCACAGCAGCTGTGTCTGCACCCTCAAACATAGAACTTTACACCATCTGCTCAGGCAGATTGGTTCAATAAAATCATTTACAGGAACAAGAATCAAAGTGACAAATTCTTAAACAGCAGATTCAACTGCAGACTTTAAAATCACAAATGCGGCGATTTGTGATCACAAATTTTGTCTTAATTCAATCAAACAACAACCTCCCACTGTTACAGTGGTTTCCTGTGACAGGTAGTTAATCTGTCAGGGGAAAGGAGGAAATCTGAATCCCATATAGTTACTAGAACTTCGTAGCAGACTATAGAGACAAGAATCAAAGTGACAAATCCCTCAACAGCAGATTCAACTGCAGACTTTAAAATCACAAATGCGGCGATTTGTGAACACAAATTTTGTCTGAATTCAATCAAACAACAACCTCCCACTGTTACAGTGGTTTCCTGTGACAGGTAGCTAATCTGTCAGGGGAAAGGAGGAAATCTGAATCCCATATAGTTACTAGAACCTCGTAGCAGACTACAGAGACTTCAGGGGCTTGAAACCACAGCTCGGAGCATCGCGAACACTGGGTTCAGCCAAAGGCCTTAAATACAAGCGTACGGCGACGCAACAATCGTGCACTTAAATATTGGACAGTCTAGACAGAGCAGAAGAAGCAGTCTCACTGCTACTCAGAACAACCATTCACGCTGTCCAGCTCAAACACAGACTACAGGCATGTAGTACAAAAGTGTGTGAAACACAGAGCATAAAGCTTTTATGCATAGATCAGGAAAACATCAGAACTTAGTCAAGCAACTTCAGCAAGCATAGCATTGATAGTGATTAAGTCTAAAACAGCCTGGGAATAAGTTTCTCTCATCAATTTGGAAGGCTAAGTTTTAGGTTGTCTGTTAGTATCCAGAAGTTTTGTTTGAAACGCCTCACACGGGGCACCAAAATATATGTAGTGATTTGAAATGAGCCTCACACGGTCGCACCAAAATATATTTAGTGATTTGAAATGAGCCTCACAAGGCCGTACCAAAATAGTACTGTAGCGATTGGAATTTATAATAAATGTCTGAAGATTAATAATCTCAAATTATGACATTTATGCACTCGTTGAAAGGGGCACCACCCACCCTTAATGGTGGGAAAATAAAGAAAACAAAAGTTTAATTCAGAAATCAAACATCAAGTCAGTTTTAATTAATCAGTCTTAATTAATCAGTCTTAATTAATCAGTCTCATATCTTAAGTCGAAATTCTAATTTCAGGGACTCCACTTCTGGAAGAACACTAACAGACAGGAACTTAGAAAAATAATGATCTGTTTATTACAGGATAAATGATGGTACAACACACATGCAATAAATGATGATAAGATAATGAGGATAAAATAATAATAGGTGAATAAATAAAGATTCTGAGTCAGGCTAGGAGCACTAAAGTTAATGATAGTGAGTGAATATGCGCTAACATATTAACCTACACTAACTTTGGTGTCGAGATAAACTCGGATGTGGATTTGGAGGAATCTAAGATCACCAGAAATAGGTGGATATCTGAGTTACGAACGCATGAGACAGCACCAGCCCTCTTTGGAGCTCTGGAGGTTTGCATACTTAAGTGAGACTGGTCCTTGGAGAAGATGGAGCAGGTTCCGAAGGTCCGGGCTACTGGCGGTTCGAGCGGTTCAGCTCAGAAGACGACTGAAGTCAGCCGAAGGATGAGCCAGGAGTTGCAGCACTCGGGCCCGAAGCAAAGCCAGCGCCTGTGGATCCTGTGGATGCTCGTTTGGGTACTTCTTTGGTCTCACTCAAAAACTCTGGCACAGAGGATGACCTGGGCCTGTTGGGTTGCGTTCGGAGGTGACTTTGAAATCACGCAGAAAACTCAGAAAAACGAGGCTCGAAGAGCAGAGAAAACTTTCAAAAATGGCTTCGCGAAATTAAAGAAAAATCAATCAAAGGCTTAATCTTGAATTGCTATGTGCACAAAAAGTTGAAGTTTCAAAACTTGAACTAAGACGATGTTAAAGAAAAATCAACGTGAATCAACACGTGGCGTAAAACTTAGTAGACCAAGAAAAAGTTCTAAGAGAAAACAAAGAAACGCACCACAGAAGGGTGTGGGCAGAAGAGAAGGGGCATAAGAGCCGGGGACAAGAGAGTCAGCAGAAGAGCAGAAGCATAAGAGGAATAAGAGAGGGGATAAGAGAGTGAGCAACCCCACTCCACTGGTTTTATCTTCTCACACTGGGAGTGTCTGAGGAGAAAGAGGAGGGTTCATGGGGTCTCTGATTATTTGATCTAACTTATTCTTTTGGCTGGTAAAAGAGTCAGATCTGATACTCACTCACTATGATTAATATCATTGAATGCTAGGTTTCATGATAAATAATTTGACACTAAACACATATGAATGAAGTGTAGGATCACATCAAACATTCTCATTATGCTTTAAGTATCACATTGAACATGCTAAATTACTCTGAAATGGAACAGATAGTAACACATGGAAACTGTGAACAACAAAAGAGTATATACATGAATGAACTTCATCATGATTAATAATGGATTCTAAATACTCACATTCAGGTTATTCAATGACATTATAACCACCTAATGGTTAAAAATACTAAATAAACAACTAAAATATAAACCAAACATTTCTAAACTATTTCTGTTACTTAGAGTAAACTTAGGATTCATAGTCAATAAATTTAACTCTTAAAAGTTCATGAAACAGTCTGAAAAGCTGTTGGTCTAAAGAACTAAAGAATAAGGATTTATTCTGTCAGATAAGATAACTTGGCTTCTGAAGCACATAGAAAAACGGGAAACATCTCATTTTAACACAAATTTCATGATTAGACAGATTAGTACATTGCTGAATGCATAAGATGTCATGATCAGTCATTTGTATTCTTTCACCAAAGGAATGCAGTCTTTATCAGTGTATGGTCGAGCAGGGTTTTACGACCGAGGTCTGGAGGTCAGTGTCCCCCCTTATCCTGGGGTCCGTATGTTCACACACTTTAAGACGCTAAATCTCAAATGGGAGATCTGGGTTGAGACGTTAATGTTTATTTAGATGGTCAGTAATGGAGTCAGTTTGAAAGGTAATAAAAACTCTGTCTCTGTTCGCCGAACTGACCAATCCTGAAGAGTCAGAGGTTTAGTCAACCTATGGTTGGGTCACTTATTTAACCTGAAAGTGCAAACACGTCTGGAAAGATTTATATCCTGTTTCCTGGGACCAGATAAGGAAACTTTCCTGTAAGGAATGTGTGGGTTTCACATCCAGGGTTGTCTTGATTGCTACAGAGTTGTCTTGCTGAAACAAACAGGGACATCCCTGAAAAAGACGTGGCTTGGATGGCAGCGCATGTTGCTCCTAAATCTGAATGTACCTATCAGCATTAATGGAGCTTTCACAGATGTGACAGTTAGTCATGGACACGAACACATCCTCATACCATCAGAGACTCTGGCTCTGAACTTTGACCTGAGAACAGTCTGGATGGTCAAAAGTTGCCAGTATGGGCATTTTTCTTTAATTCAACATTACCCTGATTTGAATTGCTGTTTTTGTTTCTCACCAATCCTCCTGATTTTTATGTCGCTAAATGAACCATGATGCCAGTTAACTCCAACACAACTGTAAATCTGTTTGGCTATAAATCTGCTGAGATTTACAGCCACTGTATAGTTATTTTGACCAGTTGTGAAATAGATTGAAAGTCGTGGCGATGATTCTTCACAGACAAAACCAAACAAGACCAGCAACAACGAGACAAAACATTTTAAAGTCAAATTTTCAATGTCAGAGGTTTTGTTAGAAATAACTTCCTTCATAGATTCAGGACAACATTTGCAAGAAGAGAAGTTGCACAACTTTGTCCACAGGGGGGTGCTAAAATAGACATAAAGCAAAAGTTCCACATAGGGGATTTTACATTGTTTTTAAGGTTTGAATAAAATAACGCTCAGTCTTTATCTCACTGATATGTCTGATGTATAGTGCAGTCTAGAAGTAGACCAAATAATCTATCAGCTCATTAACTGGGTTGATTAATGGCATTTGGAAACAATCAACATTGGCTAAGGTCTGTGCTCGCTAAAGGGATTTCAGAAATAAACACATATAGTCTGCATATACTACAGGCCCCCTCCCTCATAAGTATGGCTGCTGTACAATAATATTGGGAAGGTGTTGAAAGAGTTAGTTTTCAGCCCTTTGCCTTTACTTTAACTCTCATGTTCCCTGCTGTAAATGTTAGTCAAGGTTCCCACAGTCACCATTGTCTTGATTGCATTTCAAATCTAAAACAGTCACTTGCTTGTGTTTGATTTGAGTGGATTGGATTACAATGTGCATGAAATAATGGAATTAGAAATGACTTATTTACGAACCCAAATATTTAGCTTGTTTTTTTGTCTGTTTGGTAATCATGGTTGGCTCAACAGAAGTTCAGAGGTCCCTTAAGTCAATATTTAGAGTTTAGCATTTTTATTTCTCATTTGTTATTAGTAGGGCTGAAACGATTACTCGAGTAACTCGAGTAACTCGATTAATAAAATTCCTCGAGGCAAATTACATGCCTCGAGGAATCGTTTAAATCCGGAACCATGTGCAGCGCACGGTGTTTGACACGGACGGTTATTTCTGTTGCGCAGCAGCGTGCTCTTTCCGCTCCTTCCGCTGCCGCGCGTTTCATAGACATAATAAAAGGGTAGACCCCGCTGGGGGTGCTGCGCAGCGAGAAATGCGGCCGCCATCTTGGTCAGGTCAAGCTTCCCATACGCTCCGGTCAATCATATTCATTCATTCAGCGATGCCGGAGCACTGTGCGGCGTATTCCTGTGCCAACAGGCGGACAGCAGAGAACAGGGCTCAAGAAATAACTTTTCACAGTTATGATTAAACGTTTTTTAAACATTACACTTGACTGTAGAGTCATTTGTAGGCCAAAGAGGAAGACTATCGGTCAGCTCCAAAAAGGAAACAGCATTTGCGAACAGCTAGCTTATTCACAATAATAGCAACTTTGGTCGATTATCAACAGATTTGCATTAGATTGAAAAACTTTTGTTTGAGAGAGGTTCTAAGAAACGTTAAGAAATAAAATAGAAAGAAAAAGGAAGAAAGTGAGCTCTGTTTTATTATCTGTTTTATTAAAGATTTCTTTGTGGTGATCTCCTGTTTCATTTTGAAGATTTCCTAAGGACAAAAACTTGAGGAAGAAGTGGGAGATTGCTGTTAGAGGGAGAAATTCGCAGCAAGTGATTCCTCTGTGCTGTGTAGCCAACAAGCAAATTGATATGTAGTTTAGATGCTGTCCTGTCATGCTGTTCTTGTGTTTAAATCTTTTTGATATGTAGGCTATATATTTGTGTGTATTTTCCAGTTATTAAAATAGTGCTTCTATATGACATTATTTGTGTGTGTCTACAAATGGATAAATAAAATTAAACTATATAAAAAATTATAATCAAAGCAATATATATTGAATTGGCCTATTAATACCGCCAGTTATTAATAATTATTGAGACATAGCAGGAACCTAGCTCTAAACCTAAATATATCCTTGATTAATTGTTATACTATAATACAGCCACTGCTGCCATGTTCTAATATATCATTTTATTCATTCTGAGTATTTGAAAACGCCAAAAAAAAATATGGCCTCTATCATGCCTCTTTGAATGGCGTTTGCAGAGAAGAAAATTACGTAGTATTGAGCGAACTATGATTCATTAATGCGCTCAGACTTCATTCCGCCGGTTAAACAGCGGTGCAGAGTGAGGCGGATGACCGGACCAAGATGGCGGCCGCATTTCTCGACAGCGCCCATTCGTGGTAGCGGCCGATGCGGGGTCTATCTTTTATTATGTCTATGGCGCGTTTGGTTCAATCATGGGGGGAAACGTGGACAGACAGAGAGAGGAAGAAAGAGATGACACGCAGAGGAAACGGCAGAAAGTGTCTAAAGTGCGGGACCATTACACACTGAAAAGGAAAGAAAACGCCGTGCAGTGCGTTCACTGTAAGGCGGAGTTGGCGTTTCACAACAGCACGTCGTCAATGCTGCAGCACCTTAAAAGAAAACACCCGGTCCATGCATTAAGTCCGCTCTGAGGCAAACGTGATTCAATGCAAAGTATTACAGTGAGAGCAAAACATTTCTTATCCGATTACTCGATTAATCGACAGATTAATCAATAGAGTACTCGATTACTAAAATAATCGATAGCTGCAGCCCTAGTTATTAGTGTTAAAATTTTGTATCAAATGCAAAAAAATCTATACACTACATTTTGACAAACAGTAATGTTTACTATAGTGTTGCACAGTACGATTAAAAAAAGGAGAAATAAAAACCAAGTAAAATAAATAAAACACAAAAGCTTATGTGAACACTGCAAACCAAATAAGAAACATGTAAAGCAAATAAATAAAACCACAAAGCAGGCGATGACGCAACTGAAAATACAGTGAAGCGAACCAAACAAAATAAGCCTAAAATTACAGAGAGCACAGGACTCAATGAGTTCAAGGTATACAAGGCCTGGGACATTTTTAAGTGTTGAGGTAACTTGTTTTACAATTTTGGGTCCACTGCTGAGAAGGCATGATCCCTGATTCTGGTTTGTGCTAGCTTTTGAGACTTTTAACAGGTTTACATTTGCTGGAGGTCAGAGATGCACTGTTGTGGTACCAACAACAACAAAAACCTGATTGGGGCATGATACGTATATCAGTCATCATCTGACCTGCTCTCTGATTATTGGCATGAGTATCTAGTGTATGATAAGAGTGACAGCTAATTACAACAAACTACAGCCTCAGATGGACTGAGGGCTAATGATGACAACACCATCCTGAATGTTTTTCCATTGTTTCCCATATCATGTGCCTGTATCCTTTTATTGAAAGAAGTTTACATCAAGATTTGTATTTCTCTGAAAAATACATGGAGAGGAACCTGGGATCAATGAAGTGCTCCTTTACGCACAGAAATAAATCAGCGCAGTTCATCCCACACATCTCGCACACACACAAACAAAAACAAAATCACTGCTGATGCATATCGTACATGGGACACACGGGGACACGCGAGCACAATTAGAGCGTCTCCTTCCGTACAGCCGGGTGTTGTGGCTGGATTCCACGGCTAAGGGTTTCAGGAACACAGGGATTGGGGGAAACATCTGTGCTGCTGAACTGGTTGCAAGAGTCAAGAATATAGGTCAGCACTGCAATTTATTTCTGTTTCTTCACACAGACACACACACATTCTCTCTCTCTCTCTCTCCTCATCTTTCCTCTTGTCTTTGTTCCTTGCTAACCCAGAACACACACTGAGCAGGCATCTGAGGACAAAAACATATTTAACCGCTGAAACTTATAAGGACAGATCAGATGACGGAGGATGAAGCGGAGACTGATGCATGCTTTGGAGAAAGATTTTTCTGTTGCTGTGACAACCACATGGCTGCCATTCACTGCAGCTTTTCTAGACATGCACTCTGTCACACAAACACACGCATACTCTCTCCACCTTACACAGAAATATTATTTGCACACACATTTGCAGAGAAAGGAAGCAAAGCATAAGGTCAGGAGAAAAGGAGACAGAGAGAGGAATTGCAGAGCGATGAGACAGACAGTCAGGAAAATAGCGGCTGTTATTAGTGTCCACATCATGCACCTTTTTTTTAAAAAGACAATTTATTACAGTTATTTTAAAGGTGTAAAGGTTATCAGTGACACTATCATGTGGCTGCAGATCAGCACCGTATGTGCTGTTAATGCAGTGGCCTCGCCAGTTACAACCAGCGGGGACCAAGGCGGTCACTGTGGCAGGCGGTGGGCACGGCGACCGTTGCCATGGACAGCGCGTAAGTGGCGTCACAGCTGAGCAGAGAGGTTTTCTTCAGATAAACCTGTGATTTGGGCTGAGGGCAGAGCACGAAAAGGTAGCAGCAGTCAAACAGGCTGTAAACAAACCTGCACTAGAGATACATCAGACAGATCCCTGTGTTTCTAGCAGTAGTATTTAAATACCCTTATCTGCAAGTTGTTGCAAAACACACTTTGTTTAACCCATTACCTCTTTTATTATCTATCCCTTTAAATACCTACACTTATAAAACTCATAACATTTTTTACAGCTTTGTGTTACATGAACTCAGCAGAAAAAGCGTTTCTTTTCTCTGTGGTCATTAAAGTGACATAGTAAGGCAGATGATTACGCAGAGTCCTCATCAGTTTGTACAGTGGTTGTCTGTTTATGTCTGCACACATCTAAAACACAGTTCTTTTTATCTTAGCTGAACAGTTTTAGGTGGCTAATTGAGAGTCATGTTTTTTGGTAGGCATCAGAGTACAGAGGGGTCCATCCAGTTGTCAAAATCTGCCAATAAACTACATTGGTAACTAGTCTGCCAGAGTGAGTTTCCCTCAAGGATAAATTTTACTCTCAGCTAAGTGTGTTTGGAAGCTAGGGAAGAAATATAGATAATTAATTGCTATTTAATGACTCTTGTGTATCTGAAATGCTGCTAATTAAAGCAGAGTTACCGCACAAACACAGTAAAAACCAAAACAGCCAAAAGTAATAAAACAATGAAGGTGAAAATGACAGGAACTGCATGGATAGTGCCAATTCTTCATTGACATGAGTGTCCCTGCTCACATGAATCCAAAAATATAACATTTTAAAACTTTAATTCACTCAGGTAAATCAAGTTTTCATGCACAAACTCCACAAGCAAGCACACACTCGTGCAACTAATCTTCAACACAGACATGATGGTAGTAATACTCATTTAAGAAGTGAATCTGTTGTGACACATTACAGGCATTACAGGTTTTTTTGTGAGTTACTTCATTTCAAGGTCAATGTATTAACTGAACGATCCTCCACTTGTCAAGTTTTTACTGTTACAAACACAACAATCTCTCCTCTTCATTTTGTGAGGCCGTTCACATAATATAAAGACATGTACAGCACAGCTTGTCCCAGCATCGTAACATAATGTGGCACATACAAGCAGCCAGCAATGTTAACTGTGTAAAACTGCATAGTTCTGATGTAATGGACAGACACACACATGCATGGTTGTTTGCACAATGTCACATGTTTTAGTAAAATTCATGGGAGGGCAGCTCAAAAATGTCATTATCAGATTTAATGGAACTCTGGCTTTCTGATAGTGAGGTTCACAGTCTCATCTTGTAGAACTGAAATGCCACTGAAAGGTTGAGTTTGTCAACATGTCACAAAAACAGTGTCTTCCTCTGTGAAGCATTAGGACAAGAAATTGTCAGTAAGTGGGCTTCAGAGGTTTTATTTTTCCCAGAATTCAGCCTTTGTGCTGCACAAAGCTAATTGGTTATCGGCTTGGGCTGTAGCACAGAAAGACAAGAGTAGTACCATCTGACTTTAGACGACAAATCAGTGATTTTTCCTTTTTCTTCAAGGTTTCTCCTCTGTTTAAGTAATTTTTGTTCATCAGTTTGACTCTTTTTGAAGCTTTAGCTTGGATTCTGGATAATTTCAAGGGGGGAATTAAACTCTTTTTAAGACATGATTGATCAAATGACTGTTAACACACCCCTCATTCAAGTGCTGAGATGAAACTAAAAATAATAATGAGTGGGAGCTCTAGTTTGGAGAGTTGCTCTTCTTTATTTAATGACAGTTAGATAAAAAAAAAACATGCCGTGTGTGAAGCTGTACTGTGATTGTTATTGAGACTGAGTTATAATCCCCATGTGGTGCACTGATCCCTGTCATGGCCACTGTGTTCTCAGGAGAGACGGGCTCTGAGGGCTTGATGGAGCATTCAGGGACTGTTCAGAGCTAACATCCTAATTTAACCCCCGCCTCACCTCCATCTAAAGTCCCATCATCTGTTTGTGTGACAAACAGAGCAGCAGACATGTTTCTCATTTTTCTCTCTCTGTGAGCTCTCTTCTCTCCACACCCCCTCCATCTATCCTCCCCTCTGTCTCTCCATCTCCATCTTTCTTTTTCCCTCTGTCTCTTATTCCCTCCTGTTCCCATGGAAACTGCTGGTCTTTCCAGTAAGGTAAGGACAGTTTGTTTGAGAGACTTGCGTTAGTTGTGAGCTATGATGTAATCAAGCCAACAGTTTCCAGGGTTGCCGTTTATGGTCATGACAGTGGTAGGCTGCCGACTGTGGCACACATAGGCTCTCTGAGGTGGGCTTTGGATCTGTGTGTGTGTGTGTGTGTGTGTGTTTATGAGGGAGAAAGCCACCTCAAATACTGCTGTCTCATCCAGTTATTATCTACAATAGCCGTGCATACACACTTTATTTGTAGATGTCTTCAAGCAGCTGTGGCTGCAGCATAATCAGAGGTGACAAAAGAAACATGGCTACAGTAAAAGTGCAAACACGTACATTAACATAGTGCAACAGCAGCAAAAGAGCATACAGCGTATCAAAATAGCAGGCCGAGCGGTACAACACTGTGACACAGCTGGTGCTCTTTAATATCAACCTTTGCTACTTTGAGAGCAAGAGTTCAATCATGCACTGCAAAAAGGAGTGCACTGTGAGTGTGCATGGGGCACTACAAGGTTTAATGTTAGTGTGGCTCTAGACCTTTCAATTCAAAGCTGTTAGCTCTTTTAAACACACCGTTTATGTCCTGGATATATTATAGTTGCACTTTTTATTGTTTTCATTGTAATCTGATTGGAGATAGGACTGGGTGATTTGGCAAAAAAAAAAAAAGATCACAATATATTTTGTCATATTGTCCGATCTTGATTATTAAGAAAAAATATCAAAGCCATTTTAACTCAACAGTACAACAAAAGTAGATAAAGACAAAATATTACAGTGAACTAGTTCACAGTCCTGAGTGTTTTTGCAGGTATGCAAGACCCAAAATAAACAAATTGCCCCCTCAGGGATAATGAAGACGCCTTAAAATGTAAACATTAGATGATGCAAACTTGGTGATACAATTAATTACTGCTTAGTTCTGGTGGCTGCACTGCTAGTTGTGGCTAAACTGTTAATGCTACTTGCGACGCCAGCAGTGACAGGCTGTGCAAACTCTGCTCACATTTTCGTGCTTTCCGCATAATCACTGGGGAAGTACTTCTTCAAATGACTAAACAGATTTGTTGTGATGCCAGTTTTTGAGGGCACCAACCACCGACATACCTTTGCACATCGGCTTAATTGCTTGCACCGCCACACAACCAATGTTGAGTAACTTTTCTTCTCAAGAATGGCATCTTCAGAGAATGACTCAAAGTCATGGCTGACATCTATTTAGCTGCCCTCAACCCTGCGTTTAGCTCCACGTTCGGTCATTCTGTTTACTTCTCCGGCAGCTTACAGAAGTGAGCAGGGAAAGCTTGACTCTGATTGGCTGTTGTCATGCACATTTCTGTAATGTTTGATTGAGTAAATATGCTCAAAGCTGATCATTGTGATCAAACTGAAATTTATCACAATAATAAATCATGATCATATAATCGCCCAGTCTTATTGGAGTACACTGTGACTGTCAATCACTGTCTTTTAAAAAAAAAAAATACAGATAGTCGATTTTTTAATATGGCAATTTCCTTATGTGTATTTGGTCTATTGTATTGGTTCCCACGACACAGCGGCAGTGGCGGCTTTTAAGCTAGCATTGACTGGCCTCTAAAAGATGTTCAGACACTTCAAAAACTGATCTCCCAAAATTCATTTTGAGTTTAACAATGACACAAAATCTTCCTCTTTAGGGGTGGTGATAAATTGGAATTCAAATTAAAGCACTGAAAGAAATCATTTCATGAGGCAGACACAGTTTCTGTCACAGGGATGGTGATGATGTGGATATAAAATAAACTTTAAACTGTTGCAAGTTTATAAAATTATGTGTCATTTACCTCAAGTTTTGCCTTTTCCTTAACTTGACTGATTGTTTATGTTATTTTTACATTTTTTCCACAAAAATTAAACCGTGCCAAAATAATTGGGGAGCTTATCTTACCCCCCTTCCAAACAGTACTTTTTACTTTTGCATCAAAAGGGTTAACTGTGGCTCACTGGGAGAGTCAGGCTTCTCCCAATTGAAGGTCCACCTGCTGTCCACATGCAGATGAATCTTTGGGCAAGACACTTGATCCCACCCGCCCCCGCTGGCTGTAACCAGTGGTGTGTGAATGGGATTAGTCTAGAAAAAAAAAAGAGATGAGTACCTCTGCCATCAGTGTGTGAATAGAGGAGAATGTGACATGTAATGTAAAAGCGCTTTGAGTGGTCAGAAGACTAGAGAGACCGCTTTATACACATGGTCCATTTACCATTTACAGACTACTCCTACAGTGAAAATTTCATTAGTATGCTTAAGCAGAACTCTTTTCATACCCGTCCATTCTTGTTTGAAGCTGTTTTCCAACATAAGCCTCAAAGCTAATGTCAGCTTTAAAGATGACAGACTAGCAGAATACAAGCTAACAGTACCAAGTCTAGTTCTGTCTTTAGTGGTTAAACAATATGCGCTTTGATCTGCACTTACAACATACTTTGGAAACACAATAAAAGTGTTATTACTGCGTAAATGCAGGTAATTGCTTTTGATGTGTAAAAGGTCATCCTGAAAGTAGCTGAAATGCTACTTTTATCTAACCTACATGATCGTTTGAGCAACAGATCAAACAAAGTATACGGTTTTCAGTCACCATTAAATCTTTAAGATATTTTTTCTTTACTTTCACTTTCCATTGATCTAATTTTACATTATTTCAACATTTACAGTCGTTTGAACAAGATACGTGCCGTTACTCAACATCAACAGATGCTTCTCTCCCCTCCCATCCTTCCTTGTGCCACAGTGGCTCTGCAGTGTGACAAGCAGTGTGACTAGAGTTCCTCTCAGACTCTCCATCTGTAGTATTAATGGTGTCTTCGCTCTCCTCCTCTCTGATCTGTCTGCCTGACACCGCCTGCCTGGAGTGCCTCTGTGTGTTAAATCTCCGCCTTCAGTCTGCCATGCCACAGAGCTAAACCCCCAGAGTGGCTTTGTTGTGCTTCTGCAGTAGAATCTCTGCCTTCAGCCTGTCTGCCGGGGAGCCAAATCTCAGCATGGCTCGGTGTGTGAGTGTGTGTGTGTGTGTGCGTGTGTGTGCATCTGCAGCTGAATCAGTTTGAAACTTCCCTGCTATGGAACGCAAAACCTCCAATCGGTGTCCTGGCTTTCCCTGAATTAGAGCAAAAACTGACAAAAGCGTCAAAGCTAGTAGGGCTGATTATGCCCCTAGCTTACCTCCATTTACAGCAAACTGGCTGTGCACATCTGCCTGTCTTAGATTTTGCTCTAGTTCTCACACCAATAAAGTATTCATAAAAGTTTTCTTGCAATTTAAATTTTGCTGTAGGTGAGGTTGAAAATATATATCCAGCTCAATTAAACCCATCAAGAGTCCACCTGAATTCAAGCAGTTTAAGTTTGACTTCTTTGGTTGTTGGATGACAGAGGGCTTTGGGAGTGCTTTTGATTGATTTGTTTTACAACAATAACCTGCACACGATCATGCAAACCCAAGCTGTGACAGTAAATAAAATGCTGATTTAAGGCAGAATTAGCTTGATGGCAAATAATTTGAAGCATATATTTAATGGGAAAGAAGTGCTTAAGTAAAAACAGAAAATGCTTTTGTTTTTAAAAAATATCTGCTCATTTAGAATCTGATACCAGTGGTTTAAAAAAACGTTGTGAAAGGGGTGTGATTCACATCCAGTGTTGCCAACTCCTCAGTAAGAAAAGTCGCTAGAAGTGGCTAGCCTCCCCCCAGGAGGAGGAGGAGTCCGAGTCTTCCTCACTTTCTCGGGGTGTCTGTTTTTGTCTGTGTTGTTAATGCACACCGGCTACCTGTTGAGAAGAGTAACATTGATAACTTCTTTCATGTTAGAGTCTCTAAACTCCAGAAAAAGTCGCCAGATTTGTCGCTTGCCAAAATAAGTTGCTGGGGGGTCAGAAAAGTCGCTAAATCTAGCTACGATCGCAAGGTTGGCAACACTGTTCACATCACACTGCTTTAGCGCTTCTTTAACAACACTGTGAATGTTTGGGAGACCAGTTTCTGGGGTTCTGATGGTGAGATATTGTCCCATTCTTGTTTGATGGAGCTTTTGGTTGCTCAACAGTGTTATGGGGTCTCCTTTGTTTTTGTTATCGTTTCACTGAATATTTTCTGTGCATAACAAATCAGGACTGCAGGTGGCCCAGTTTAGCATCAGGACTCTTCTTCTACAGAGCCATGTAGTTGTACGGCACACAGAGAGTGCTTTAGCATTGTCATGCTGAAATATGTAGGAGGTGAGTAAGAGTTGCTGGAAAACCTGAAGACTGTGGGTCCATGATTTCCAGAAAGAATACCAAATTTTGGTGTGTCAGACCACAGGACAGTTTTCTACTTTGCCTCAGTCCATCGTGAATAAGCTCTGGCCCAGAGACTACACCATCATGTCTGTATATACTTTAAATTGCATATCTGGATAAAGAAACAAACTGTGTCTGCAGAAAGTGGGTTTTGAAAGTGAATTTTAAGCCCATGTAGGGTTTCCACCAGAGAGTCGTGTCTGTTTTTAATGCATTGATGCCGAGGGCCCAAAGATCAAAACCATGTGGCTTTTTTTTTTTTTGTTGCTTTTTTGCTAGATAGGGAAATCCCCCTTTTTTGCAATTTTAGAATCAGGGAACATTTTTTTTTTCTTGTGATCACTGATATCTCCTGAGGACACTTTGGTGTAGTCTCACCACAGGCCTCTACTTCAAAGACCTGTAGATTCAATTATTCCATGTTGAGTGAAGGCCACTGGTCAAGAAGTAATATGAACATTGACTGATTGTTTTGGAGTAGGCCTCAAACTCTGACAGACTTGTGCCTCTTTTCTGAGTTAAACTTGGTCACAAATGTTTTGTAGGATTCTCGTCTAAAGATTAGATAGTTTTGACACATTAATCCCGGTTTCATTTAAGAGTGACAAATGCCATTCTGTAAGAGTTAGTATGGCTCTGTAATTTAATAATGTTCTTTCCCCCGGAGTAATAAAAGGGACAATTCGAGAATGAATAAATAAATGAAAAAAAAAAAAACTAAACACAAACCAGCTTGTTTATTTCAATCTGTAGGTTTAGTCATTTGGTTAAAACTCTGTGAATGAATGAAAATGTAGCAAAGAATAAACATCTGTCATCGTGTGTGTCAAAACAGAGCTCTGTAGCACTCACTGTCATTTATATCAGCATTTTGTTGTTTCAAAAACTTCACTATCGGACTGTTTTCACATGTTCTCTGCTACCTCCGCTCACGCTAATGTTGATCAAACCAAGTTTGTGGCTGGTTCTTGCTACTGCACATTATGTTGCTAATCTCAGGTGAGAAAAGAATAAAAGGGTTGAAACAAGGTTTTATCAGAGTGGAAGAGGACACAGTTGAAGAGAGAATGATCCTGCAAACACCAAAACAAACGAAAATTGAAAATTGTCTAGAAACTTTTTTTTTTTCTGCACCTCATCTTGATAAATTCTCTCAAAAAGACACTTAAAGGTGGGGTAGGCAGGAAGTGCCAGTTTTGGGGCGAAATCTTGAACGTAAACACTACCCGTCCCAACCAGTTTTCCCCTCAGCTCCTTCTCTCCCCTCCCTCTCTGCTCCAGTAAGCCCCGCCCACAAACAGACGCTCCTGCTCGCTCGTATCGTTCCAGTTAAATTCAGATATAATGCAGATAAATACTTCAGATAATTACAAATGAGGCCCAGTCAACGTGAAAGTAAAAAGCATTGCTGCTACTGTAGATGCCAACAGACTACCAGCAAACACAATGTTTGCAGGACTTCTACAACTAGGATAAAGTGACATAGTCAAGGACCAGAGGTCAACAGTTAAGTGGCGCTACAACACGCGGCAGGTCCCGTTTGACAAGAAACACTTCTGTTACAGACACTTGGCTTACTTTGTTAAAGCGGTTTACCTGTCCAGCAGAAAGGTTACAGGGTTCTTAAGATCCTGGAGCGTCCTCGAAGCGTTTATGCTCCATTGATGTTGACCCGGCTTTTTAGCTCTTGTCCGGTCTACCTCCTTTTTTAAGACCATGTTATTCTGCCAGAGTCTCCAGTATTTACTTAGTTTTCTTGTTTCTCTCAAAAAGACACGCAAGTAAACATGATGATCTTGGCTGAAGTCTTTGTTACAACACTTACACATAGCCAATATAACTCAGCATGCACAAACATTTAGCAAAAAGTTATTTTATAAGGGAGAAGCGAAGAGTAGGAGCAGACTCGTGTTTTAACAGCCCTCTGCTGCAGCTTATAGATCTTTTGAGAAGTTATGAGGGCCAGTTTGATGTTCAGTTACTCTTTGAGCAAGTTGGATGACATCTGCAGAGCTCCCTGGAGAAAAGAGATTCTGCACAGGAGCTTTGGTTGGGAAAAAACATCGAGTCCTGTCATGTGATGGGTTACAGTGGCTTGGACTGATGAGAACTTTGCAGCATCAGCACATCTCCATAAGAGGAGGGGAATTCAGATGCGAGTCAAAAATAGATTCTTATCTTAACCAGACCCAGACTCCGCTCACTGTTTGACTCTCTTTGGAGTTTTAACAGTCTCATTTTTTGAGACATCTAAAAACACCCGCCTCTCTCCTCTTATTTTGATCTGTCCTCTTGACTTCCTGTGTCCTTTTTCTCATAGCTGGGTGTCTTTCTACCTCCACCCCTCCTGACCCACTCAATCCCACGATTCAGCCTCCCTTGCTCTATTTATTCTCTTTATTCTTGTTCTTTTTTCTTCTATTGCTTCCTCGTGCACTTCCTCTTTTCATCTATTCCCCCTCTAACTTTGTGTCTCGCCTTTCTCTTCTCTCTGCTTTACTGTCCCCCTCTGTTTCTCTGCCTGTGTCCTCTCCTCCTCCTCCTCCTCACTTCTGCACCATAAAGTAGACGGCTGGATGATTCATCTCTCTCTCTCTCTCTCTCTCTGCCCCCGGACTGTTGTGATCCTTATTTTACTGCACAGTTAAAGCGGACTCCCCCTTCCTCCTCCTCCTTCTTCAATGTCTGTCTGTCCTCTGCAGCTATTGACACTTATCAACCAAAGCGCCTACCATTTATATACATAACAGCCTGCACTGGAAACGATAACCATGCCTTCATCTAATCAGTGATTATTGTTTAGATATTTTATGTGAGCTTTGAAAACAGTCTGGGTTTTACGACGCTATTGATTTGATGAAGAGTTGTTTGTGCAGACACTTTGCTCTGATGCACCGCTCTGATTTAGACCAGCTCCTTACCACCGTGAGCATGGCTATCTACAGTGCAGCCTTTCTCCTCTGGACATTATTCATCATCATGAGACTAACTGACCCATGGTTTCATCATATTCTTTCTCTGCTGCAGCACTGCTACAGCTCAGGGTCATTCATCGCACATGAGCGTCGTTCAGACGGGTTGACGTTTTGATCCACACAACCAATGTTCCAGGATCAGTTGGACTCAATGAATGAGTCAGTGTTTTGCTCTGTGATACAGTTTCACCTCATTTAAAAATAGATCTGCACGACTCGGGTTACACTTCAACACTTTCTCTCTTTCTGTACATGTACACTCGATATTTAAAAATACACACATCTTGTGTTGTTGCTGTGAGTGTGTGAAAAGTGGTGGAAAGGACACAGAAATGTGGAGTCTGTCTACTCGAATTCAAAGCTTGATTGTAATTGGTATTCTGCTTCCTGTTATTTCAGGAGAGCACAACATTGTGACTTCAAAGTTAAATTGCTTCCATGAATGTAGTTTTGATCACAGATTCTAGGAGAGATCAAATGAATCAGAGAAAGTACTGAAGGTCATAGAGAGGTCAGAAAATATAGACAATGACACTACATTGGGACGCATTACTACTGTGCTGATGTTCAAATAAAAACCCATAACCCTGGAAAATACTGACAGAAGGAAAGTTACAGGACAGGGTTTGACCTCCATCTGAAGCTCTGTTCATTGTGAGGCTCCATTTGGCAATGCCTTCACTGTTAGCAGAAATCTCTTTGTTTTTCGAGCTACAGAACCAACAACTTATTGAGCAAAAGATCTAATATCTTTCAACAACACGTCAATCCATAAACTGCTTTATGTTTTACATTCACAGAAATATGTATGACTGTGTTTCTCTATGTCAAAATGAAGTGTCAAAGAAACATTACTACTTTGTTAGTTTTAAACTGTCAAAGGTGTAAAAAATACCCCCCAGGTCAGTGAAGTGACAGTAACCTATGAAGACAAAAAGCTCCTGCATAAGTATGATCTCTCTTTTGTCAGCTTTTAACCTGAAAAATGTCACTCAGTAATGTCTTCTTTTTTTTTGAAGGGTGGGTATTACACATTACATTTGTTCCTTCATGTTTACTGTTGAGAATTGGAGATTTTACTTGATGCTCTTTACTCCCACTGTGTTACATTTGTGATGAAAAATGTTAACTTCTACTTCCACAAATTATGCTTTGAACCCTATCACCACTGTTACTTGTCTATAATGTTAGGCTTAGGGTTAGTGGTTACCTTAATATCAGTGTCTCTTCTATAATCAGACTCGTCTTATATCCAAAACAGTCTGTGTGTTCCTCGTTTGTTGATGTAGACCTGTTGCTAACACTTGTTGGGAATAACACCTAAGTAATGTTATTGGTAAGATGAATGAAAATAAGTGACAAAAGATTATACTTTTAATAATAAGGAATAGATTTAAAAATTTGTATTCACTCGGATGTTATTGAAACATTTCCAACCTTCTTGTGTGACATGTCCAGTTTAAAGTTTTATTTTAGTTGTGAAAACTGGAAACAAACACATGCAGAGCCTCTGTCTGGACCGTTCAGAGAAAATATCCTTCATGTTTGTTTGTAAACTATGTTTAACTGCATTTATTTTTGCATTAGCCTGTTGATGTCAGCGTCTTCATGACAAAATGCACTTGCATGTTGTCAACTTTGAAAAAACATGCTCCAATGCACTGCAGAGTAAACTGCACGATGGGATGTAACTAATTACTGAAGTAGTTTTATAATAATACTTATTTGCTCTTACTTAATTACTTCTCATCATTTGTATTTAAACTTATATTTGAGTAATTTCAAATTAACAATACTTTGACCTGAGTGCTGTTTCTGTTTCCAGCCAGTCTTTGGTTTTTCTTGTTGCTACACTCTAAAAACAAAATTTCATGTTACTAGTTTATCCATTTTGTGCTGCAGTAAAAACGTTGCGGTTCAAGACGGCAGTCTCAGTTGTATATGTAGATATATAAAAGTCATTTTAAGTGAATCAAAAAATAGAAAGGATATCCAGTAGTTTAACCATGCTCATGGATATGATATTCTATTTCTACCAATTCTGTTCCAGTAAATTCTTTTTAAACCATGAAGGATATGTTTTATTCTGCAGAGTGTCTTGTCTGGCAGCTTGCAGCCCTAAAAATCTGCTTTCAAAACTTGAATTTTGCTTCAAGGAGACAGTAGGACTTTAGTGCAAAGGTTAGTTCCAGGTTTCTTAGTAGATCAGAGATCCCATCTGTGGATCAGGACAGCTAATCAACAGGCTGGTGGGACCTGCTGCACAGAGGTTTGACCATCTTTGTGAGTGAAGAGATGTGTCGTACTTGTGGACTTCTACACCCTCATTACTGCATATCTGCATAACCTGCAAACTACTCTTTGCTCTAGACTTGAGTTTTGACTGTGACAGAGAAAATAAATCATAAAGTAAATAAATAATTGCCTTTGGTGAATTCAGCATAATTATTTAAAGCTGTATTTAAACCCACACACTTGAAACGAGCTGCTCATCGACAGATTATGGGCTCCAGCACTGTGAAGCCTGCTGAGTGATAACAGCTCTTTGTATTATTCAAAGTATGAACGTTGACCTTCAGGTAATTAAAAGTTGTTAAGTAAGGGATAAGTACAGAGAGACAGTGATTATTAGAGAACAAGCCCTGTCAGAGTGATTCGAGACCCCTGGAGTGAATCCATTACATGTCAAAGTAACTTACACACTTTCACACAAAGAAGTGTTGAAGGATTATGTTGCCAAAGGTTTGCTAGAGGTCAATTCATAAAATCTAGTCAATATGAATATGGATGGAGTTGGAGGAATTCCTGCACAAATGTACCCGCCTTCCTGTCAGGGTTGATACAGCAGGCATGAAGGAACGAGGTACAGACAAGCAAGTGAATTTATTGTAGAGATAGAGATAGAAAGCTCATACAAAGGAAGTTTCATCCAGTGATTTAACAAAGAAGTCTGAAAATGTGGTGGTACTATCCTTTAGGACAGAGATAGGTCATTGAACAGGACATACTGTAATAGCCGACAGAACCTCATTATTATCGGTTATTGAGTGGCTAACTGATCCCCTTTGTTTATTAGACAATAACTTTGTTGCCCACAGCGATAAAAGTCATACAAAGTACACTGAAGTGCAGGTACTGTATATTTATACTGCTTCTGTACCTGCTTGGCCCAGCAAAGACACCACAAGCTTTATTCTGCTGAATTTACATTAACTCCAGTATGAATAAGATAAATTGCTCACAAACCAAGGTCTTTTTTGGCTTAGTTATATCGTATACATATTACTCTACCTTGTACCTGTGTCCCATACCTTCTTCTAACAACTCTGTCATGCTGATTTGGCTCACTTGTGAGGTTTTTTCATGAATACGAACAATAATTAGCTATTTTTTTCTTTAGTGTCTCTTTAGTTTAAACTTAAACCCTCCTACAGACTCAAACATTCATTAGTATGTGGTTTCAATGTACAGCTCCTTTACCTTACATCTGCATGCTTCTTTATGATGTTTGGTAAATCTGTGCTACTTTAAATGAAGAGGCATTTCTTTCCTTTGGATCTGCTCGAGGTTTCAGTAGGTTTGTCTTTGTGTCCTTAGCCATGTGACGTTTGATGAGTGTTAGAGATTTTATGTTCTCTGGACTTGCTGTTTTTACACAGTGCTACAATGAAGGATTGACATTTTTAGACAGCGAAACAAGCCCGAGCACAACTTCAGACTCTTACTGCTACCTACTCTGAGCCGACTAGAAATCGAGGTTTACAGATGGGGTACAGGAAGTTAAACATGGTTCACAGAGAGGGGACATAACATGTGGTAAAGAGGCACAAGTTGGAACCTGGACCATCTGCTTCGAGGATCTTTCTTATCTGTAAATCCAAAATATGTTTTCTTGTGTTCATTCAGTGGGATCATCCCTCCTAAAAAACAAAGAAGTAAAAGGGACACTAACATAAAGTGACACTGACAGTAAACTTTTCACCCTCTGGTAGACTCTAGGTGCTGAAATATTTATTCACAATACTACAATCTTTTGTTTTTAGCTAGTTACAGTCACTTTGATAACCCGTCAAGATTTGGCGACACATCCTGGTGCCGTCCCTGCTTACAGTTAGCTCTCATACTGTTAAGCCAGAGAGAAAGTTGTCCTTCTCTCTATGACACGCAAATGCTTCAGTTATAGTGTCTAAGGTATTTTTGCTTTGGCACAAAAGGTACACCTTGAATATGTACTCAAGCACTCAAACAATAAAGTGAAAAGGAGCAGTGGTGCATCCTGGTTTGAATCTATGATCTGAAGTTGTGCCATGAGCTAGCACTAGAACCAAGAGGAGGTTAAGGTGTTCAGCCTGTGTGTGCTGTATGTGAAAAGTCTTGACTTTGCAGTGAGATTCATTTCATGATATGAAGCTACAGTAGGAGATGATGGTGTTACAGTAACTATCAGGCACCAGTTACCCAAATGTGTAATATGCTTCTAGGGTGTTTTAGTCACAAGCTTGCTAGCTAATACAACTTATGAATAAGACATATTATAAGCAAGCTTTGGAGTTGTTGGAAGGTTTATTTTCATTCCCACCTGTCTTTGTGCTAAATTAAACACATCCCAGGCGTATCTTTGTTCAGCAGATTAATTGATATTAGTCTCTCATCTGAGTTTGCATTTTATATCAAACAGCAGACACAAACTGTTATACTGATCCTTTAAAAGCAAATACAGTCATTCTCAAAAGCCTGCAGCAGGTACAAAGACTACCAATCTGTTCAAGTCTCTCTCACACGCTGTTTGTCTGCAGACGGGCTTCCTGCTGATTCGCTCTTCATGGCTTGTTCAAGGCACACATGTCTCTGTTGGTCCAGGAGTCCTTATTTATGGAATTTGTTATTTTGGAGCTACATCAGGGAGTTTAAGGAGATATGCATTTGCGAGAGCAATTTGTGTTACCTTGCTCCTTGCTTGAAAACTTTGTGTGGGAAGTTTTCTGTTGCAGGGTTGATTAAAATGAGTCTCTATGGAAATATTTAAAAGCACTTTAGCTTAGAGTATGACAGTCCTGTCTCTTCGCTCTCTTTCACTGCTGTTACTGACTAGTCATGCAAGATGTACTTTGACCAATTCTGATACAAGAACAGATAGATAGATAGATAGATAGATAGATAGATAGATAGATAGATAGATAGATAGATAGATGTCTGCATGTTGAATGGTGTCAACAAAACGGAGGGTAAGAAAGATGGTGTTTTCCTAAGATAGAGATGAATTTGTATGTGGTTAGCTCGGACTGGCATAAACGCACAGGTATATTGTTGTTGACCTGCAAAGATGGCCAAGGTGGGGAGTGTTAGCTCTACTGTCCTAAGGCACACTTATGCTGCGTTCCAGTTATCTCAGAAGTCGGATGTCGGAACTGGAAATGACACTACACCTGAGTTGACCGCGTTCCAGTAAACAAGTCAGAAAACCAAGATGAACACCTACGGTTATCCGTTGTTAGCTGTTGTTAACAGTTGTCAGTTTCATTAGCCGTTGTTAGCCGTTGTTAGCTGTTGTTAGCGGTTGTCAGCGGTTGTCAGCTGTTCTTAGTTGTTGTTAGCTATACCAGTTGTAAACAACGCTTCACGGTTAGACGTTGGGCAGTTCAACATTACTTATTTAATTTCACAAAAACAAAACAGAAGTGCGAATAAATAATACATTAGGAGAGCTTTCACTGTTACTCTTAACTGTTGATGCACTGCGCTGCCATCTTGGATTATGACGTTGTCGTCAAGTCAGGGTTGGTAAGGATCGGCTGACTTTCCGAGCTGGAAATCCGACTTCAGGGGGACGTTCCAGATGAGTTTCCAAATCGGAGCTCACAATTTCCAACTTCTGAGTACAACTGGAACGCAGCATTAGTAATCCATGGTGACATTGTTTGCCTGCAAACTCTGTGATCCCTTTTTAGAAGTGTTGAATGAATTGCACTGTATTTAGTCTGTTTTCATGTCTGCCGACGGTTTTTTGAAAATTACATTTCTGCAAGAAAAAATAAACAACTAAATTAGACGTTGTCAGATATGCTTACAGGTAAACCATCACTTTAGTTTCACACTGACATAAAAGTCCACTCACTGAAAGAGAGACGCTCGTTATCTGTCAGTGTGTGTACTTTCAGAGTCTCAAACAGGTCAAGCGAGGTTTGCCCCACTCAAGGACTGCACATCGTCTTTTAGTACGAGTATCAGTTAGATGACAGTTTGTTGTCATTTGTTTGTTAAACAGACTTTGAAACAGAACACAGCCGTGAAAAAACACACAGCAAAAATGTCTGATAAGTTGAACTGGGTTTCACTCTATTTTACAATTTCACAGTTACAGCTGCGGCTCGAAATGACTATGGATATAAACAAGTGAGGCAATTTGAACTTCAGTTGTTCATGTGATATCACTGTGAATTTGGTTTTCCTTGAATTTTGATTTTTTTCGCTCTAAAGGATACAGATTTCCTAGAAATAACTCTAAAAACCATTTAATATGAAATATACAGTATCATACAGTGATAAAAGGGAAACTGTTTCATCGCAGTGGTGCAGAGGTATCTTATCTTTTAGGCGGTGCAGACTTTAAAGGGTGCAACAGACAGCAGAGAAGTGGGTAAAGAATGGATTCCTGCTGTTATGGATCCACAGATGTTTTTTTTATTTTTCAGTACAGCAGATTAGTAAGCCATTAAAATATGATTTTGCTGACATTAAGAAAACATGCATTTGGTTAGAAACACAGAACCTATCTTTAAAGATAATGGGATTTACAGAAGTATTCCTACCAGGGGGTTGATGGACCTTCCGCTCTTGGCCATTCATTTGTATCAGTGCTTCATTTCACTAAACCCTGATAAAATAAGTCAATTTCAAGTGCTTTAGTTTGACTACACTGTTGTTAGGTCTGTCATTGAAGGTTTGTTTTCTCTCTTCACTCTTTTGCCTCCATCCACAACACTATCTGATTGGCTAGATATCACACAGAACAACTTGGATATGTACCTGGTAAACTTTTGACTCCAGTATGGGATTTAGATTTTGATTAAACATTTGCATTTCAACAAAGTTTTGTGTTGGAGTTAGAAAAATCCACAATTTTAACTTTTGAGAAAGATTGTAATTTTTACTGTAAATTCATATTGACTCTAAATTTTAATTACTTAGCTCAGGGACTAATAGTATTAGCCCAGAAAAGCCAGTGTGCGTTGATGCCTAATTTCTATTGCATAGAAATTAGGCTCAAAATATGGGCTGAATCAACAATATGATAATGATATATGACAAGTCTTTGTACATATACAATTAGCATTAAACTTAGCATTTTATTTAGGATAAAGTCTGAACATCAAGCTCTTTTTTTGGCATTCTTAATGGTAAAGAAAATGACAGTCTCACCTGTATAAAAGGTCCTCTTCTGTTGGTGTTGTTTTCTCTCTAAACCGGTCTTGTGACATTGCAGAGCCCACATTTTGTTGCAGTTTGTGGTTGTTTCATGTCTGTTGACACAAAGCAGGTACATGTCCCTTTCACTGAGGCTAACTCTGAGCTGTTTTCCAAATTCTGATCCTTTAGTATCTCTCGATGTCTGCAAGGTAATTAGTAGGACAGTCGAGTAATAAGATACAGTATAAGCAGATATCTTGATAATTACATCAGCATGAATTTGACTGGCCGTTTCAGTTGTTATAAATGTCAGCTTATTCCCAGTAAGTGTAGTTTAGATCTAACCCACAAAGTATTTCTAAAAATACACGCTGATGATTGTGGAGAGAAGACTTCCACACGTCTAAATTTATCTGAGCTGTACTTGAGGCAATTTTGTGTCAGTCCCACTCTCACAAAAGTTTCAAGGATCTCTCTGCTGCTGGAAAAATCCAAGGACAGGGAGTCATTTTTGTGTAAATACTCAAATGTTCCTTTAGGTGCTGATTTGTGCTGGTCTACTTGAGTGACTGCAGACACACCGAAGAAATACAGAAATAACTATATTTTCTAAATTATGCTCACCAAAACTGAATCATCAGATCTGGTGAAACATTTAAATTAACTATCTTTTGGGTGTTTTCTGTCAAACTTCATGAATATTTGTTTTGCTGCAGCACATTAAACCTCAGCAGTGATTAAAAATCGCTGCTGCAGATCATGTGGGGGTCCTTCTGACAGAAACCATGATTTAGTAAGATTCTATCATCCCGCAGATGAGCCAGCTTCGGGTAAATCCAAAGTGAAAGCCCCCCAGAAAAACCTTGTGAATCTGAGTCATTATCCAGCTTTGATCATCTGCTGGCTGAATGTTAATTAATGTATCACAGCGTAGAGCTTCCTTTCTCCGCATCTTTGATTAGCTGATGTTTTTCATCATTAAACATCACAGAGAGCTGACCACAAACAGGGTAGAACAACATTCAGTTTAGTTCAAGAGTCTGCTAACAATGCAGGGGAGGAAATGGATAAACAGCACCTGCAGACACCAACAAAGACAATGGAAACAAAGACTGCACATCTTTGATTTTCTACCGTTCAGAACGGTTAATCATAATTTAGATTTACAGAAGGACTGCTGAGGATTTTCAAAGTTTTATCATTTTGCAATCATTTGCGGGTTTTAAAGTACAGTGTGGAGGACTTTGCAGGATTTAGCAGAAAAAATGGTAAAAATGACAAATATAATATTCATTCATATGTTTGAATTAGGGCTGGGTGATAAGCCGAAAATTTACTGATACCAAAATTTACAAAAATAACCGTCATTTTGCCCATGTCAATATATTCGGTGTCAAATATAAATAAATAAATAAAAGTTGGTTTTGGATGTGTGTAGGTAGGCTATGGTCTCATGTCCCTGTAAGACACTGTCCTATGTCTGAGACATGACTCCACCCCATCCAGTCCATAACAAAGAGGGAAAGACAGGTGAGGAGATGGAGGACGGTTCAAAAGTTAAAGTGGTTAATGTGGGAGAGGGTAGCTAGCTTGTGGAGTAGTTATCATCCATTTATCCAGCCATAGTACTAGCCACCAAACATCTTTTTAGCTTTGCCAGATTTTTTTAGCAAAGAGACTAAACACAACTCACTCACTCTCCTCCAGCAGACGCTTGTTTGTAGTGGGAGCCCTGACGAATCGATCACCGAGTGCAGCTGAGTTCTGCAGCTCATTTCCATGAAGTAATAATCATAATAATAATTTTGCACTGCAGACATGTCAGTTCTTCTGCCTTGGTGTCTCAGTCTGTTTGCATTTTCATAAAGTAATAATCATGAATGTTCTTCCTTGAGCTGCGAAACTCCACTGCACTGTATCGTGCAGTTGTTGCTGAAGTTGGTATAACTAGAGAAGCAAGCAGTTTGCAAAAATTATCTCTCGATGGGGTGTCTTACTCAGTGTTACAGTGTGTTTGACCATAACTTAAATTTATGCCGGAATATCCCTTTAACTTACAGGTTACCTTCTGCTCAGAGTTGCCAGCTCTACCATTGACGGCCAAGAGCAGGATCTGTTGTGCAGAGCTCACAAAATGGTCTTTAAAATGTTGCTGGAGACAAATCTTTATTAATCACAGCTTTTGTGCACTCAGGCCCCATGGCATGCAAGAGGGGCCTTTTTTTTTAATATATCTTTTGCCCCTGCCCCTTTAACAGCCTGAATATACCACTACCTACAACATGCTGGTGACCTATACCTAATACTGTCCCTGAACACACTCGATGCAGTAGGAACCTTGAAAGCTTCCCTTCAATTGTGCTATACATGTTTTGCCTTTTGCCTTTCAGTACTGACAGCCTTTCTAAGACAAAATGAAGAGATCCATTTCCTAGAAAAACACATCAACTCTGTCACTTTGAAACTCCATCCTGCAGAGCCACTACTCACTCAAGGGCTCTCTAAATCTAGGAAATTTGAATTGGGACAAAATGTTAGTGTGAACTCAGAGTGAACAGCTCCAGAACATTTTGGATTTTAGATAACAGAAAAGTGGCACATTCACCATGGCTGCTCAGAAAATGCTGATCGGCTGAAAAAGAGTCACACGGGGATAAATCAGAGATTCCGGTTGCATTTTGTAGATCCTACTGCTGCAGAAAAATCTGGGAAATATTTTTGCTTACTTTCTGAGAGCTTTGTGAAAAGTCATGACTGCACATGCATGATAGACTATGTGGGCTGCTTGCACATTGAGTCACATAATGAGTTAAGGGAACTGTTTTCCTGACATACTCATTACAAGTCTGTCAGAACAAGCGAAGAAAATAAGAAAGCAGAAGGAATCCTCAAACTGATTAGACATGCCATGATAAAAAGACAGAGACGAGTTAAGAGCTCAAATAAATAAAACATGAACGAAATGTCTTTACTGGAGGGGCTGACAACAGTCACAGAGCTGTGTCTTTGAATAGCTGCCCACTCTAAATGCATTAGTCCGGCTTTTAGTCCAGAGTTTGTCAATCTCATGACACTCCGTAATCTGTTTTAGCTGCGTCTTAAATAGATGCTAAAGAATACAGTCATGGGAAAGTGAGTCCTTCGAACTGGTTAGTAAAGCTAAAACTTTTTTTGTATTTTCATTATATAGTTAGGTGTCAGATCAGCCCATGGTGGAGAGTAAGTGCTCGGTGTGTTGTGTTTTTAGCAGAAGGGACTAATGAGAAGAATCTTTGGAAGGATGCAGCTGAGGGGAGGACAAACTGCTCAGAAAAGAGAAGAAAGAGCGAGGTTGAGATGTTGCCATTTTATCGCTTGTTGGCATGTTTGGGTGGAGACAGTTGAAGCTCAAGCAACCCACAGACCGAGTGGTGATACAAACCTGCTTTTGGGATTTTCTTGCATTTGGGAGCAACAGCAAGAGATAGACCTTAAGTCCTGACTAACACACTGTATTTCATTTAACTTTATTCTTCACACTGTAAGTCGTTATTGCAAAACTGAACAGCGTCATCACAGAGGAATTGTGTCCACCTAGATATGGCATATACATAAAAAAACACTCTTACTTGCATTTATGTACTACAGAGTATTAGGACCACATTGAGAACATTTTTTGGAAGACTTAGAGATTAAAGTAGTAAATTTACTTGAACAAAGTCAAAATATCATGAGAACTGAGTTGTTATTTGCTAAGCGTTTTGAGGAATTGTTTCAGTATAGGTTTCACAAACAAGGAGATGCTTAATCCTTTGGCACATCATCATCACATTGTCATAAGTATCAGGTCTTTAAAAAGAATATACAAGAAATGCATGTTTTCCACAGTAAGAACCCAGCGGTCATGGAAGAAATCGCTGCTGTTGTGGAAGGGGAAATGGCAGTGCAGAGGCTAAATCCGTCAGATAGCATAGGGTTTTAGTTTATCATATGAATCCATATGCCATAAGGTGTTGGTGCATCTACAGGTGAAGGTTACTGCCAACACCAGAGACACGGTGCTCACCTAAGCTCGACTCCCTTTGGATCCAAAATGGTGATTATCAGTTGGATTGTTTCTTGAGAAATCACAAAAGCTCTCTGAATGGCCCACTGATGCACCCACAGATAACTCTGCAGTTGACCAGTTCCAGTTCTCCCCTCCACAAAAGAAGCTTTATGATTTTATTTACTTATTTAACTTTATTATTGTAAGTTTACAACTTTATTCTCCTAACTTTATGACTTTATTCTCCTAACTTTATGATTTTATTCTTGTAAGTTTACAACTTTAATCTCGTAAGTTTACGACTTTATTCTAATAAGTTAGATTTTATTCTAATAAATTTATGAGCCCCAGGTGTCACTGACCAGCCTCAGGTATCAACCTGATACTGATTTGGTGAATTAGGTTGATCCGGACTAAGCGACTGTATCCTCATTTTGGTTCTCATACACACCCTACGAAGGGGTGATATTCTAAGAAACCAACTCATTTTTCTGTGGACACACTTGAGGTTGCAATATCAGTGGTCATGAATTGCATGTCTTCTATGATGTGTGTTATCTCTTGATCTTTCCTTGATTTCATGTACACCTTGTTTCATTTTGCTGCCCTTGTAAAGCAAACTCTGTTTTTGACAGGTACTCTATAAAAAATTTATCCTTCTTCTTTGTCTTCTTTTTCCTCTTCTTCTCATTATTATTAGTATTATCTAAGCCCCTGTGTAGTAATGCATGTGTATAGAAAGCACCAATCACATCAGAGGATGGGGGCACACAGAGTAGTTAGCCCCCACTGATGAACCATCATTAGTCTTTCCTCTATGGGCCTTAGAGTGCTCACTTAAATGATCAACTTCAGTGCTTCTTAAATCCTTGACACTTTTCTTTTTCTCTCTGAGCCTCCTTGGATCGTCTCTCTTCTGGTTATACAGCCTGCAGCTGTTTTCAGACAAAAGTGAAGATTTGGATGGGAAAGGAAATGCCCTGCTCGCTTGCTATGGTAGCAAAAATGCTCCAGCGTCATTCATTGTTGGTAACAAAGAGGGAAAGAAAAGGCACAGAGTCATCTGGGAAACTTAAGTCCTTAATGTCTTTCAGGGACTTTTTTTTTTATGTCTTCCTGTGTCCAATAGGTATTGGAGGACGTCACCACCCACACTCACCAGGATCGGTGTCTTGATGGATTGTAAAGGCAGAGTTTTTATGGCTGCTATTTTGATTAAAGGGCTAAACCTTTAATCTAAGCAACAAGGTCAATGACAAATATTATGAGTTTATGCAAAATGATCATCTCTTAAACTATGTCCTTGTTCTGTGTCATTCCCCACATGTAGGGATGTACTTATCTAAATTTAACAATATTTCAACTTCGTACAGCCAAGAGCAGCGGTCATAGTGACTGCAGACAGAGAGAAAGTTGTGCGGTCAAACCCTTCAGCTCTCCAAGCCTCCCTGTTTGGACTTAGATTCTTCTCCGTGTGTTTCTGAACTGGGTGTTTTTTTTTCACACAGTAATACACTAAACTTTCAGAGACACAATCAGGCTAGAAGTCTGGGATTGTTGTCTTCTTAAAGGGAGTGCTACAAGCTCTTGAAGATATGGTGGTGCCTGCTGACTATGAAGAGCCTTTTGGTCGAGAGAGGGTTTTTAATCTCTGTTTTAGATCATATGGGGGAGTCACTGTTGGGAAACTAACACAAGAGAGAGGTGCTGTCTCCAATCATTTCCTGAGCTGCAGCATTTTGGACCAATTAAAGAGTTAGACCAATTGGATGAAACAAGTATAAAGTTAAAAAGAAATGGTCCAAGCACTGAACCTTGTGGAACTCCAAGGCTAACTCTAACCCCGAGTTTCCACTGCATCTGGAACGGCTTCAATCCGGAACGGCAGTGATTTTTGCCATCCACCAATTCCTATCGGATCCATTTGTGAGGCACATTGCTGCACATTGCCGTGCTGAACTTATCCGGCATGCTCCGGCGTCCGGAAAAAATAGAACTCTTGCCATCAGCTGCGGAGTCCAGCAGCGGAATAGAAAGAAGCCGGTGAAACTTGACACATTAACTTGAATGGTTACGATCAGCTGCGATTGGTGGATATGGCCTTTTTGAAGCCATTCAGGATGCGGTGGGTAACCCTGAGGACATTTCTATTCACATGTTCAAGCTAGTTGTTCAAGTTTCTGTTTTGCCTGTTAAGTTTTTTGATAAAACAAATAATCCATCAACATCACGCCATCTTGTTAATCAATTTGTCCTGTCTTTGGCTTCATACAAAATCATGTAAAACAGTTGGAGGTGAAATAAAAGTCTTGGACCCCACAGTCCCAGGACTTGCAGCCACAGTCTCCTGTGTGTTACCCAACTGCTAAACATAAATTTGTTATGTGCAGTTTACAGACATCACCTGAAGTCAGTCCACAGTGATGACAGGCAGGACAAATATTTGAGAGAAAAGTGCCAATGTGACATAAACAAATCCTGCATGGTGTACAGTGCAGCATTACTGACACAAATTGCTCAAATAGACACTGCCTTACACACTGTCTTAATATGCACATACACATTCTGACCAAGGCAGCGCTATAATTAATCTCAGAACCAGACCTATATGATTTATTCTTATCCCTATCTGACCTCATGCACTCCTAAGAAAAGTCCTCAAGGATTTACAGTGGATGACTGAGTTACAGAAAAAGGCATGTTCACACACACACACACACACAGACACACACACACACACTCCCTGACTGCACAGCTCGAGTCCTGCTGGACCAGGTATCATAACCCTTCATTTCTCCTCAAACGCCTGAACTCTCTCACCTTCCTTCTGCTCCTCTTTTTCACTCATTTCCTCCATCTTTCTCTTTCTGCTCGTCCCTGTGGAGCTTCTGAAAATAGCAGCAGAGGAAAAAAAAGTGGGTCAGCTGCCATGGAGCGAGGGGGGGTCTGTGTACAGTGAATTTGTCTGTGTATGTAACCTAACAAATTGTCCAGCTACTGTAACTCTGAGTCTCTGGTATTGTGCAACATTTCTCAGACAAACAGCTGACTGCTTATGAGATTGTCTGAGTTCTGAAAACCTGACGCAACAGCACATTTGTAGCATCCAAAAGTACAAATGTTCTTTTACAAATCATCCATCAAGTCAACATCAAAGTTTAAACCGTTAAAGTCGTCGCAGTTTAACCTGAAGTGATGTCTTCAAAGTGCTTATTTGTAATAGTTTTAAATCATTTTTTTTAAAGGTTCTTTTTTAACCTCTCATGACTCTTTGATTAAACATCTGAGTTTTTTTTAAAATAGTTTTTAGTTCTGATAGCTAAAAAATTATAAGGTGCTCTGGAAGGAGAATTGGAGAAATGCCCATAAAAAGTACACCTTTATTAAGTCCTCTTTCTGGTACTTTTGTTTTTTTCCAAAGTTTTGTACATTAAAGTCTCTATTTAACAAAAACCTCCTGGACAGGGAAGGACGGACAACTTGAAAAAAAAAAAAATCAAATCCCCCTCGTTTTTATCTGGTGTTACAATGTACTTCTATCAGTGTAAAAGTACTGAATAATGTTCTCTTTTGCTTTGTACAGACTTTTGTGAAGTCCAAGATAATCTCCCTTCATCAATGCTCTAATGCTGAGGCTTCAAACTGAACATTGTGTAAATCCAGCATCCCAAATTAACCTGAAATGGTGGAGGTTGAAACGCACACGTACAAAGCAATAACAACAAAAAAAGTTGTCAACATTGACATGATGATTTAAACAGATTGGTGTACTGCATCCAGTCAATAAGACGAGCTCTAAATCTTGTGGCATAAATGTTTGGTCTGATCCTTACCTCAGCCTTTATCAACTGATAGCTCAGACTCAACTTATCCAGCTGGCAGTATGAGGCTGCCTACTCTTGTTGCTTCCTCTGCAAACTGCTTTACAACCTGCCTCCACCCTAGCTCCACCTTTTCTTCTGTTTCTTATTTTAACAGCATCACATGTATAGTGATTGAGGGCCTGCTTTGCTGCTGCTCTACCCGCCAAAGGCTTTGGTATTCCACGTACACACGGGGGGGACATGGTGCTCCAAAAACATAGCCATCACACCAAATGTAATTGCTGTATGCCATTGATTCATTTTCTTTGACAAAGGTGGTCCTGTATATTTTTCTGCGAGCTTGCAATGAAATCACATTTCAAAGAGAAAAATGAAACCACGAGGAGTAAACAAACTAATAGATCTATCTAAAACTGCGGAGAGAGCAAAGTACCACCCACCTGAGAAGTGCAAAGTGTATAAAAAACATCCCTTGAGAGAATAAAATCCCCACAGAGATAAAACTCTCCCGAAAGAGGAAGCGCTCAAAAAGGAAGAAGTGTTCTCAAATAAATCCCTGTTGGAAATCCCTCTGACTGTGCCGCTGCTGTACTGTTTATGTAAATCTCATTATATCAGCACACGAAGAAGCACGTATACAATGTCTGTCCCTTCAGATTAGATTCTTTAATCCTTACAAGAGTGAGGGTTTATCATCCATCTGATGAGTGAAAACCAAGAGGTCAGGCAAAGAAACACTTGAGGTACGAGGGCATCACTGTAATGAGATTTCCAAAGTGAATTCTGCACACTGAAATGAGATTTTGTTGATGCGATAACTTTGTTTGTTCATTTGGTAAACATACAGCCAAACATAGCTCAAACACATCTGAGTCTGACTGATCTCATTTGGAGTGAAGGATCACTGCAGCTTGTTCGGTAGTCAAATTTATAACAGAGCGGTACTGTCTATTTTACAGCGACACGCAAACCCAGCTCATGTGGTCTTGATGTAATTGTCTATTGTGGACGTGGAGGAGAGACAAGAAGAGATGTACTATAAAAGGCTCAAGAGAGAGCTTTTGAGGTAACGTCTCTATTTGCACAAAGGTTGCCAAAACTGTGAAAGTGCTGAAACTTTAAGCTTCGGTTCAGTTTGGGTCTAGGAAAGCACCAGTTCTGCTTTCTAACAAACAACAAAGACTGCAGTGTTATTTTATACAGCTTGGTAGTAATGATAGTAAAGGTTCTCCATTGCAAAAAATAAATAAATAAAATTGCGTCTGATTGTACCCACTGGTTTTTGCCCTGACTGAACATACCTAAATTAGTGATGTTTTGTGTAAGCCATGCAGTAGCAAGCTTGAGGCTTACATAAACTGGATAAAATTGGACATTTTCATCCCTGTTGTGTGTAACTTTGTAACGTTGATCCACAAAAACAAACCTACACACTTCTTCATGTCTGAGGGAAGACAAAAACAGAAACTTACAGTGTTGATCAAAACCCTTCCTTCAACTTCCACTTATCCAGTTTACTCTGCTGTACTTAGATTCACTGTGTCCTGCACAGATTGGATTCAGTGTAACTTCATAATGCTCTGTTCCTCATTTTTAAAACCTTGCATTGAACAAATATGATACAAATTAGTCCCACTTTGTTCCATCATCTGATGCATGTCTTTGATAGTGTCCCTTTCAGGTGTTCTCCATAACTGTAATGACACCCAAAAAGCACCATGTGATACAAAAACAATATAACTGTGTCGTGATTCATGTGTGCATGAAGATTTACTGATCAATTAACTTAATGTGGGATATAATCCACAATCTCTCCGCTTCCCCTGTGTGCATGTGTGCGCTACCTGTTTTTCATAACAATTTAGACTTGCTTTTTCTTGCTTAAATGAAATTGTGTCAACTCTGCTTAAAGGGATACCCGGCTTTAAATGAAGTTAGGGTCAAACACACCGTATCACTGAGTAAGACACCCCGTCGAAAGATGAATGTTGCCGACCACTTATTTCTCTAGTTATACCAACTTTCATAACAACCCCAGATAGCAATACACAGAGCCACGCGCTCAACCGAAAGGCCACTCTATAGCCACAAATAATGCTCAGAACAGCACCTAACTTCATCAACAGTACATATAGGGTCCCAGCCTCAGCACTAGCCACCAAACATCTTTTTAGGTTTGCCTGATTTCTTTAGCAGAGACTAATCACAACTCACTTACTCTCTCCCAGCAGCCATTTGTTTGTAGCGAGACCTCCAGATGAGTCCATCGGCTGCAGCGGGGTGATGCAGCTCAAGGAAGAACATTTATGATCATTTCTTCATGGAAATGCAGTTAGACAGAGAGGCCAAGGCAGAAGAACTACCGCGTCTGCGGTGCAAATTGATTAATATGGTGACTATTACTTCTAGGAAAAGATAAAGTAATGATCATAAATGTTCTTCCTTGAGCTGCGTCACCCCACAGCAGTCTGTAATGGACTGGCCTGAGGTCTCGTTACAAACAAGCGGCTGCTGGAAGAGAGTGGGTGAGATGTGTTTAGTCTCTTTGCTGAAGAAATCAGGCAAAGTTAAAAAGATGTTTGGTGGCTAGTGCTGTAGCTAGGACCCTATATGTACTGTTGATGAAGTTAGGTGCTGTTCTGAGCATTATTTGTGGCTATAAAGTGGCTATTTGGTTGAGTGCGTGGCTCTCTGTATTGCTATCTGCGGTCATTAGTTAAGTTGGTATAACTAGAGAAGCAATCAGTCGGCAACATTCGTCTCTTGACAGGTTGTTTAACTCGGTGTTACAGTGTGTTTGACCAATACTTAATATTACGCCGGAATATCCCTTTAAAAGTTTACTGGACTTTAAGAAGAACAGGTTTTTCAAGAGGTAGATCAGTTATTCCAGATCTTCATTTAGACCCCTGGTTCCTGGAGCTAAGTCTCTCAAAAGCGTCCTTAGTTCCCGGGGACAGTTTCTGTGGTTGAAAAGCACCTGTGTCTTTGTCCTTGACTTTTATTGCGCTGACTGTGAAGACATCCCTAGAACAGCTTTACAATTTGACATGAACATAGCTTCACTGTAAAACCCCAAAAGGATTGTTCCATGCAGGCTGCTCGCTGCTGTAAATCTCAGCAAAATGGGACACTGTCATAAGACAGGGTCCAGGTGCCTTGAGGAGAGACAGCAACAGGTCTGCTGATGGATAATTCATCCTTATGCCTCTGGATTTCAAGTTCAGGTCATCACCTAGAAAGATAAATGTGGATCACTAAGTCAATCTGAAAACCTTTTTACTCTACACCCTCAGAAAGACAGCAAAAATCTCTTGTGTAACATGGTAGAGGGAACCAACATGCAATACAAATTCTGTGAAGTTTGGACTGGTTTAATACTGCACATACTGACTTGACTCACCTGTCCTTGTCTGCTGTTCTTCCCAGGATTCAAGTGTCCTGTCTGCTCCAAGTCTGTGGCGTCCAATGAAATGGAGGTTCACTTCATCATGTGTCTAAGCAAGCCTCGCCTCTCCTACAATGGTAAGGAATGCCTTTGTCTCTCCGTGTGTTTATCCTTGTGAATCCATCAGGAGACTGCTCCAGATGCCTTTTTAAAAGAAGGCCAGTAAAATGAAAAATTGATTCTGGCTCAGATTGTTCAAGGCCATGTCCTTTTTTTTTTTTTTAATATATCCTCCCAAAATTACTCTCTGTCTCTTGTTACTGCTGCTTTGCTGATAAATATTTATGGCAGGGTGGGTGGGTCCACAGACTTGTATTTGTTGTTGAGGTAGTTCTCCCAAAACAATAAATATGAATGAGGTGAAATGAGGAAATCATAAAAATTCATAGAAACAGTTTACACAACCCCACATAATCTTTTATGCCCTGCAGACCTGAAAAATCCAAGTACAACATGTTCTGCTAAGACCCCTGACAGAATTCAACCATTGTTGTGACTTTTTTCATAATCACAAGTTTGCATTATTCACTAAGGAGACATTTAAAGGACAACTAAGACCAATATCGAAAAAACAGAGAAGTTTTGATATCTGTGTTCATACTAATCAAGAAATTTATGTTTGAGACAAGATTTCATCTGAAATCTGCTTTGACTCATCCCACAACACATGCATATAAATCCAGTTTCAGGGTGCACTGCATCATGTGGCCCTAAAAGTTCAGATTGCTGTGCATCACAATCACCCAGTGAGAAACTGCAAGAAGATAGGAACATGATCCCACAAGTCGGGTGTTGAATTACATTAGCATACGGGGGTCAGTGTGCCGTCTTCTTCTATCTTCTTTAGTGCGGAAATTTAATTTTTTACCTTTTTTTTGACAGTGTTTTTCAAGACCTTCTAGTCAGCATCAAACAGCCAAAATAATATGACCTGATTTTAACCTATTTCAATAAAATGACAGACTCCCTCTCTGTACAAGCAGCCGTTTACTTTCAGTGGATTCATGCAAATGTATGACCAACACCTTAACTGTTTGTGAGTGTGTAGAAATAGACAAGAAGTGAAAGGTAACAATTTCATTCTAACTTTAGAAGCAAAGGCAGCATGTTTGAACCCATATATGGTTTTGGTGTTCGTGTAGATTGATATCCATTGTTGATATTTCAAATGAATGCCAACAACATGCTCAGCTTGGTCTTTTCTCTGCGGTGTAAAAATGTCATGTGGGATGTAACAAGGCTGGGCTTCGGGAGCCGATCACGTCAGGGTCTTTTATTTTGTGTTATTGATTGTCTGTGTGGAGCTGCTGTGTTCTCCTGTTAGCTCATCCTTCACCGTCTCCCCCTGACACTCTGCTCTCCTTCTCCATGTGTTTCAGAGGCAGGTTGATCGATTTGATGTTGCTGCTGTTAATGTGTTGCTTCTGTGTGTGTTGTATGTTTTGGAGAAAAGAAACCTGCTCAGTTATGGCCAGAGTAAATCTTTATGGACTCCTTTAGATGCTAATGCCATGTCATTCTTTGGACTTCTTTTCAGGGAGAGTTAATAAGGTACATTCACTGAGGTTTTCAACATATTATACAGGAAATTTGATGGTAAAATCTAAATTACTGGTAAACATTGAATAAATGTTTTTTTTAGCTGCAACAAACCCCCTTTGAAATTCACTGAACCAGCTCTAGCTCTGGATGACTCATGTACTTTATTTCAGTGATCAAGAAGCTCACAGAAGATCACATATTTACAGCTAAAATTTCTCTGATAGTCTGTGTAACATATGATGAGATAAATAAGAAATGAAAACCTCTGTTTTAAGCGCCTGTTTAAAGGCGGTTTAAAGTAACCCATCATTGCTCCTGGATGCGTCCCAATAAAGGCCTGTGGCTTCTTCTACAGGTGTACAGATATTTATAAAATACTGTAATTTTTTTTCTCTGAGTTTTCAGTAAAAGAATTTCAGTCCACGACAGAGGGTCTTAACTTGGACTTTGGTAGTAATATATTGATGTAGAGCGGCTAGGTTTACTTGTTACAGCAACGAATAGACCTAAGCAAACTTGTGGCCCTCCATCTTGGTGCATGCACAATACTTATACACAACAAAACAGTGACCAAGTGGCATTTTAAAAAATCTACACCCTCACATGCACCTTTTAGAAACTTCTGTTCATGGCCATTTTGCTCTTTAAGCCCTGGTCCTAGAGTTTCTCTGTCTAAAACAACACTTTTTGGATAGTCCTGCTCCAGTGTTGACAATGAGTGAAAAATATGATGTACAAAGACAGTTATCTGAAAAATACATTTTAAAACAACTTTTTTTAAAACTTCATTTCTTAACTTTATCAGGAGCTACTTCTGGGTGAGCACCGGATATCAACTTGACTTTTCTCATGGAAAATCCAACCCGATTGCTGGCTCAGGAATTCAGTATAAAGGAATAAAAGAGAATAAAAGATTAAATAGTGGTTAAAATAGTGACACTATTTCAAAACAAACTTCTCACAGTGCCTTTGAGTCAACTTGAAAGATTTCATGTGATCATCGGTTAATCTGATGTTTGTAACCTATTTATTTACTTATTCATTCATTTGTTGTGATGTACCGTTCAATCAAAGAAATCTGTTGGATGTCAAAATCGAAGCGTCTAAAAGGGGAAAAATCACAGACATTTCTCAGGGTCCAAGACAGTCGTTCTGCGTTGTCTACTCTGTGTCCGTAAAAACACTCTGGGCTATTTATGAATGGAAGAAAAATGTCCACATAGAGAAAGAGGGTCAGTTTAGCTGCTGCAGAAACACTGTCTCCCCTCTGGTCTACAGGCTCCTCTTTTAATAAAATCCTGGGTTGCTTGGAGACGTGTGATTGACAGCAGTCATGTCTGTTCATGGCCCCTTAGCAAATTGTTTGATTGACAGTTTCTTGCTTGACTCAAGTTGCAGCCTTGAACTGATCTGAGGCCTCGATGTCACCTTGTAGAAGTCTGTGTGTGTGTGTCTGTGTATGTGTGTGAGAGAGAGAGAGTAGTAGAAACAGTGTGTCTTGTTCTGATAATAATGATAATGTAACCACACAGACTAAATCATGTAACATTGTTCGAGGGAGGCAGAGGAGGGAAGTAATTTTACAGCACCACAAATAGCTGTCAACCAGGCCCACAAGGCCAGTGCGGTAAAAAATAATGTACGTTTGAAGCCTGCAGCCTGATTCAGACTGTGAGGGGGAAGATTGAGTGACAGAGACAGAGAGAGGAGAGTGAAACTGTCTTGAAGAAGATGGGATCCAGAGTGATGGAGTACCCTGATGGCCGATAACAGTGGAGAGGAGAGAGGGTAAAAGGAGAGCGACTCCCATAATTCCTCCTTTTTTCCCTCAGTTCTGTCTGTCCTGTCACTCTTTATTTTCAGCAAATTACTCTCTCCTGTTCCCGCTCCGTCCCTCTGTCCTCTGTGGGCTTGTCTGTCTGTCCAGCTCTGTTCTCGCTGTGTAATCTTTCCGTAATTTCTCTCTCTGTTCTCTTGGGTTTTTGAGATGCATAAAACAGACCGAGCTGCTGCTTATCTCGTTTCCCAGCATGCTCAGGGGTCTATTGTCAATCACCTGGGCCTTCTGACTGCTGAACATCAGCATATCTCTGAGGAAGGGCATTACATGTGCTCACAATAGATGCAGGAATACAATCAGACTCTCAGAGGATTGCTTTGACTGGCCTAGCAGTTACTTTACCTCAAATGTGCATCTAGTCATGCCAGTGTATGTAAAACAGTGTACAATAGAGTCACGATTGACTTCCTCATACTTTCATATACTTTTCCAATGTTCTCTGCTATCTTAGCATCATATAATAAATTTTACTCATTTCATTTACATCTGGTCTGGACAATCATGACTGAAGCTTCAAAAATACTTTCTCAGTCCCACCTGATCCTGCACATCTGTTGGTTTATTAAAATGCTTCTATTGTTAATTTCTGCATTCGGGGAATAAAATGTTTAAAAGATAAGACACAACCTGAGACTTTAAAACCCTACATTGAAACTTTAAGGTAGGGTAGTCAGGATCTGAGGAAATGCCAGTTTTTAGGAGACATCTTGAATGTAAACACTACCCCTCCCAACCAGTTTTCCCCTCAGCTCCTCCTCTCCCCTCCATCTCTGGTCCAGCAAGCCCCGCCCACAAACAGACGCTCCTGCTCGCTCGTATCGTTCCAATTAAAATCAGATATAATGCAGATAAATACTTAAGAGAATATCAAATGGGGCCCAGTCAACGTGAAAGTAAAAAGCATTGGTGCTACTGTAGATGCCAAAAGACTACCAGCAAACACAATGTTGACTTCTACAACTAGGATAAAATGACATAGTCCAGGACCCGAGGTAAACAGTTTAGCGACGCTACAACACGCAGCAGGTCCCATTTGACAAGAAACACTTCTGTTACACTTTTGTACTTACTTTGTAAAAGCTGTTTACCTGTCCAGCATAAAGGTTACAGGGTCTGTGAGATCCAGAAGCATCCCGTATCATGCTAGCTTCATTGATGTTGACCCGGCTTTTTAGCTCTTGTCTACCTCCTTTTTAGGTGCCTGTTATTCTGCCAGAGGCTCCGGTATTTACTTCGTTTTCTTCCTTGTGTTGGCAGTCGTGGCTAAAGGAGAATTCAGACAATTTTCTGTACTTTCTGGTTGGTTTCTACTGTCCGATATTGTAGCACACTAACTTTGTTTGGGCTCATGGACGACACGGGGGAGCAGCGTCTGCCTCACAACCAGTCAGGTTAAGGGAGGTGGAGAACGGCTTTGATTACAGTCAGAAAGAGCGGGCCTCTCAAAAAATTAAAAATCTTGACTACACAGACACAACAAAACACAGCGATATTGTTGTATTACCAAATGTCATCAATAACTAATAGGTATTGACTGATATTAAAAGCTCTTTTGTGTATAGACCATAAAAAAAGGTGTTTCTTTAACGGAATCCTGCCTACCCCACCTTCAATGCATGTGACAGGCCTTTCAACTGTTTACCAAATAGCTGGGCATCTTAATTCACAAAACACAAAGTATTAAAGCTGAGAGAAGAAAACTTGATTTGTACCAGACTTGTCCACTCAAGGACGTGGGGCAGCTGTGGTTCAGCTGTTGGCCATGTCTCAGTCAGACGGTCAGGGGGTTCAATCTCAGGTCTGGTTGTCTAATTGCAGAAGTGCACTTGGACAGGACGCTTAATACCAGGATGCACTTGGTGGCAGTGCCAGCAGGATGTGACTGAGATCAGTAAGCACCGATGGATGCTTTACAAAGCAGCTTTCAAGTTTTCAGAAGACTAGAGGACCATTTCAGTGCTCCCTTAATTTCCCCCAAATAGTCTGTTATTTAAAATATTTACACAAAATCATTGAAAGAGACAGAGGGATTACTATTTTACTCTAAAGATCTCAGATCAGTGCTGACTTACATTTTCAACAGGCCATCTGGTTGGTAGAAATTTGACTATGATTGATCAGTCAACCCAATATGAGGAGACCAAGTAGATGGCTAACAATTTTCAGCAGAGGCAAGTTATCCCACCAAAAAAAGAGGTTCAGGTTTTATTTTCATACACTGTGGTCAAAGCTGGAAAGCTGTCTGCCCTACAGTAGTGGAGTCTTTGTAGACCGTACCCTGATACATTTATGAGACATTGCAGACCTTAGGACCAATACCCAAGATATAAAAGAAGCTGATTTGGTGACAGACAGGTTGATGTTCATGGGGAATGGTGTGATTGGTTATGTTTGCAGGAGAGTTAAATATGACCTGAAGAGTGAAACAAGACCACTAAAAACAGTTCACAGTTCCTTATTTTAAAATTCAAATCTCACTCTGATCTTTTTTACTACTTATAGTGTTATCAGTGGTCTTTAAATTGTGATTATGAAGTTTTTAGCAAAAATCGTGTTACCTGTGTCATTATCAAGGGCTTTTTGTCTGCAGAGCTACATTAGCTCATTAGAAATTCACCAATACTCTGCATAGTCGTCTTCACGCTAGCTTGCAGCCTAACATTGTTGGTGTCGTAGAAGCGGCAGGTAACATAGTAGCTATTCGGCTCTTGGACACTAATGTCTTTAATGTCTGAACCGGCAGTATGGGTCTGCCAGAGATTCTCAGCAATTTGAAAGAAGAAATACTTAGAAAAGCAATTTCGCATTTAGTTTTCTCAGGATATTTCCTGTAGCATCAGAAAAATGCCATATGAACACATAAAAAACATGAAAAACGTGATTTTCATCGGAGTGGGTCTTTAAATGTCCCAAACAGCTGCAACAAATTCATCACAAGGGATGTGTTTTTGCTGCTACATGAAAGCAATACGAGAGTTTGTCAGAAGATACATCCATGACGCAAACAGGACAAGATCAGCCAAGGGTCAAGATGCATATCTTTGCCCAAAGAAGGCACCCAAATCAACTAGTCAAGTATTGTTCTGTCTATGCTGTTACAGCCTTGAATGTACGAAAGCTAATGCAGCCACATAGTCCAAGTGTTTTCTTTCTATATGCATGTGATGGTAAAGGTAAATCATGCAGTAGTTGTTGTGAATCAGGTAAAGGTTATAGGTGGCACAGTGAGTCCATGTGAGCTGACCACTTGATCTTTTCTGGGCTCGGACTTTGCACGATGATATTTTAATGCCTCAAACTAAATATAGCTCCTTGCAGCTGGGGGAAGGGTGGGGGTCAGATACACACACCAAAGTCCAGAGGGTGGTGTAAAGACACAGAAGCAAGAGTGTGTGTGTGTGAGTGAGTGAGTGTGATGGGAAGAAAGGTTCAGAGAAGGTTACGAGTTTGCTCTTTCAGCTCAGGTCACTAGTAAAGAAAGAGGAAAGAGAGAATTGAGTGCAGTGATACAGAGGAGCAAAGATCCACTCCTGTAGCTCATTACTGATGTGAGGTGCTGGATGCCAAATGTCTGTTCTGTTGGCATGGCAGCAAGCAGGAGAGACAGCTGAAAGTCAAGAGGGAGACAGACAGGTGGGGAGAGAGCTGATGATTTAAAGACTCTGGACTGTCTGCATGACCCGGGCGCACTCATTGGGCTGCCCTCTTATAGCTGACCCAGTCAGTTTAACTCAGCTGACAGTGTTTTAATTCAGCCTATTTCAGTTTTAGTCAGTTCCTTTTAATTAAATTAATTAATCTGTTTCAAAGACTTAAGTCACATCTAAGTTTTTGTCAAAGTGGAGTGAAAAATGATCAAATGACAAAATACAACAAGTAAAACAATTAACACCCAAAATAAACAAAACAATAAGAAAACAGTATTTCAAATTAAAGTTTGGCATCAAACTAACTTAGGTCACTTTCACACCTGACCAAGCAAACTTGGTTTGATTGGGGAGCTGAAAGTCGCAACATTGTCGCATTTATCACTTGTTTCGGTTCTGCTTTCACACTGTGATTTCTGAAGCGCACCGAACTTTCCGAGCAGCATCACGTGGTTTAAAGGGGCGCTCGTCGATTGGACAAAGTAAGAGGGGAAATCCCTCTATCCCGCTCCAGAAAAACAACAGTAAAGATGACCATCATGTGATGTTGGCTGTTCTGGGGATGTCAGAAGTAGGTTTATGCTGTCATCTGACCATATTTCAAGGAGAGCTTTAACCTCTTCGTCTGTCCACGTCTGTCCTCTCGCCATGTTTGTTTTGGCTTGGAGTGCGCGCCATGCTTCTTCTACCAAAGATGCACTGCGTCTAGCGTCATTACATACATTTGGTCCTGTGTTTGGTCCAGTGACCTTTCACACTGCATACGAACCGAACCAGGGTTCACTTGAAAGTGAACAGAGACCCACGTTTTCAGGCGGACCAGAGTTCGCTTGTTTGGTCCGCACCAGAGTTCGGATGAGCCTTCACACCTGCCCAAAAGAAGCTGGACTATCCAAGGAAACGAACTCTGGTCCGTTTAAAGCGGACCAAACAGCTCTGGTGTGGAAGCGACCTTAGTCTAACAGAAGAGTTTTTTAAAGTAGCTGACAAACTTTTATTGGTGTCTCAGTGTCACAGTTAGTAAGAAAAGTTCAGAGATTTCTGGGGGACAGTCCAGGTAGTTTTGTGTTGAAATGAATGAAGAACTGTTCTGTTAAACACTAAAATGACCTTTTAGTGGTTCCTCTTTTAGGGAAACTGAGCCACAGACAGGGGGTTCCATTTTGAGACCAGGGATGTTGTGCAGGGAATCTTTCTGACACATCTTGCATCTAGTAGTGTCAGTTTTTGATCATAATCAACAGTTTATGGGTAGGCTTGTAAATTTAAGGTTATTTCTGTGTAATATATAAGTAACAGTGTTATCATACACATTCTTCACAACCCTCATGTTGTGGATGCAAACAAAAAAAGTGCTTATTTAATGTATGCATATTTGAATGCTTGGATTTTTGCATTTACTTGCGTCATTCGTTCCTCTCATCAATCTAGTGTCAAATCATGTTTATGCTAGTGTCAAATGATGTGACATGGTTGGGCTTGACTATATCATCAGGATATGTTGTGTTTTCACAGCCTCCTCACTCACTGACTTTACACCATCGGGCTTTTTTTCATTATCATTTTGATGAAAAGACGAAATTAAATGGATAACGTGAACAAACGTGACAGTGTTATTGTAATATTAACAAATTAATGATGCAATAATGTCTCGAGTTGATTCAAAGATTTATCCACTTTAAGTGAATTTCAACAAAATCCTGTATCTTTTTTGGTAAAAACAAAAGAGCGAATTCTGCTCTCTGGTGTTGTACAGTATGTCGTACGAAAATGATCTGGTCTGAAGCTGTGACACTGATAAACTGTGACACCAGGACATGCAGTGGTACAGAGTGAGTTAAATCTATGTTATCTTGCTTGAGCACCCTGAGAGGCTTTATAAATGAGCAATAACCCTTCATAATGAGCTCTGCAGTTCATAAGGAGACAGTGGAGGTTATCTGAACGGTGGCGACACACTCCCATCTGATCCAGTTAAAAGCCTTGCAGCTGCAGTTTGTACTGCAGTCTATGTAGAGAGAGTTGGCCTGAGGCAGCACTATGATGAGGTATGGATCTAACTTTATCCAGATGACCTCATTTTTTATGTTTTTACAAGTGAAGGAAACAAGATTGAACAACCCTCTCTACTTGATTATTTAAGCTGGGGTCAGGTGTTGACTTTAGATTTAAAACACTCTGCACTCACAGTCAAGCCTGAACTATTGTGTCTCTTGAAGGACTATGCAGACTTTTTTGGAGGCTGATTAATCTCTGAGTGCTTTCCTGGTTGAATTTGTATTCTAAGTATATTTTGAGGAAGAGGAGGAGGAGTGGAGCTGATGTATTGTTTTCAGATGGAGCATTCAGATTCCTGAGATCCAGTCTTAAGCACTCTGTCGAAGAGATGCCGTTTTTTTTAAGAGGGGGTGACTGAGGATGGATGGAAAGAAGGATGTTCTTCAGTAAACAAAAGAATAACAGAAGGAGGGTCATAAAAGGAGAGGTAGAGTGAGGGGGAGGAAGAGGAGAGGCGAGCTGGGGAATGGGAGTTTGTTGAAGAACTAAGCTGATTTGCAGTCAGAGCATATGTCTTCTGTCTCTTATTCTTTCTCACAGTCTACCCCCTGTCCTTATGTGCCCTATATACTTTATCCGTCCATTTTTCTCACTTGCCATTCATGCTTCATCCATCCATCCATCCATCACAGTGGCATCAATTGAATTTTTGGGAGGGATACACATTCACTATTAGGTAAAACAACAATAATTATGAAAGTGTACAAATTAAATGAAATAAAGACAATTATCTGTATTTTCAGCTAAATGAACATTACCTTTACCATGCGAGCTCATGTTTGTTCATGGTTGTAAGATTTTCTACAAGTGCCGTCATTGCAGATGTTGTTTTATTTTGAAGTCCCAAGTAATCAGGTCAAAGCTCTTAAACTCTGAGCATCTCTTGCAAAGACCTTTAGAGATAGACCAAGCAATTTCACCTGTGAATGGCATTTTGAAACAATCGGCACTTGCTTTCACTCACAAGGTACGCACGCACGCACACACACACACACACACACACACACACACACACACACACACACACACACACACACACACAGTTGTATATACTTGCTTCCTTATTACAGACACCATCAGCGGTTGAAAAAGGCCATCTGCTGCCTGCTGATCTGATCATCTCTTTTCAAACAACAAAATTTTACAACTGAGTTTTTGCCTTTTTTTTTATTGGTTTATAGTTCACTCTGTGACTCCAGCCTTAAACTTGTCAAGGTCAACAACTCATCCCCCCCCAATGAAGTAGGATTTATGACAATGCTGCGTCTGTATGTCTCTATCACAGGGACAGCTCGTTTGCTGCAGGCTTGCGTGTGTGATGTTGTGTTTGGGGTTACTGGTTGCACCCTATGTAGCTCCTCTTTCTTGTATAAAAAGGTATGTCACCCATTTATAAGAAAAATACCTTATGATAGGGGATGAGTGCTTTAAATTCAACCAAATCGTGAGTGACAGACAAAGAGAAGAATTATCATGAGCAGTTAATGCAGGAAAAGAAAGATGTAACAAACAAAATACATGCTGTCAGTTTCACACCCAAAGATGACAGACAAAGTGAAAACAAGCAGATAATTGTTGTCAAGCTGCGACCAGCTTGGCTCTTAATTGACTCACTGTGGATTAGAAACTGAGATTCCTGCTTCTGCTTTACCAGCCAGCTAGTTTCAAAGTGAGGAGCTCTGTGCTCCTCCACACTGACAAATGCAAAATGAGATGTCACACCACATCGTCTATCATATGTCTGGTTCAAAATTTAATGGATTATTCAAGATAAGATCTACTGTAAAAGTTGGTGGTATTATGTTAATAAAGTTAATGTGCCAGTATACTATGTAAGGAGATGATTTTTTACTCTATATTTTACCCTGAAGATGGCGCTCAAAGAAGCAGGGTCACCACTTTCTGAAAGCTTTACCCTCTTAATCAGATAAGAGTGTATGTAAAGTAAATAACACTATCACTATCAGGTATATAAACCTTGTGGACTGCTGGTTATTAAGACCTCTAAATCAAGAACAACGAGTGAGTGGACCAAGTGCTGAAGAGGAAGCAAACTAAAAATACAAAGAGCAACGTAACATGCACAGAAATAGCATGTTTTGGACTTGGCTCAAAACAGAAATGTGTCAACACACCAGTGTGACATACATTTCAGATTTTTTAATTTTTTTAGGATAAAACAAATAAATGACAAACCATTTAAAGAATATTCATTCGGGTAAACAAGTGCAGACCATTGCCTGCTCAGTAGTAATGCACACAGTAGTGAGCCTAGTGAGACTTGCCATTTTTTTTAATCAAGTTTTATGCTTCATCCATGTCTGCTGCAAATACTTGAGATAAAAGGATCCTGGAGAGTGGAGCACAGCAGCTTTTCTCAGTATAAACAATCCAAAGTGAAAATGAACAATTTATTTGCAAAGACCCTGGAGTTGAATCAATAGATAGAATTGATTTCTCACTCAGCTCTTGTTGACACAAGGATAAAAATAAGAGCCAAAGCAATTTTATTTCTTGCCAATTTTGTCTGCTGATATGTACATGCAATAATAATGTTTATTACCACAGTTCTTATACAGGGAACACTGCTGCTAAAGCTGATTTGACTACTCAGCTTGTCTAGCAGATTACATACCAACTTCATGATTTAAAACAGAGTAAGTATTATCTGTAGCATTTTTAAAAAGCTTGAACAATGTTAAGCATTATTTTATAATGAAATTTAATCAAGAAAGCAAACTTCTGAGTACCTATACCATCAACAAAGTCAATACATTTATCATGAGCTTCAATGCTAACCAACAAATATACCTCATCGATCACAATGCTCAGGAATTACACACCTTCATTAATCAGAAATCATCTCAAGAAAATCACATATCAGTCAGCTATAATTGAGATCATTTTAACCCTCTCTCGAAATTTTGCAAGCATCAAACAAGCCTAACCACAGACTCTGTGAACGAGCTGTTAGAAGAAACAGCCAGGAAAGCCCGCAACTGTCAAAAACTTGATGCGATCAAGTCAAATGCAGATGTCAGATGACTTTATGACCTGTTTAAGCTATTGTGGAACAGACTATGAACTCTGTCAGTGGCAAAAAAAGAGACCTTGTAACTGTTAAGGGTACCAAACGGGGTCAAATGGACCTTTTCACACTTTCTTCCTTATCATTTTATGGCAGTAAGTGCTTGACTGAAGATGGCATTTTAAGGTAAGTTTGTATATGACTGGCGCTGGTATTTTTCTCTTGTGGAAACAGACTTTGGACTTCTTATTCATCTTAAAATGTCTTTTGTGTTTCATATTGGCACAAGCAGGAACTAACCAGTCCATTTACTTTGTGAAATGCACCACCCTGTTCCCCTTACTGCTCCCTGCTGTGTTTGATATGCTGTTCAAGTCTGAAATTGTGGCTGTCTTCGGTGCATACTGATACATGTTCTGCTCTTTGTGTGTGTGCGTGCGTGCGTGTATGCGTGTGTGTGTGTCTGCCACTTTAGATGATGTGCTGGCGAGGGATGCCGGTGAGTGTGTGATCTGTCTAGAGGAACTGCAGCAAGGGGACACCATAGCCAGACTGCCGTGCCTCTGCATTTACCACAAAAGGTGACACACACACACACACACACACACACACACACACACAGAAATGAATCATTGCCTGTTATATAATTCTCCACTTCTTTTAATTAAATCCACTCACTGCATGGTAATAAAAGCTTTTCTTAAAGATGGACAGTGTTTGTTGACTTTGAGTTGGAGACTGTACATATAACGTCATTGTCCACTAACAGCTGCCTGTTATATTTCCTTTACAGAGCTCAGTCAGGCAAACTAACTAATTTCTCTGGGTTATAGCTATAACCAAATAAAAACAGGCTACAAATAAGTGTAAGCTACCAGAGTTACAATAATAATAATAATAAAAAAAGAGGTTACCACATATTAGCAAACCATGCTCAAATTTGAAGTATTCATGTGATTTTAATGCATCTACATACACTTACCAAGGACTTTATTTGTACTGGTTAAAAAAATCTAACTTAAAGCCCCTGTTAGAAATTTTTGTGTAAAGTTGAATTTGGTGCCCCCTGTGGACAGATTAGTATTCCTACTCTTTTTTAATATTTTGTGATTTAAATGTGTAAATCTTACTTTTGTATTATCCGTTGAAAATCGTTGCCTCAGGAACTGCAATAAAAGACTAATAAGAGTTAATTACTTTATTGGACACGTCCCCTTGGCAGGGATTTAAGGAGTCAATAATTATAATGTATAATTAGTCACTCATGTTGCTAATGGCCTTATTTTCTTTTGTAGCTGAAAATGAGACATCCGTTTTAATTTCAGTCGGATTCATTATCAGAAAAAAAAAATCCCACTGGAGCTTTAAATACTGGAAAACAGTACAACTCTATTTGCCTAAACTCTGCAGAAGGATATGCTGAAAACATCAGGTCTCCTTTAAGCGGATTACAGCGCCAGTGCAAAACACCAATAGTTGGTATAACTCTCTGATTGAGCAGCTTTTTAACTAAGATACATTTTAATTATGCTGATCACTCTTCAGCTAATTTACTTAACTGACTTGTTTTTAAAACCTAGACTTCTGTATTTTCTGACACTGTCTTAGTATTGCTTAAAAATTGCAAAACTTAAGATATTCTGCCACCCACAATTAAAAGTGCAAAATCTCATTAAAATACAAAAAAACATGGAGGTACATGTGAGTGTGCTGTAACACTGCTGTTATGTTCTCCTGGGTCTTATTTCTATAGTGTATATATTGTGTGTTGTGCTGATGTGGGAGTACATGGAAAGCTTCCAACATGCCCACTTGTTACTTCAGGAACACTTTTCTGTTGTACTGAATCCAGTAAACATTATAATTCAATTGTTGTCTTATGAAATATCTTGCTTTATCAAATTAGTACCATCAGAATTATTATGTTTTTAATGCATGTTTTTTTATGTTACGTCTAATGATGGCTGACCTTTTAGTTGACCAGATGCAATTTTGATAGCTTTTATACTCACACTAAGAGCTCTTGGCAGTAGTAGAAGTATAATACGTACATGTGTTTTGAGGAGATCCGTGTGTGCCTGTGTGTTTCTGCAGCTGTATAGACTCATGGTTTGAGATCAATCGGTCCTGCCCAGAACATCCATCTGACTGAATGACTGACCGACCACCGGGCCCATTATGACTACTGTTCAAGGTGAGCTACAGACATTGTCAATTATTTCCAGCTTGTTCAAGTTTGTCTGTACTAAAGCAATTCAAAACCAGCACAGATGCTGTATGCAGCCATACACTATACTTTTAGGCCCAATTACAGGCTCAGTGTGCAGCCCCTAATAACAGGTGGGTAAACTGGCTCAATTCAAGGCTTGTTGTAACTGATTATTTGTCTGAATAATCCTGAAGTATAGGATGTAAAAACAATTATTTTACTGCTTGCAATAACATCAAGACCTTCCTCACCTGAGATCATAAATATCAAATATATTGAGATCAACAATCCCAGGTCAGACTGCTTTGACTGAATATCCACAGAAACAAGTTAGAGAAACAAACTAGGATGCATCACCAACCAACTTTCACAGCTCACAATCATAGCAGAGAACATAAACACAACTGAGCCACGAGCCAAGTGATATAGTATATTGAGAAAAAGAGAGCAACTTGGGGAATTATGGTAGAAACACCAGTGCCTTTATAATGTCTCGTGCAAGATACCTCACAATGGCGCCGTTAGGGACAAAGCGTGGGTGTTTCTGCCACTGTGAAATTCTTAACACATTCGTGTAGTCTGGCAATTTAGTGGACTCATCTGGTGTGTGTTCAGAGGATCTTCATGCTAAAAATCTGTCAGAAGTCTCTCATGATTTCCAAATCAGCTGGGATCCAAAATAATCCAATGTGCGGTCATCCTCAAGGTAGACCAAAATGCTTTAGGTGTTAGCGCAGACTGTTTAAAGAATGGACACTGTCTGCCTCCTCGCTGGGTAAAGCCACGGCAAGAACAGCACCCTCTGGTGACGGGCTGCAGTGTAGGTCCTAAATCCCGCCTCCTCCAGCAATCCCTATGGAGCTGTGGACAAACTTTACAAATGTATTCCACAGAATATACATTTTTCTGCCCCCTGCTTTGGATGTTGACATGTAGTTACTGTAGACTGGTTTGTGCTCAAGTCGTCTTTTTTCTCTGCAGCTCTTTTTTAAAAGTTATTAGGGGGTTCATGTTTTCTATGATTGACAATTGATACAGCCTATAGGCGATACGCTGTTTGAGCTGAGTGTCATCACAGCAACTCCCGGCGACTCTCCCACTGACTCTCTACAATGCTACTGCGCAAGTGGTGGTTCCAGGAAGTCAAGAAAATCACAGAAATACCGAGAACAATTCGGCTTCAAATTCATATAATGACAGAAGGCAGAACCAAGTTGTCCATAGTATATACAGTCTATGGGTGTTAGCTCTGCTAGCTGTAGCTACATTCAGCAAACTGCTTTAATCTTGTTTTATGATTATACTATCTTGTTTAGCCACGTTGAATAAAATAAACAAATGAATGAAGTTTGTTTTGAAATGGTGATCAGCTGGTTCAACCAGGAAACATAAAAAAAATAATCTAAACGTTTTTTTTTTTTTACAAAGTATCTTTTGAGGTGTTGAAATTCAAATGGCACTTGCGCAATTTTCAATGTCATACAGGTAAATTCATGTACATTTCTACCTTACCTTTGGTCTGACAAGCCTTCAGAGCTCATGCTAGTATTGAAAATGAACACGAGTTGAAAGTTTTATTTCCTATTGCTCATCGTGTTGTACAGTTATACACACAACATGAGAATTATGATAAATAAATAATCAGATTTCACTAAAACTATCACTCTGGGATTTCTTTTTCTCCCCCTCTGTCTCCAGGACATCTAGTGGTCCTGCCATGGAAATGTGGACACAGCCGCAACCAAGTCCAGTGAAACAATCAAAGTGATCAACACATACTTATCCTGACAGAATCCATCAACCTTATCGAGATAATTATTCCTTGTGAACTGAACCAAAAAACGTGACTCCAAACCATCATACATTTAACGGCCCCCTCCGAGCCCTCCATTTTACATCTGTTGAAGAGACTGCTTACAAACGCAACTCCCCCCCCTGCTCTTCCTTCCCTCCGGTCCCACTTTGAAGGCTGATAGATTCCCTCAAAGGGCTTCATTTGCCTCAACTTCCCCTCCAACTCAAGTGTCCATTTGCCTCCCTGATGTGCTCAGGTCCTCGCAGGCCTCCAGCAGCTGGCCTCACATCTCCAATCTGGATCAAGGCCTGTCCTGTCAGTCATTTGTGACCAGCAGCCCTCCCATGGCCTTATAACTGTGGAGAACAGAGGAAGCAGAGCAGGGAGGGGCCGGAGAGCAGAGAGCGGAGAAATACTTGAGGAAGAAAGACGATGTGGAGGAGTGGGAGGAGATCATCGACATATGGAGGATTGTTGAGTTGCAGAAACTTGCTTTTACATTCAGACTTATACATTATTCGATGGGCCTCTCATCTCATGACAGGATTCTCACTCGATGACTTCCTCTTATGACAGACCTGGTGTGCTTCTTCCTCACAGTCCCTGCCTCAGCTCTGCACACTCTCCTGCCAATTTGATGCATCATATTCAAATCTTCAAGCCCCCCAAAAATGCTTCTCAGACCTGGTTTGTTGACACCAGGGCAGGCAGGGTGGGGTAACTGGAGGTTTAAAAAACTTTTAAAAACTTGGATGTCAGCTTGTCTTGTATGTACAGGATGGAGGGGGTGGTTTAAAGATGAATCTGGGGTGGAGAACAGCAGTCTGAGCATGCTCAGTTCTGATCCAGAGGGGGGAAGGGGCCAGCAATGTAGTGTTTGCTCCTACTGTGTAACGTGTGTTTGAGATGCTCTGTCAGGCTTCATCCAGTATGTGTATGTAAATTATGTGTGAGTGTGTGTGAGCTTGGAACTGTGACAACATAGCTTTTGCTGAAGCCTAATGTGTGTGTGTACACGTGTGTGTGTGAGAGAGACAGAGAGAGAGAGAGTGAGGGAGAGAGGGAGTGAGAGTGACAGACAGACAGAGACAGACAGCATGAAAGGTCAGTGTAGAGGACTGACTGGAGCAGTGCTGTGTGTGTCTGTGTATTGAAATGTTTACAGTCTAGGTGTCCATGTCCCCAGTGTGTGTGTGTGTGTGGGGGTGTGTGAGTGTGTGTGTGTTGGCAGTCCTCCCTTTACTTTGCTGATGTTTACAGCTACAGAGAAGCGACATGACATATTGTAAATTATACACCTAACCTCTCTGGGTTCTTTCTTTTTAAATCTGCCAGATTTTTCATGTCGTCATGGTTACTCATTTTCTCATGAGAGCCTCAACTGAGATAGTGTGTGTGTAGTGTGTGTGTGTGTGTGTGTTTGTGTGCATATGACTGTAAGTGTGTGTCTGAGTGTGTGATTCAAAAGGGCCCCTATCGGTCTTTGCTACTGTCTGTCCCCCACATTGTGTTTCTTCTAGAGAAGGTCTGGCTGACTGCAACTGGAGACGTGAGCCGCTCAGACCAGAAAAGGACTCTGTAGTCCCACTGTGGATCCACTAGACGGGGCTTATTTATTCATTTGTTCATATTTAACAATATTTGTTTAATATTCGAATCATGTGAGGTGTAACTCACTCTTCAGAATGCCAAGAGCTGATGTATGACGACTACTACAAATCAACATACGAACAAACTGCATTTACAAAGCTACTGTAAACAAATGGTGGAATAAATTGTGCTAGATGACAGACTCTATTTTGTACTTTCATTTCCTGACCCAGATACATCTTGTACACACTGAACAGCAGTGGGTTTCCCGTCACTCATCCTGATCCTGGGGGCTCTCTAGGCCTGTACAGACACAGTTTTCAAGAAATAGCCTTCTATCAGTAAGACACATGTATGAATCACACTTCACATAATGGAACATGTTTCGCAGCAGACTCAAATGTTTCATTCAGTCCCTTTGCTTCACCTCCCAGAGGGCTATTCGAGAGTTAACAAGGAATGCTCTGTATAAAGGGCATGTGTGTAGAAACCCTCCATTCATGTGAAATATAGAGCAGAAAATAAAGCTTATCTGGACCATACATCAAAAAACCCAGGTCCGGCTCAAGCCTACAAGGGGCCCTGAGCAAATTTCATTTTGGGGGGCCACACCACCTCAGCACCATCAATATTGAATGCCAATCAATGCTTGATCATTCATTATTAGTTTCAGCATGTTGTAACTGTGATGGTTACTAAATAACAAAGCCATCTTTTTACATATAATTCGCTTACATTCTTATGTAGGGAGAAAACTTGTGGTCCAAGCGCCCCTTGTTAGTCCCGACATTTCCTGTCCTGTCTAATAAAGGCAAAAATAGTGGTGAATACTAATAATTAAGTGTTTCAGATTTGAGATAGTATCATATCGGATGGGAGAATGTGCTTTTATTGAGGGAGATGATAAAAAAGCTCATTGACAGCCACACTGCCACTGCTGCCTGCAGTGTCTGTAAACATGATTTGTTTTTGTTTAGGAAATAGGAATAATTATTGACATTTAGCAGACAAATTTTAGATTGAAATGCTCCCCTGCCCACCTTCCCAGCAATGGCAAATGACAATGACAAAAGCCTTCAAGGACAAGCTCCTGTGAGAAGCATGATCCACCATTGGACAAGTTTTTACCATCAAACACGTCCATTATGTCCAATTCGTCTGTGCACAACAACCATTCTCATCTTCTTTTTTCAATGGTGCATTTCACACCATCACTCTGTGAATAGAAAAATGTGCATGCTGTTTTTTTTTCCATTCATTGCCATGGTAGAAATAAATGGCCCTAACAAAATGATTTTTGCATTTCTCTCCAGAGTAAATCAGTGATTGGTAAAAGTTATTTGTTGTTGTTTATCCCTCTATCCCTGTGCTTTATTGCTCTGTAGTCCCTTTTGTGGATGTTTATAACAGGAAATAAGAAATGTAACCCAACTGATTGTAGCTAACTCCCATAGGTGCTTTAGTAATGCTGTAAAGCTGACAAGAGAACTGCCTCAATGACAAGTGATGATTTAGACGCTCACACAACATAAGCTGCTCTGCACTCACACAGCACAGCAACGCAGACAATTTCTTTCTCATAAATATGGAAGGTTCACTCCCTTTAGAGACCTTAGAGCCCATCCATGGAGCTTAGCTTCAAGTGTTGATGAGGCATGGCTACACTCTGTATCTATAGGTTCTGTATACCACCAACTAACTTCATGTTGTCTGTCAGTTCTCACTTTTCCAATAAAAAGTGGATTCAGTGACATTCACAGGGATGAAGACACAAAGAATCATCACACAGATCTCATGCAGCCGACACACTGGATTATTGTCCAGCAGGTAAGTGGTCTACAGTATAACAGAACTTCCAAAATCAGACTATGCAAAACCCATTAGCTATGACCTTTTTAGTTCATTATAATCCTGTTTGTTTCAATGTAAGGTCAGAATTTTGTTCTTGTTTTGGCTCACCCTAACCATTGACTTTGTTTGTAGATGCAAATTACAAATTTCGTGGAGGAAAAACTAACAAAATGAATATCTAGTGTTCATGTCTAGTGCTTAACTGCCTACAGATGCTTTGCAATTTTGGATTTAGAGAAGCTATAAAGAGAGTTCCTTCACTTAGGATGGGTGGAAAAGGAAAATGCAAAATAATTTCAGATCTGCTCTGTGTGTAATGAACAGACTATCTCTGTGATCGTACCCATGAAGGTGACAGCATGACATGTATCACATTTTTTAATTTTTTCCTCCCACCAATAGCTTCTTCAGTTCTCAAGTAACTTTATACATTCATCACTAGTATGTAAAATGGTACAACATCTGTTTTTTCTACATATTATGTTGAATCTTTGTTAGCCGAAATTGTTCCTGATGTGTTTCCACATCTTTATAAGCAGTTATTTATTTCTTGCCCTCATGTGACAGTGTCTAAGGCAGCTTCAATGGAGTCTTAATGTGGCATCTATTTGTTTTTGACAGGGTTAATTCAAGAACTGAATCATTTCCATTGTGAAGACACTTGTGACCACAAATTCCTCTTGAAAACATCTTCAAAAAAAGCACAACACGCCTCTTGACTGAGATAATCCCTGTTTCCTCCGAAGACCATGATACAATGGTGTTACAGACAGACAGCAATGTTCATTCCAGAAAGAATAGGTGATCAAATCATGGTGTGAAACATGGGTCACAAGAGGCCAAGGGATAATGGTAACTGTTCACTACATCGCCCTTTTGTATGACGCACAATGTGCCCTGTATAGTCAGACCTGCAGCTAATTGAGGGTAGGACCTCTTTGGGGAATGACGTGTGCTCTTGTTTACAAATGGAAATGTCTTATTTAGTGTCTCATTTAGACAGCAGGGAGCCAACAAAGAGCACACTGTACAGCTTGCCTTCATTTGCAGCAAGATTACAGATTTTGTCTTCAAAGTTTTCTTTCTGTTTATGTACTTTCGACTAATTATAACAGACTGGGATTTTCACTGATTCCTCCTTGTTGCATCCTGTAAAAACACTGTTTTGTCATTTGAAGGCCTCCATCCACTTCAGGTAGGTAAATGTCTGGTGACGTGATTAACGGCACTGCGAAGAAAACCCCTTTAGATACTTTTTTAACATGTACTGGACAAAAATCAGAAATACAGGACAAGTCCCTTTGTCCACAGGCGATGCACAGATCAGCGCAAACTGAAAAATCATCTCTGTGCTTGGATTGTGTCATAATTCACTGTCTGGGTTTTAGTGGGAGGACATCAACATAGATGATGTATGACTTTCACTGTACAGAGTGCAGAAATGGGTATGTTCAAAGATACCTGGGGGTCAGGTTTTATATTTAGACGCCCTCCCTGTTCAGTCCATCCATCAGTGACACAATGGTGGCTCCTGTGATCAAATGTCTATTAAAAAAAAATCTTTAATGCACAAAAACTTCTGTCTTTGTCTTCCAACTAATTTGTGGGGACACTTTCATAAGGGTACTTGTTCGAATCGATGGAGAAGGTGATGGGCTCAAAATAATCTTATTAGAAAGCAGCCTGAACATGATTCAGTCACCTGCAACACCCACTTGTGTCAGCTGGGAAACACAATAAAATAAATAAAACCCGAAAACATCCGAATATCGTTGCATGATTGATTGCGCGTCGATCGATTGGATTCTATTGCTCTGGTCTGGAGACGTCAGCAGCGTCATCATTGGTTCAGAAGTATCGGCGCCAAAACAGCAACACGGAAGTGTCTGAAAACGACAGGAGTACGCTTGTGCTGAACATTTATTCACTCAAATCACTCTTAAGCTTCTTATTGAGCTTTTTGCACAACATGGACACGCAGTCATATCTACCGGTCCAGCCTGGAGTCGGGATGGAGGAGAATTTTCTTTCTCTGGACGATATTTTGCTCTCACATGAAAGACTGCCTGCCCGGACAGAGTGCACCTTTCCCCGCCTGGGATTCCTAGAGAAAACAACTGACTCGCAGGACATCACTGAGGTGAGAAAAGGAGAAACATGAGAAATAACCTTAAAGTATCTAAGTGAGTGTTACATTTATTCCGCCTATTGATTTTAACAAGCCAGCTATGTTTTTTGTATGTGTCTAAGGAAGTTGCACCAAAGCCCACTCATTTTTTATGTAAGTTTGTTTTAAACACGCTGATTCGACACGAGCACTTGCATTACCGATCAAACTAGACTGCTACTAAACCAAAAGGTCTCGATGTTCAATTCGACATGCTTACCACCTCTTGTATTTTATTTTATTTTATTTTATTTTTCACTAAAAGCCTGACACAATATTGCATATTGGCGTCAGGGCAGCTCACAGAGACAGCAAACAGCTGACACGACAGAGTTTAACAGCAGTATGATATAAGCTGTATGACTTTGACATAGACTTTTTAAAGTTACAGGTAATCGTGAATAAAAACGACTTTGTACTGAGGCTGAGTGTTTTATCATTTGGAGAAATTAGTTTGCTTACTAGCCTTAGATGTACACTAACTCTTAAATCTCATGTTTTGTCTGCAGGGTACAAAGATGGAGCTTCCTCTATGGCTGTCAAAGGGTCTGTATGAGAGGAAGAGGAGGGTGTTGTCAGTCGAGCTTCCAAAGGTTTACAGGGAAGGCTGGAGGACTATTTTCAAAGCAGACCCCAATGTGGTGGATCTGCATAAGATGGGGCCTTACTACTATGGCCTGGGATCCCAGATGCTGCACTTTGACAGCCCAGAGAACCCAGAGATCGCACAGACGTTACTACAGGTAAAACACACACAACACCGATAACACAGAGGAATTATGCTGAGCCAGAACTTTAAACATCCCTTTTTGTCATGACATGAAATGGTTAATATCAGGAGTTGTCTGGTTGATACAAAAATACACCTCAGTTACTAGGCCTGAACGATATATCGTTTGACTATCGTCATCGCGATGTACGTGTGTGCGATAGTCACATCGCAGAGCCTGCGATATTGGAGGTGAATGAACTCATTTAATTTCAAGGGTAACCGACTGAGATACACTCCATGTGACTCTGCATGTGCTGTGCAGCGATCCACCAATCGCCTTCGTCCTTAACTCAGTTGCCAATCAGACTCACTTCTCAGTTGCCAATCAGACTACCCTGCCAGCTGTCAATCAAAATCAGGGAGGAGAAAACCCACCCCTGCACATGTTCTGCACATGGAGGGAGACGTGTGTCCGCTGAGAATTACTTTCGGAACTTCACTGACTGTTAAGCCCAACAAATAAGAACTGTATGGGTTTTAAATTGTACATTTCCGTGGACCACTCTACTATAAGCAGTGCGCGTTTTGCGAGGTGCATGCAATTCTCGGAGGACATGCGTTTCTCGGCACAACACCGCTAACAACAACAACAACGATCGCAAAATGAGCAACGAACAAGCGAAAACCACCGAAAATGAAGATTTGTTGCCAAAAAGAAAAGGAAAGTCAGTTATCTGGAATTATTTCGGTTAAAAGAAGGATGATGTCGACCAAAACACGTCTTCTGTGTTCATCTGTTGCCACAATAACGTCCCATCACAATAAAAGCTAAAAATATCTCTGAGACAGACAGAAGCCGTTCTACTAACATTCACAAAAAGAGGTAAGATCAGAGCAGATTAACTGTCCTCAAGATTTCAGCAGTGCAGCATAACATTAAGTGCTATTCAGGTCATCTGGTGAAAATACTGTATTTTTAATATCGCAATATATATCGCAGGGTTGAAAAAATCGCAATATTATTTTTTTCCAATATCGTGCAGCCTTATCAGTTACAGTGATTTATTTACTCAACCAAGGACACAACATGGTACACGTGGAAACTTTTTAAACATTTTTATTTTAATCAATATATGCACTATATATATATCATGTACACAACTGTAGGTGTGATCATGATAGGGAACAAACCTGCAGGAAGAGAGAAAAGGCAGTGCTTTCTGATGTTGAATGGACTAAGACATCATCATTTGAGTTAATTTTAGATATCACACCATTAACTGACTCACTGAATCAACCTAACCTCATGTTGAAATACCCTACAACATTTGCCATCTCCTTGCTCATCATAAAAGAACCATTGCTCAGTAAAGTTATTGTCAGTAGCACTGTCATCAAGGGCAGGATTTTTCTTCAGAGCCACAGTCTTGACAAGGTTTTTGTTCTATTTTTACACTATCCATACTTTTATACTATTATATTACACTATATTATATTACATTTATATTATATACACCATATATTACACCACGAAACAAAACAATATTGAAACCTGTTTGGATACCACAGCAAAAATAAAAAGTGTGGGGCGAATGGACTACTCGGCACCAGCATTAATTTTAAATGCACAGACAGCGGTAGAAGAAAAAGAACATGAATCCACACCTGACTGCAATGTTCTGTCTGTCAGTGTGCAATCTTTCCTGAGAATAAAAAAAGGACTTTTTTAAACTAAAGTTATTGTGAGTAAGAAAGGTAGAATCAACAGTTAGCTGGTGGATAGAATCCAGACATAGTGAGAGAAGACCCAAACAAGAGGTGGAGAGGTTTTTTCTCACCATGAAGGTGAGACAAAACCTCTCCAGGTTTTTTCTTTTTGGTGACAACCACCCGATAACTATACAGTATTCTGTTTGTGACACTGATCACAATCATTGATCTGAAGGTGGTTTTATTGATTTTAAAACAGTTTACTAACACAGCTGATAAAGTATTTCTCAGTTTCAGTGCTTGGTAGTGCTTCCATGGCAACACCATTCAAATCAGTGTTAAACGTAACATTCTCATGAACAGTTCAGTCTGAACAATGGTGTCTTCCAAGCCCTGTGCTGTGTTTTCAGTTTGCATCACGTCTGTTACTGCCATTATGTTATGTTACTGTTTAATTTCCATTTTTGTTGGTGACTGGTTATCCAATGGAAGCTTTGGTGCTCTCCCTGTAAACTGGGAGTAAAATGAAAACAACCTTTAAGTTATTTACCATTGCTGTTAGTAAGTAAGGTTTATGTTGACATAAACAGTCAATTGATACTTTTATACTTTTTATTTTACACTGAATGTTTACCCTTGAGTAACGCAATTTCAATTCTCTGTGTGTTACACATATTGCAGAATTGACAATAAAGCTACCTTGAATTTGAAACCTGAATGTTTCACCGGAAAGGTGAGATTGTTAACTGTAAACTAGCCTCCTGTCTGTGGATTGATTTAATATGTGTGACATGAGGGAAAAGGTCATCCCAAGAGTCGCCTTTGCTGTTCAGTATAAAATAATTCATCAAGGTTTTTTTGTTAACCAGTCAGAATCAAGTATTTGCACAGCTGAGTAATAAATGAGAACCCTGAGTAATATTCACTAAACAGTGACTCATTTTCTCGATGCTCATTTCGCTGGCTTATTCAAAAACTTGATTCTGTGAAATGGAAAAATAATAAAGTTTGTATTATCTTAGTACATGTGGTGTAAAAGTAAAATAAAAACTATTAAAAGTATTTTAAAAAAAATGACATCCCTCCCTATGATCAATTCAAACCATCAGCCATCAATAAAAGTGTGAATCATCAAGTGCTTTCGGTAGTTTAGGAGGCAGCTCTACCTTCAAGAACAATTCCTGGTCCTGGATGACCACATTTCCCTCTGTCCACAGTGTTTTCCTCTGAAAGGCCCCCTCGCTCGAGTTTTAATGCCAAGCTTTACAGGCTGTTGGCTGAACTTAAGGTGCAGATATGAGAAAGCCAGCAATCATTAAGCCTCCATCTCCATAAGAAAGGATAAAAAACATGTCTCCCAAAATGCCAAACTGTCTCCAGAAAACAGGATTTATCAGACACAGGGAGAAACTGAATCAGAGCAAGAGATTGATAATGTGTGGTTTCAAATACTGAATCACGTTTCCCACAAAAGCTTTGTTTTCCTGTTTGTAGAGAAGAAATAATGTGCTTATTTACCAAGCAGACTTGCATGCGAAGGATTACCTGTGAGTAAATCAGGAATTCTCACTTTTTGATGCTTAGAGTATGGTTCCATGCTGAGATAAAGGATCTGATCACAGGGCGTTGTCAGTGCAAGTGTGTGATATGAACAAATCTTAAAACAGTACAGAACAAAAGAGTTTGGTCCAAAACTCTGCAGATAAACAAATGTGATGTATTAGTGAGACAACAGTGAAGCCAGTGTACTTCAACAAGCCACAGCTAGGGGGGGCACTCAGCTCAGAAACCATTGCAGACGGCTGGTTGTCTGGGGCAGCTGTTACCAGGCAGATTGATTCTAATCTCATTGAGGAATTCTTCATGTTCAACACATTACCCATGCTTTTCATGCAAAACTGTCCATCCTTGTGGGGTATTTTCTACTGCATCAGCAAACTTGGCTTGAGGTCGGTGTGAAGACTAAGAATACATAAATATTCTGGGTGAAAATTGTGCACGAAGAAGCACAAAAGTCTGTAAAACAGTTTTATTGATTTTAGAATTGTCCAAATTTAGTGTAAAGGAAAAGGGAGCAGTTCTGGTTGCACCCTATTTGATGTATCAGTATTTTAAGATCAGTTTTTAATGGTTTTCCTTGAGGCAAAAGACAGGAAATTACACCTATCCAAAGTTTCTGATTAAATTCAATATCAAAGGTGAGCACTGGTTGCCAAACTAGGTCACTTTGATGAAAATGTTACCAGCATGCCAAAAGTTCCTGCACTACAGGACTGATGCGACACCACCAATATGAAGAAGCCCTCCTCTTCTGTTCGTCGGACTAAAAGCAAACTGTTGACACCATCCTCTGTCTTTTCAGACATTCATTGGTCGTTTCAGACGGATCATGGACTCCTCCCAGAACGCCTACAACGAGGACACATCAGTTCTGGTGGAGCATTTAGACTGTCTGGAGAAGACTCTGTTCAGGTCAGGGCAGAGTGGACTCAATAGCTTTCAGAGCTGGGAGAAGGGCCAGGCCTCCCAACTTACCGCCTCCAGTCTGGTTCTCAACTACCGCAAGAGGAAGATGACGGACATACAGCCCTGACTCGCAGTTTAATCTAAAGACGCCGGTTATAACTTTGTAAGCTTGTTGAGGAAAGCAGCAGCAGACTCAGAAAAGTTCAGTTTCCACGGACTAACATCTGCTTGTGTCCCATGAGATGACCAACCTGTGTTTCATAACAGAAAATTAGACAATACTGCTCGTTCATAGAGCAGATTGGTGGTACAGGATTTGTAAAAAATCTGATGGTACAAAAACATAATCTTTACACATTTTAGATGAACAGAACAGGGATTAGAAACAGAACTAAACAGCTTTCTCTACAAATCCCTCTCAGACTGTTGGGGTGGCCAAAGAGACAGAAAACTTAAAGAGCATGATGTAATGGGAGGTAAGAAACAGAACAACTAAACTCGTACATAAACTCATTAACATAAGAATCCGGATTTTGTATAAGATATTATTAAATTAGAATTTAATGGCTTTCAAATAATTTCAACCCTGTATTTGATTAAAAACAGCATAAAGACAACACATCAAATAAATTGAAACGTGTGATTGTTTTGTGATGGTAAAAGTTGTAACAGAGGCATGTTTGCCATTGAGTTGCAACACTTCTTTCATAACACTGTAGTGTAAACGAAGGAGACCAGTTTCTGGAATTTCGATAGTTCAACGTTGTCCTTGTATGTAAACCTGTATGAGCATTCAGTGTTCCCCATACCAACGTGGAGGCTGGCTTGTCTTCAGAGCAGAGGTTGCAATGTTCATGATTTCCAAAGTTTTCCGCTCAGCTTTAGTCCATCTTTAATGAGCTCTGGGCTTAGTGAAGCCCCTGTTATTTCTGGATCATGTTAAAATATGGTCTCCTCTTTGCATGATACATTTTACACCTGCGTTTAGGGATACAGCAACAAACTGTTCACAGACGGTGGTTTCTGGCTGTGATTTGCGCCTCAGAGTCTTGTCTGTTTTTAGTTCAGCACAGTCTGAAGGCTGAAGATCATGGTCACCCATTCTCAATGATTGACCTTTTGTACAGAGATTTCTTCATATTATCTGAATCTTTTATCGACATTTTGTACTACCCTTAATAAAATCCTTAAACTCTTTGCAATTTCATGCTCAGGATCATTTTTTCTGGAATGCCAAACTGTTTGTTAGAAAGTGGTGTTTCTCAAAGTGTTTTTCTAAACACAGATTTTTCAGTGTTTTGTTGTCCCAACATTTTTTAAGTGTGTTGCTGGTAGGGCTGGGCAATATGGCCTCAAATCAATATCATGATATATTGAGCAATTCATCTTGATAACAATAAACGGACGATAACTACTCCACAAGCTGCTCACCCCCTCCCACATTAACTTTGTCTACTTAAGCCGCCGCTCCAGCCGCTCCAACTTTTGAACCGTCCTCCATCTCTTCACCTGTCTTTCCCTCTTTGTTACGGACTGAAGGGGGTGGAGTCACATCTCCAACATAGGACAGCGGGACGTGAGACCGTAGCCTACCTACACACATCCAAAACCAACTTTTGTGTACTTATTTTTTTGACACTGAATATATTGACATGGACAAAATGACCTCGGTCATTGTCATAAATTTCGGTATCTGTAAATTTTCGATTTATCGCCCAGCACTAATTGCTAGTATCAAATGTAAAACAAGAACACATTTTCACATAACAAAATAACCCTAAAGTTTTCTTTGCGCTATTTTCATTTAAAATATTGGGTTTAAATAGAACCTTTACAATCTGTTTTTGTCAATATTTTACAGTGTTATAACCTGCCTTAAATTTGGTTTGTAGATCAGTTACTCAGTCGTTTAGATTTGCTTGTAGACCTTTCAGCAGAAACGCACACAGAGTAATTTCTACCGAGGGGGAACGGGTGAGTAAAATCACCGGAGACATTTCTCTGTTTTCTCTCAGTATGTGGTCTTTAATACAAACACACTGTTTAGACCTCAGCAAATGGAGCACATCATTTTCACTCCTAGGAATGAAGAACTGTAGTTATTTTGTTTTTTTATAATGACAACAAAACAAAGTGAAGCCTCAGTATGAATATTGAGGTCACCTCTAAATGCCAACTGTTGCGCACAGTGAGCAGAATTTCAAATTACCACCTGCCAGGCACCAAATGTCGATAAAATGTGTCTTCAGTAAAACAATCTCCGAGGCTTGTACAAGATTATAGAGAAGATGACATGTTGGATGGATTGGTAAATGTCAGTTTTCAAGTTTTACCTGGGAGCCTGATTTTTAAGAAATCAGTGCACCAAATGTGTCGCTTCAATCTGTCATGCTGTTCCTCTCAGAGCAGCAGAGCATTGGAGCTTGTGTGATGAGTTTCATTAGATCAGATGGACAGTCTTTTTCTGTTTTTTTTTTTTTTTTTTACCCAGAAAAAAACTGTTTTCATGATGTGACATAGTAGTGCTTCTGTCTGTGACTAAATTAGGATATATACTGTATTATAATGAAATTTTGGATGTACAGTTAAGGTGAAATGATGACAGACCGTGGGCAGGGAATGGTGTAAGTGGGTCCAGCAGACCTCACCACCTCCTACAGACACTTCATCACACCTCTAACCCCTCACAGTGTAACTAACGTTCGCCTCACTCTGGCAAACTCACAAAACTTGATCCAAAGTGTCTCATCATAACTGTCAGCTCTGATAGAAGTTTAGCACACACCCTCTTGTTTTATTGGACCCATAAGCCTTTTTTTCATTGCAGACTGACTTGATAAAGCCGGAGATGTGCGGTTGTCGCCACATTAATTGTAGTACACTGAACATGGTTCATCTGTTAGTATGCAGAAAATAGCTGTCGATGTTTTTCCTGCACGAACAACGTGGTATATAATTTTAGCTGTGAGGAAAAGGTGTGATGCATGGAAATAAAAGCTTGTTTTTTTTAAATAACAGTGATGCTGCAATACCTGTTATTGCACAGCATGTCATCTTCCCACCCAACACTTGATGACTCCATTCAACCAGAAAGGCCCAAAATAGCCCTGTAGCCAGGGACCCTTGTTGCATGTCACTCTTTTGACATACTGGCTGAAGGAAAACCGAGACAAAATTCAAAAAGCTTCAAAAGCTTAACTATTGCACATCTCTATGCAATAGTTCAATGACAGTAATGAGCTCCGTGTCTCTCCCTGTACTCACTTTTATCCAAAGGTTTTCAAATCTAATATACATACAAAACATACCAAAAAAACTAAACAATAAATCATCAAATTTCAACTTGGTAAACCTGGGATACAAAGTCCATCCATGTATGCATAAGAGATATTATAAATCAGTTCAATTATCATTTTTACAAAGTTAAAAGTTTGCTAACTTGGAGAATTGGTCTTATTTGTTTGGGTCAAAGTGAACACATTAGCCATGGACACTAACACCATTACAGATGTTGGCTTTGAGCCTTGGACTGATAACAATCTGGATGGTCCTTTTCCTCTTTACCCTAGAGGTCACCACATCCATGATTTCCAGAAACAATTTGAAACGTGGACTCATCAGACCACAGCACACTTTTCCGCTTTGTGCCAGTCCACTCAGATGAGCTCAGGTCTAGAGAGGCCGTCGACATTTCTGGGTGTTGTTGATATCTGGATTTGCATGTTAGAGTTTGAACTTGCACTTCTAGGTGTAGAGACGAGCAGTGTTAACTGACAATGGTTTTCTGAAGTGTACCTGAGTATATCCTTTACAGACCAAGCTTGCCTCTTATGTGTAGAGATATTCTCTGAATATTTTGGTAATCAATAGACTCTAGATGATAAAGTTCCTGCAATTGTACATTGAGAGACTTTCTCAAACTGTTGAAGTATTTGCTCAGGTAGTTGTTGAGGTGGTTAACCTCAGCCTGATCCTTGTTTTTGAATGACAGAGCCCTTCGGGGGGTGCTCCTTTTACCCAAACGTGACTCTACCCTCTTTCCAATCGTTGTTTACACCAAATTCTGAACGTACCATCCGAATGTCGCAGCTGAAACCGAGACTCATCAGACCAGGCAACGTTCCTCCAATCTTCTGCTGTCCGATTCTAGTGAGATAACGCTTTTTCACAGATAACATACAACTCCCATAGCAGTTGTTACAATGATCATACAACAGCTACACACTGGAAGCTCCTTGCTATGTGTCCTTGTGCAGATCCTGGCTTTGTTTTGAGGTTTGATTACAACAAAGCATGTGGGCCTGGCTGCAGCTGCTCATTGAAGTGTTCAATGTGGGTCAGGTGATGGACTGACAGTTAAGAGCTTGGTCACCACTGATGACACTATTGACAAATCCCCTGGGCTGTAACTATTGATCCAGATATGGGATTTTCCTAACTGAGGTGGGCGTGTTTGAAAAAGATTTTCCATCTTAACAACACTCATTCGTCACATCTCGTCATCACGAGGGTGGTCATTTGTTTTCTTTTGGTCAGCATTCAGTTTCCTCTCCTGCAGAAACAAACCTAGACTTCCTTACCGGCTATAAAGCAGTACAATTTGCACACAAGTGGCAATCTCTGCTGATGAAATTGGGACCAGTGCAGAAAAGAAAAAAAATAGCTCCTTGTGTGTCCACTTTGGACTAGCTGCAGAAGCCAAGGAGTCTCCATTAAGTCCAAGGTCAAAACACCCAATTTTTACAGCTAAAGCAGATATATCTACAGCCTGGTCAAAATCCAGTTTAAGTTGAAGGTTATTTATTTATTGGTGAACACTGCACAAGGGGTAATTTCTTTCTACAACATCCATTTCAGCACGGTGTCTTTTCTTTTTAGAGTACTTGAAAGTTACGTTTGGGAGCTGTACTGTTTAAATCCCAAAGTCCCTTTTCTCATGCGATATTTGAACATATTATGCTGACGTTTGAGTGATCTTACTGACCAAACTGAGCAGTCCTTAAACACATCATAATGTATGTGCCTCTCGCCACTTCATCCAGTCAGCTCACTAGATTTTTTCTAGCTAATCTTACACAAATGTCAGCAATGGATCATCGTTTTTAATGTCAGGGATTTTCAAGTTAGGGTGCGGGTAGCATAACTGCTTTCAGAAGAGCAGCAAGCAGCCTCTGTAAGTTGAAAGACATTTTTTTTTTTTCAACCCAAAGACTATTGAAGGTATTTAGCCTGACTTTAGACCTCTTTACATCCTTGCAAGCAACTGACCACTGATAGTTTTTATTTTCTGGGTTTGATGCCTGTTGACTGACATTTCAGAAACCTTATTGGATAGGTGGATGGATGGATGTTTAACTATAAGTTTGATTGAAATGAGGCTTGACACAAAGTATAATTTGAGACCCATGAAACTCATTAAGAGCTCAAACATTATTCATATTTGGATTCTCTGGACAGTCCTTTCTCTTTTCTTGACATGACGACACTGCTTTGTTTCCACACACCCCTATGGACCCTTTCTGTCAAATCAGATTCTAAACCATTACATTGAAAAAGTTCAACCCAGATTCAATTTGTTTAACTTTTTGAACTTTTATACTCAATGGTTATGAAAATGTTACAAGTTAAAACTGAAGAATTCAAATATTTCGTCATGGCTGGCTCTAACATTCGCTAGACTCACTGTGACCCACGTTGAAAAAAAAAATCCAGACAGTGTGACTTATGGTTGTAGGCAGATTTAACCATTACTGTCAGACTGCATGGCTGTGCAGGCCGTTCTGCTATATTACATGCCTTTCATTACCTCAGCCTGGTGGGCAGACTTTAGCCAAAGGTAGAGCTCAAGCAAAGGGCAGACTGGGGGCGAGTGTCCAAGAAGCTGACGCACAAGACACTAAATGCTGCCTCTGGCTTCTGTCTGCTAAGGGAGCCTGTGACATTTGGTATTTGTTGGGAAACCAGTCGTGGACATGATGAAATGCTGGGAGGAGCCCAAAGCTAATTCCTCTCCCCTATCTCCCCCCCCATTCTGCCTGTGTCTGATTTTCTTCATGTAATCACGTAATATATCATGACAAAAGGATTATGTATCATTGACTTTTATTTATACTTCAGCTCTGTATTTACACTTAGTTCCATCACTATCTGTCACTCTGGAGACACTGTGCAGGCACTTTCTATTCTGAGCAGGGCAACCAGCACACAATGCCAAGCAATTAACAGTTTAACATCTTCACTCAGCCACAACCCACACCAATTACTCTTGTTCAAAGACAGCTCTCTGCACTGAATTAGAAGAAAAAGATGTTTTACAAGGTCCCGGCACTGCTTATGAAATTACTTTACACTAAACTCTTTTCTTGTTATCTGTTAGTCAAGTGAATTACAAAGTTAAGCTGCTGATTCAAACCACACTACCTGCTGATGAATGTTGACATCAATTTCAATAGATAGTAGAAGTGTCAAGTTAGTGAAATGTCCATTTTCATGGTTAGTTAAAAAGAAAAAGTTAGGGTAACAGCAGACTGCATTCAACCATAAAATATTAGCCTAACAGATTCAGGGCCCCGAGGAACAGCCAGATTTGTGCACTCATTTTAGTGTCTATAACTGTCACCTGTGACCATAACTAGGTAAGTTACTTGAAATTATCTGTAAATATATTATAACTTGATCGAAAAGAAATAACATGATACTATGTGTGCCAGAAAATGTAGAAAAGCTTGAGTATTTCTTGAAGTAAAATGTTTCAAAATCACAGGAGATCATGCAGTGGTTGCAACATAGGGAGTTGTAAGACTCCGGTGCCAGCGACCAAGGATAATGTAGGGGTCACATGATCACATCAGCGTTTACATCCAGTTATGGGGATATTCAAGGCTTTTAACAGGTGCAATGCTATGATAAAAAGCTAGCTAAATAGTGGCTGATAGATTGGGTGAGACGTCTAACTTCTCTGAAAACTGTTACTACAATCTCCTTACAGACCTCTGATTACATTTTTACGATAACTTAAGTAATAACTTAAAATAATAACTTCATTTGTACTTCTGGAGACGTGTCTACAGAGTGCGTCACAAATTAAAAAAATTAAGTATTTTTTTTCTGAAAAATATCCGATTTGTGGTGTCAACTGTGAATGTGGAGAGAGTGTGCTTTATTTCATATACTGTAGCTACAAAGAGCGCCAAATACTTATGGCTTCACTTTTTTAGAGGTGCCACATCATCCATAACTGATACATGATGAACAAAACCACAGACTAATATATTACCTTCCCCGTACTCACATAGGATGGACTGCCTGTTAATATGTTGGCGGTTCTTCATCAGGTCTTATGATTTCATAAATTAGATATTACCACTCTGAGCAATAATGGATAAGCTAACACACCTCTCTGGTCTTATATAGAACTCAGCGTCACATGTTCATTACTTATACAGCTACATATTCTAGTTGTTTGGACATATCAATATAAAGGTCATTATCCATAAACGATATTACGTAGGCTTTCTCTTGCAGACTGATTTGCACACATGCTGTATATTTCAGTGTACCACTTTTCAAGCATGTCAGGAGGTGTAGCCGTGATTTGTGCTTTTGTAATTGTTACAATTTGCTTCAGCGTGCAATGTGACCGCACCAGTAATGGCGAAGGTTGTAAAGGAGGAAAATCACATTTGATGTTAGCTTACAAAGTCTACAAAATCAAGTTGAAGTTTTAAATTGATTCCAATTCTTTGTTTAAAGTTTTGAGTACTCTACCTCATAAATTCATTTAGTCACAGGTCCTGAAGTGAAAGTTGTAACAACCATGCCTGGTCTTCCCTATTTCAAGCAACTCTAAACCTGGTGTGACAGTTTCTGCAATTGAAAAGAAACGGTTTCAACGCAGAAGAGGAGATTTATTGTGGACAGGGTTGGAGGTACCTTTGCACTGGATGTAGTTGTGTCAGTCTATGACTCATGAATCCAAACAAAGAATCATTTGGGTATAACTTCTTCCTGGGAGTTGATTGGTTAAAAATGTATCCAGTCCATCTCACTCACTAAAGAAGGTGTCTGTTTTCTTTTTTTTTCCGATGTTGTAAAAATGAACTGGTCTGATCGGTTCAAGGCACAAGAACTACATTATTAAGTTTAAAATTATGACTTCATCTTATTTTTTTCTGGAGATACAAAATGTATATGAAACTTAATTTTCTATCCTGCAACATTATATGCTTTCCCCCTCTTTCTGATCAATCTGTTTCTCTTTATCTTTTGACCTTTCACAGTCTTGTTCTTTCTCAAACACACCCCACCCTTTTTCTTGTGTTTACTTCCCAGATGAGAGAGGGTAAGTTCAGGAGAACATGAAAAAAAGGAGCTTAGAGATGAGAACAAAGACAGCGGGAGAGGAACTGAACTCAAAGAAACAGGAGAGAATAAGGAGCAGAGCGAAAAAGAGAGCGAGAAAGAGAGAGTGAGAGAGGTAGAGACGAGTACTGCAGCAGCCAGACACATCTCAGTGATGAGGTGTGAGGATTAGCTGTATCTAAAGCAACACCCCCGCTATGCTCTCCAAATGAGTATTATCTCCCCTTCAGCCCTCCCTGCGTTGGCACAGGAGCAACAGCTCATACAATACCATGTTGTCAAGGCAGGGGGGAGGAGGAGGGAGCCCAACATGCTGTAAGCCTCTCCTCATTATCTGCAGCAGGTGGCAAGCAGTCGTCAAGAGAAAATAGGCAGCTATTGGGTAACTGCTGATATGCCCCACTCTGCAATTCTGGGACATGTTTGTCCGGGTTGTTTAGAGTCATAGCGCTAAAATAATGAGATGACTAAGATGTCCCCAGTTCTTCAAATTACTGTCCAAATATTTCAACAAATGAGGTTTTATGTAATATACCTTAAACTGCTTTAGCCTGCCTAGACCCTTGTTGCTCTCTCTGCAGTCTGCCTCTATCCAGCTCATCCTTTTTATGCAACTGGTGTCATATGTACTGTCATTGATATCAACCCTGTTTGATATCCTGGGGGGGTCTTTGATGCTGCTCTCCCTGCTTTGGCTTTTCATATGCACACATTAAACAGAGGGTAGGTGTACTTTCCTGTCTCAGGTTATGGCATCTCTCGAAAGAAAGAGGAAGGGTAGGGAGTTCTGAGAGCAGAGCCAAACAACAAACTGCATATAAGTATTAAATCTTCTCTGACAAAAATGGTCCTGACTGACATCTCACAATGGCATGATGGTTAGATCAAATTGTTTCTACTGTAGTACAGAGCGGACAACTACATACCTAGTTTTTTCTACTGTATGGCCATGCTAAATGCTCACATTAGAAGACAAAGAAGAATAAAGTGTTTGTTGTTGTGCACAAAAATATTTGTATTGACAGACATTTATGATGGTAAAAACTTGACAAATGGAGGATCAAACTAATCCTGTATTCCTGTCCTAAAAGACCACTTTTGCTTGTAGAGCTTCATCAACTGAAGGGGTGAGTAAGGGAGCCTTTAAATCTTGTAGCTAATGATATTACAGTCAGTTTACAGCCTTTTGTTTAATCGTGCCATTCTCTACCACATGTCTTTGATAGTGGGATTACAAGTAGTTATAAAGAACATTTCTTTCTTTAAAAAATGGTACTATCAGTGTTTACTCACTGAGACAATGAATTTGTAAATGAGGATCCACTGGGATGTGGGGATTTGCTAGCTGGTCTGAATCAAATGCAATGTGAAATTATAGTCTGTGGTAAAGAAACAAAAAAGTGCAGTATCTCACTGTTTGATGTACAGAATAGTGTGTGAAGTCTGCAGGATGTAACTCCATTTAAACACAGTTTACCAGTATCCCTCCCACTTCAAATCCAATTTATTTGTACATAAAATAAAATGCAACTTTTTCCACAATTACCTGTAGACAGTATCTAAAAAGCTTTTTCCATATAAAAGAACACAATTCAGCCACACCCATGGACCTGAAAAAAAAACTCCAGATCTGAAAAGCCACCCTTGAAGCAGAAGTTCATCCACTTTTCGACATTTGCTGCCAGCAAGAGCACTGCAGGGTGCTAATAGCGAGCCTTGGCAGCACACTGAGGTTTCATCAAAGGTTAAATAATTCAGTCTGACACAAAGTAATGACATTCCATTCATTAGAATTCAATTCATCCGGCTTGATTCTCCAGAAAGTACACTTCA